CAACTTGATATTTTCGTAAAAAAACTCTTTAAGTTCATGTTCAAACAACATCATTTTAGAAAAATTCAATTTTTTCCAAAAGTGTGTGAATTCAAAAAGTCACAATATATCTAGTTATTACCCAGTATTAATTTTTTAATTTAGTTTTTGAGATATTCATTTTATAATACGTATTATTCAGAAAATTAAATACATTTGTAAGGGAAAACGGAATTAATAACAAATATATGAATATCGTGGAAGAGTCAATTTGAAGAAAACATTATTATTTTGGATTTGTGTTTATCTTGTTATGTGATTCATATTTTCACGATCTGACAGCAGAAATCGAATCAGCGGAGCCTGAAGAATCAGATTACGTGGGGAAAATAGGTTTTGAACGCTTAGATAGGGATATAATGAGACTTTATGAGGTATGCTGTATAAATATAGCTTTTGCAATAATATGTCATGAGACTAGAATATGAAGAGAGTATATATGTGTTATTGTCAAATGTTTATATGTGGAGATAGCTCGGTAGAGTCTATAAAATAGTTCAGTACATGCCATAGGGAATATAAAGCACAAAAAATAATAAATAAATATTAAATAGGGAAATTAATATTTTAAATAATGTAAGTAAAGTATTTTCTCTAAGTATCATAGTGGATGACAAACAAGAGTGCACAATGCACTCTTGTCGGTCAAAGTTTTGCAATCGTATTCTGATTGCAATAAATTGTCTCGTTCTGGGAGACATGCACAGGCAATGTCTCCCGGAATGACACATGCAGACCAACAAGAGTGCACAATGCACTCTTGTCGGTCAAAGTTCCGCATTCAAGTTATGAATGCGGAACAGTATGCCATTCTGGGAGACATGCACAGGCAATGTCTCCCGGAATGACACATGCAGACCAACAAGAGTGCACAATGCACTCTTGTCGGTCAAAGTTCCGCATTCATAACTTGAATGCGGAACAGTATGCCATTCTGGGAGACATGCACAGGCAATGTCTCCCAGAATGAGACACTGCGACCGTCAGGAGTGCATATTATCATCAAAAATTCAAAAAAAAACATTTTTCTTTTTTCTTTGGCGAAAAATGTACTTATTTTTTTCGAAATTTTCGAAATATGATTTTTTCGGGAGACTTTTTCAAAATTTTAATATGATAAATATGAGTTATTTTATGTTCTCTATTTGAGAGTCTGCTTATTTTTGAGTATTGAGCAAGATTGAAAAATGAGAATATTTAGGAACATAATAAATCGATTTATCTCGTCATGTAGTTCATATTTTCGCGTTCTGAGAGCGGAAAACGCATTTTTTGAATGCGTAGATTCCGAATCACACGGAAAAAATAGGTTTTAATAAGAAAAATAGACAATTTATGAAGTAACAAAGCACATAGTATTATAAAAAAGAAAAACATTTTTCTCATATGAAAGAAAATATAACGTATTTTTTACAGAGCGTAGGTATATATCGAGCCAATTCACACCATAAATTCTTTTCTCGTTCTCGGGCCTATAAACAACCTGAGGTGCACAACAATATTAACTTATACTGCTGTTATCTGGATTTGAATCCTCAATTGAGAGAATTCCAGATAACTTCAGTATAAACAAACCATATACATGTTTCCTCCTTGCTTCTAGGCCAAGCATAACAAGTACATTACCTTAGAGCAAATCTCATTCGGAGTTTCTCATTTAATGAGAGACTCCGAATGAAATTTGCCTATTTGATTAATATCGTGCTTTATGAGATGCAAATTCTGATGATAAATATTGATCTAGAGCTTATATAAGATGCGAAGAAACTTCAAAAAAAGCTAACCGGTAAAGACAGCAACTTGCAACACCAAGTTGCTCACGTAGTGATTACAAGCATATCTGCAAGGCAATGTCCTCAGGATGCAGAACTTTGCCTGCAATCAGAAAAGAGATTGCAGCAGAGTAACCGGTAAAGACAGCAACTTGCAACACCAAGTTGCTCACGTAGTGATTACAAGCATATCTGCAAGGCAATGTCCTCAGGATGCAGAACTCTGCCTGCAATCAGAAAAGAGATTGCAGCAGAGTAACCGGTAAAGACAGCAACTTGCAAAGTCAAGCAGTTACTGAGATTTTGATTTATAAATCATAAACCTTCATGCTTGATGATTTTGTAGAATTGTTAACTCATGTCATCAGTTAATGCTCACCTAAGGGAGGTGTTTTGCGGGAGCTGGGGGTATCTTGGTGAGTACTCAGGAGGCCAAGAAGGGCACCCCAACCGACATTTTGCTGATGGATTGAGTTCGCAACCATTTTTATAACCGTAAAAACCGTCGGGACAAAACAACTTGAATAATTGAATTTTTTAATGATAATGATTGTGAAATAACATGTAACTATAATTTAAGAATGCCATATTTTTGTTAAAAAAAATTTCGAAAAGTGAGAGATTTTCCGTTCTAATAAATATATTTGATAACCGGGGTGTCTCCCGGAATCAAATAAATTATCATATCGAGAATCGGAGATCCTTGCAGTTTCGATTTTTTCGAAAAGTGAGAGATTTTCCGTTCTAATAAATATATTTGATAACCGGGGTGTCTCCCGGAATCAAATAAATTATCATATCGAGAATCGGAGATCCTTGCAGTTTCGATTTTTTCGAAAAGTGAGAGATTTTCCGTTCTAATAAATATATTTGATAACCGGGGTGTCTCCCGGAATCAAATAAATTATCATATCGAGAATCGGAGATCCTTGCAGTTTCGATTTTTTCGAAAAGTGAGAGATTTTCCGTTCTAATAAATATATTTGATAACCGGGGTGTCTCCCGGAATCAAATAAATTATCATATCGAGAATCGGAGATCCTTGCAGTTTCGATTTTTTCGAAAAGTGAGAGATTTTCCGTTCTAATAAATATATTTGATAACCGGGGTGTCTCCCGGAATCAAATAAATTATCATATCGAGAATCGGAGATCCTTGCAGTTTCGATTTTTTCGAAAAGTGAGAGATTTTCCATTTTAATAAATATATTTGATAACCGGGGTGTCTCCCCGGAATCAAATAAATTAGCATTACTAACATTCCTTTTTTATTTAAAATTTTCAATTCTTAAAACAAAGTTTTACTTCTATTTAATTATTTGCCATGAAAGTATAGAACATTAAAAATTTATCCTACTACCTCCACCCTTATAATACCTTCAAAAAAATTATATCTCAATTTATTTTCTATCTTTATATTGATGTGCTTATTCAAAAACACTAAATCATAAGTCTTCAGTTCTCAAAATACTCTCAAATTATCTCATTGCGCATATTTTGAAATTTGATAATTTTAAATTGTTAAAAAATTCATTAATCACAGTAAAATATCTATATACAACAATTAACTAACCGATTTCACATCTTGAACATTCGCATTTATTTAATATATTTGAATATCATTTACATCTTATTGAATTAGATCATAAATCACAGTTCCTTAATATACTATCTAGCTAATCATTATTGTTGCACAACTTACATTTGATTAAACACACGTGTATAATTCTGTACAACTCATATCTCTATCAATACTTTATTTATAATCAAAACAAAGGTTAAAATTGTATACCCTGTCACTGTAGAGTATTCTCCCAACTTTAAAGTGAAAATCAAAATTTGATATTTTAGTAATTTCATGTGAGATCGTTATTTTATAGGAAAACATACTGAAAATGTTTATAAGATGTTTCTCTATCATATGCCAAAATATCATGGTTTAAATGCTCTCCTAAGTGTCTATAACTGAATTTTAGGGCAATAACCTTATTCTAAATGTTGGGAAAGTAGGGTATATTTATATGATTTGATTTAAAAAAAATAAATAAATTAATAAATCATTTACTCAAATATATCAAAAGTTTTATTTTTATATATAAAGATAACTACTTTTAAAAAAAATACCCTATATATTTTGCCATGTAAACTATTTTTGTCATGTAAACTCGTCACTTTTTGTCAGAAGTGAAGTGAACGAATTTTCATGCACAACAGATCTGCAATTTTCCCAAATGAACGGGGTGGATAAGATCCCAGCCCTATCGTCATCCCAGTGTCAATTTTACAAAAAAAAATTCTTAATAAAAATTTTTTATTAAAAAATTCTTATATTTTTTCATTGAAATTTAAATAATAAAATAAATTTGGCTGTAAAAACCATCAATTATTATAATTCTTATCGAAACACATGTAGAAAAACACTTATCTTTTATACTCTTTCTATTTGAAACCTGTTTAGTTCAGTAATTAATAATAAAAATTGTGAAAATAGTGACTATTTAACTAAAAATATATTAAATGATGTAATAATGAGATATACATATATTTTTACGAATTATAATTAGAAATTATTCTGGTCTGGGAATCCCAACCCAAAATCATTGAAAATTTGAATATATGGGATGGGCTACCCATCCCAAAACTATATTGAAATTTTTGAATTGATAATAAATGTATCTATATCTAAGGTATATTAGAGAATTTTTAAAAATTATGCATTAAAAAATTGAATTTATTCAAAACAAATTGAGAATAAAAATGCTTAAGTAATCACTTCATTATTTCAACAATGATTGATGCAGTACCGACGTACTATAAAGACATTGAGGTCGGTACTAAGCATCAGTATCTTAGATATAAAAAACCAGGCGACAAGTACGGAAAATATTATGTTAAATGCAATGAACTAGTAAAGCGTCCTGACGGAACTATATGCCACTGTGCAATGGAAGAAATGCGTGAGGATCATTTCAAAAAATGGATCCAAAACAAACGGCACATATGCACACCAGGAGAAGTAGCATCACAACAAACAATCGATCAATACTATCAAAACGTCCCAGCAACAGGGCTTACACCTATATCGTTAGGGGATATCTATGAACAGCTTGCTACATTTACTGGAAGATTTAACTTGGCTCTGAATACCTTCTCAAGCCCAGAGTTTACAAAGCTAGTTAAAACCATTATAATGTATACTGCAGACTCGATGATATTGAAGTTCCCACAGTTACACAATGTTAACATCAATGTTGATAAACTAGCTTCTCAAATATACCAGCCTATTTCAACTGACAAACTAAGGCAAACAATGATACAAATTGCAAATTCAATCCATGTTGCAAAAGTTGATGAGTTTGCTAAGCTTGCCTGTACCTGTGTTGCCATTGATGAGGGGAAGACTCAGCAGTTTCACAATCTGGACTTCTCCCTCACAAATCCTCTGCAAAGCAAGCGGCCCTATCCTGTTGAGTCAATCCAAATGAATGGTGGAACATCTGAAGATTATATCCACTCGCTTACTCAAGGATTTAACAGAATCTTCATTAGAGATGTTAAGATCAGCAGTGTAGTTTGCGATGGCAATAAAGCGCAATTGAAATGTTTTCAGAAAGGATGGAATCAATCGTTCTACAACTCAAATGACCCAAGGTTATTCAAAATCTTGTTTATCCCGTGTTTATGCCACAGGATTCATAATTGTTATCAATATATGACAACAAAAGACGTAGCATTAGGAGCAATTGTGAAACATATCCACGAAATATCAGCTCTTTGTAGAATCCATGTTGAAGACATCGGAGCTCTCTGTCCAAAGCATGTATCCACCAGGTGGATCTATGATTATAATATTTGTATGTTTATTATCAAGTATCAAGACAAAATTTCAAGATATACGCGTATTGATATTGAAAACATCAAGTTCTTAAGAGACTGCTTGGCAATTCTCAAGAAGCTTATTTCCACGTTCGAATCAGATAAAACCAAGATATCTGATTGCTACGTATGGCTTTGCAAGGGTATTGAAGCACTCCAATACCTTTCCAGCAGCAACAACAATCCTTTTGCTGGAATCCTTTCAAGATCGTTGTTGAACTATACCCTTGGATCGGACTTTGGAGGTCTTTGGTGCTTAGCCTTCGCTTTTACACCGAAAGGTAGGTATTATTTCAACCAAAAATTCGTCCACGGAGCGCAGATCAACGAATCTCCGGCAATTAATTCATTTGATATTACAAACGTAACTTTCGTTAATCCAGTAGAAGACATTCAATCTATCTATATGGACTCTATCTTTGAAGAAGGTTCGACTGAAGTTTCTCTTGATATGGTTGAGGAGGGATCAATTCGTCAGGTAACTGCTACAATTGACCCTCCTATGCTTGATCTCGCAGATGTAACATCTAGTTCAAATCAGCCGGTTAACCATTTTGTTGCAGCTAGGCAGTATCTCAAAAGTATTTTGGAACAATTTCGTATTCCGGGTCAAACAATAACAGATATTATTACACTATTTAACACGTATATTAATAGTGATAATGATATCTTCTCTGATGATATGATTCAAGAACGTCAAGAATACGGTTGGGAAGAAATCTCTCATAGAGATGGCAATGTATCAATCTTTGCAGATATCGCCCTTCGTGTTATCTCCGCTTCACCTTCAGAAGCAACATGTGAGAGAACAATAAAAGACCAAAGATTGATACTAAATTTGAAAAGATTACGTTCTCACAAAATTTTATTAGATAGGCGAGAAATTTTAATGGCTACAAAATAAATATCTATATTTATTATTAAAAATTGTTTTATATTTTATCTGTTCAATATTTATCTTATATAAAAACTTGAAATACTTAATCAAAATTTCTATGTGTTTGTTTGAAAGAGATCAAAAAAAAAAAAAAAAAAAAAAGGGTAGTGGGGCCTCCAGGCACTTCGTGCCCTCTAGCCCTGAAGATGTTTAGTATAACTTTGTCCGGACAAGTAAGGGTCTATCGTCGCTACAGGAAAAGTTACAGGCGTTCCAAGGAAGTATACTTTGAGAAGCCTTTTCTGTCACTTTTCAGGAAAAAACATTTTTATTATTATATATAAATGAATTTTACAAAACCACCGTTACCCTTCTTTGGAAATAAGAGTAGATGTAAAGATATTCTATTGAGAGAACTTAAGAAACTACCGAATGGTCTAACATTTGTAGATTTGTTCGGTGGAAGTTTCTATATATCCCATTTGTGCCATACAATATTCCCAGACTCAAAGATTATATGCAATGACTTCGACAACTATATGGACCGTCTCAAACATATACCAGACACAAACAATATATTGAAAGCGTTAAAAGAAAAGATACCTATAGGTAAGATGGAACGTATACCATTAGATAAGAAAAATATTGTGAGAGAGGTTTTGAAAAAAGCAGAATATATAGACTGGGATAGTATATCTGCTAGACTATTATATAGTGGTTCTATAAGAGTTCATGACATTGAAACACTTATGTCAAATGTTTTATATCTTAACTATACAAATGTTTTCAAAGAGGGCATAGAAAAATATATTGAGGGTATAGAGTTTGTGAGATGTCGTTGGACAGAGTTGTATGAAAAATATAAAGACAAGGAAAATGTTTTCTTTATAGTGGACCCGCCGTTCTATAACACATGGGATTTTCAATACCAAGTAGACTGGACTTTGAGAGACTCTTTAGAAACTTTAGACGTTTTACATAACCATCCATGCTTTTACTTTACATCCGATAAAAGTGGTTTGGAAACCGTTATGAGATGGTTAGAGGACATACATGACTATGAGTTTAGATATGACAAGATAGAATATGAGAGAGGTCCTATAAACCGGAGAAAGTGTCATAACAAAGAAATTTTACTAGTAAGTAAATGTGGTTTGAAATAGGACTACTTGTTTTAGGTTTTTTCCATTGTGTCATTTATTTATTTGACGTGGCAGAAAAGTACAGAGAATATGAAGATGAACCAATGCCTGCAAATGTTCAGCATATGTACTCGTAAGAGATATTTTTATCTAATATTAAATGGACGCACAGAACTTAGCAAATGCACAGCAACCTGGACAACCAAACCCAGAGAATATTCCAAATGAAGTTAGAATACAAACTGCAATGGCAAACTATGGTCAAGTGCCAACAGATGTACAAATGCAAACTGCCATGTCAAATGACGCTGCGTTAGGTTTGCCACCATGGTATGCAAATATGAGATGGAAAGAGTTTTATACAAACCCTGAAGTGGGATATAAACAACTTTATGCAGATGACGCGAACACAGGAGTTGACCCAGAATATGTTTTCTACCAGAGGAGAAACAGAATGTATGAGCTCCAGTTAAAAAATGCTATGGAACTCAGAAGGAAACGTAAGAGACTAGGCGGACATTAGATTTTTACACGTAGTAAATGGGTTTCTTCAGTAGTATTGGAAACTTCTTCAGAAGAGTTGGAAGAGGTATATGGAATGGAATAAAAACCGTAGGAAGAGGAATTTGGAACGGAGTCAAAAATATTGGTAAAAGAGTAGGTCAGTTTGTTGGTATTATACCTAAAGACCCTGAACCAGAAGAACAAGCTCCTGTTATACAACAGCCTGAACCTGCACCACAGTCTAGTTGGCAACCAAATCCAACACCTCAACCGTATTAAAAAATTATATTTTTACCGTTCGATAGTAGTTGTATATGAAACTAAGTTCTAAGTAAAACGCATGGTATAATGGAACTATTCTCTTTCTTCCATCTGTTGTAAACCATACTTGAAAGTCTGAAATACTTCCACTTGGTGGTTCGTATAACTTTGTAGGTTTTTCGTAAAAGTCATTTGCCAAGCATAAGAAAGAGTTTTGTGCACCAGAAAATGAAGCATGAACGATAATAGCATCTGGGTCGAAAACATTTTCATATGTTCCATTAGGGTTTTCGACTTCATAAAAGTCCGGGTGTACTGGATATTCTGCAGGCTGATTTAACATCCTCATAAATCTATACCATGCCAAGTTGTTATATTTTGTAGAAATATAAACGTTTTCTCCAAGGTCTTCTATTCTATTGATTTTAACAGTTGCATTTTTCCTGTCATATATAATATCGAGATGGTACTCTCCCTCGTCAATGTTATACTGGTTTGCATATTCGATATAGATGTCGTTTATTTTTTCTTGAAAAGCTTGAAGAGTTGTTTCTAAGTTTACAAGCAAATTCACTTGTAAAAGTTTTCCCTGTTCAAATTTCTCATACATACGTTTTTCTTTGTTATAGTATCGAACTTCAAAACGACCGTAAATGGGAAACCATGTATGGCTTCTGAAATGAACTTCATTCTACGAAAGCCAATAGCTTTTGTGACGGATGGGTCTCTTAACCATCTTAACGGGTAGTCAAAACGATAGCCTTCATGCTTTACGGTCTCTGTCTCAAACTTTTGACCGACATTAGTAAAAAGTTCATCTAATGGTTTAGTTGTAGCAACTCTTGAATTTTCTTTTTCTATTGAAAGCATATTTTATCTAGAATAAAAATGTCAAATGAAACAGCGTCTATGAGAGAAATACAACACAACCGACAACTCATTATACAAGCTCTAAATAAGAACACAACAAACTTTTCAAACTATTCTAAGATATCTGAGTCATTGAAAGAAGGAAACTTAAAACTGACATTAAACCCAATGACAGATGAGTTTCTATTTCAAGACAAGAAGAACAATACTGTCTGTATAAATCCAACAAAAGGAACTTTAAACGAGAAACCTATATCTGAACTTCTTTTGAAAGCAGATGTTGACAACAAAGCAGACAAAACATATGTAGACGATGCAATAGCAAAAGAAGAAGAAAGAGCTGACAAAGCTTATGCAACAAAAGAACATACTCATCCTGAACTAGCAGACAAAACATATGTTGACAATAAAATGTCAAGTGAAGTGACAAGAGCTGAAAACGAATATTCTAAAAAGACTCATACACATTCTATATCTGAAATAACAGACTTAAACGTTAGCCTTGAAAAGAAAGCGGATAAGGAATATGTGGCTAGTAAGTTAGAGAAGAAAGCAGATAAGGAATATGTGGATGAAAAAGATAACGAAATGAAAGAAAGGGTTGACTGGTACCATGAATGGACATCGAAGATTTTAAAAACTAAAGCCGATACAGGATGGGTTTCAGGATGTTTAGACCTTAAAGCAGATAAAACTTATGTTAACGATGAGTTAGAGAAGAAAGCAAATAAGACTCATACACATACAAGTTTTACAACTGTTGCTATAGAAAGTATTGAAGGAACGGTTGAAGAAACTGGTGGGGATGCATTATATTGTAAACCTCCTAACTTTCCACAAGGTTTAACATCGGATGACAACATAACGACGATGAGAAACATTAGATGTAAAGATGTTTATGTCATGAAGGATGAAAAAAACGTTAAATTCACTGCTCAAGATTTATATGAGAAGAAAGCAGACAAAACAGAGCTTCAAACATTAAAGACAGAAATACTTCAAACATTATATCCTATAGGCTCTATTTATACGTCAATGAACTCTACCAGACCAGAAGTAGTACTTGGTTTTGGAACTTGGACTCAAATAGTCGACAGGTTTTTGTATTGTGCAAACTCTTCAAAGGAAACAGGTGGAAGTAAAACGATTTCAGGTGAAAATTTACCTGCACACAGTCACTACATAGATTTAAGTACATCTCAAGCAGGTTGGCATAAGCATAAATTTTGGGATTGGTCAGCAATGAAAAAGGTAAAGGATATGATGTTAAAGACGACGTTCAGTTTGCTATAAATTGTTTCTGGGTAACACTCAGGGAGATGGAAACCATACACATCGCGTTTCAGGATATACGCAAACAACGGGACAAAGTAAAGACTACATGCCACCTTACATGACAGTTTACGCATGGTATAGAAATGCTTAGTCGTCATGTTCCACTTCTTTAGCATATTCGTCAGGAGTTGTCTTATATTGGTTAGGAACTGTCTTTGAAAGTATACCACCTTGAACTTTGACAAGTTTGAAACGAGGTCTGACAATAGTAGTTTTATCTTCTGCTTGCAGTGTGTACATTTTGCCATGTTTGCCTAAAACTTCATAATATTCTCTTGTATACTTTCTTCTATTTTTACGAACACGAATGTGAGTACCTGTCGGTTCCCATTGTTGTCATAGTCAATAGTATTTTCATATGGGTCGCGTTTAGGTATTTCTATTTTTACTTTGTCACCTTTCTGAAGTTTGAAGCCCGGCATTCTTTCTTGTTTGTCTCTTTTGACTAAATTATTAAATATATAGTCTTTCTCTAAGTCGGGGTTGTTTTTCATTTCTTCGGGGAGTGGTTTCCCAAACCTTTTTGTTTACGGCTATTGTAAATATTTAAAACTTGTCTCATCTTTGCCATGGAGAAGTGTCTATATTTGTCGTCATATGACATTTCATTTGCTTCACCACCTTGTGGTTGGTTTAAGTCTCTTAACATTTTTATACAACCGTCAATGACACCAAGAGCAGAATGGTTTTGGTCGACAATGAAATATTGGTTTACATTTTTTGAACGCAGATAGTTTTTTACATCGTCTGATTTGAAAGAACTTTCACAGTCAGATGTCAGTTTTGTTGGATGGTATTGTCAACGAATATTGTCAAAGCTGCTAAGATATCTAAAATATTTTTGGACTGTAATGGTATGGCTTCACAGTATCTTGTGTTTTGACCGACAAATATTAGCCAGTATGGTGGTCCATCTGTTCTAACTCTCGGAATGTTTTCCAAGATATCCATAAACCAAGCATTTGGTGTTGAACTAAAGATTTTTATCATGAGTGCTTTCTTTGTTGCCTTAGAAACATAGGGTCCTTGTTTGGATTCGTCATTTTTTAACCCATAAGAAATGGGTTTATTTGGCGCGTTAGCAGGAGTTGCATCCAGATTTTTACCCGCAGTGGGAACAATAGCCAGAGGTGTATTTGGAGTTGGAAGGAAGATTTTGAGTACATTAGGTATACTGAAAGAGAAAGCACAACCTATTATACAAACTGTACAGAAAGGTTGGGAGGTAGCACGAGATGCAACAAATCTTATTCCAAATCCTGAAACAAGAGGAAAAGTTCAAGGATGGATGGACAATGTAGGAAGACAAGCAGGAAACTATTATAACAAAGCAAATGACTACTATAACCAAGCAGGACACTATATGGACCAAGGTGAAAGATTCTTTAACAGAGGATATAACCATGCACAACAGTGGGTAAACAATAACCAACCTCAACCGCCTCAAACGTGGGGAATGTAAAGTTTTTTACTGAGATGAAATGAACAATACAGCATTGAGACAAATGGGTTCAAGATGGATTTGTCGGCTTCCAGCAGTTACACAACGTGTTTGTCAAGTTCTTCCTATACCTCAGGAAGTTTTAGACCGACTTAAAAAACCTAAACAACCAGTTGAAAACAAACCGAACTAAAATTTTTTACTGAGATGAAATGACCGAAGAAGTTGAAACGGTAGATTTGACACCACAAACAAAAAGTTCAGAACCATTGTCAAAACCTGTCAAAGAACTTACAGATGAAGAGAAAAATTCAATAATAGAAAGTGCCAGGTCTGGAAATACAAACTCTAACTACAAAGTCACTTTTCATAAAAATGGAACGGCAAGTATCTCAAAAAAGAAACAGACTCTCACAAATAAAATATTGAAGTCTGAAGGAGCTTTCGAGACAACAGATGGAAAAGTTTACTTCACTGACCAACAGTTCATTATAGAACATCTCATTGACTTAGAGTCGAAATATTCTAAACTTTACAACAAACACAAAAAGTTGAAAGGAAAACAAAAACAAATGGCATATGATATTTATGAAGATGTTGACGACACAACTGTTCCTGCAAGTGAAGTAAAGTCAAAGGAACCGAAAAGTGACGAAAAACCGATAGAAGAAGAAAAACCAAAAACTGAAGATAAACCAAAACCAAAGTTTAGTTTGGAAACTAAACCAAGTCAACCTTCATTAGCTGGTATGGGTTGGCGTCAAAGACTTATGGCTTCAGGCGGTTATGTAAAGTAAAGAAAAAATATTTTTTTATTTTTATTTGAAATGTACGCTGAGTTTGTTGGAGAAGACCGTTGGGAAACTTGTTTGTTAGATGAGAAATATGAAATGGCATACCATTTTAAAACAATATATTTTTAAAAAAATATTTTTTTATTTTATTTGAAATGTACGCTGAGTTTGTTGGAGCAGACCGTTGGGAAACTTGTTTGTTAGATGAGAAATATGAAATTCACTGTTGTGAGTCATTTGAAGTCAGAAACAAAAAGACAAAAAGAGTTTTAAGCGAATGGGAGCGAAATGACGGATATGCTGTTATGAAGATGAGTGGAAAAAACTATTTTAAACATGTTGTCATTGCAACTCATTTTATACTGAATCCTAACAATTTACCTTTTGTAGACCATATAAACCGTATAAGAAACGACAATAGACTTGAAAACTTACGTTGGGTCACTTGTTCTGAAAACAATAAGAACAAAGGCAAATTTGGAGATATTGTATTCGAATTTGTCGACGAACTAGAAGATGAAACAATTGAAATTACAGACTATGGCGAGCATACGTTTGAGTTTTACTACTATAGCGAAGAACAAGACTCTTTCTACTTTTATACCGGCGTAAACTATAGGAAATTACAAGTATATTTTACTAAGGCGGGCTATGCTTATGTAAACACTAGAGATACAGATGGAAAATACGTTCAAATACTTCTTAACAAATTCAAGAAGCTATATGGCATACCATTTTAAAACAATATATTTTTACATATATTAAATGCTTCAGGTTGAAAAACAAAGAACAAAAGTAGCAGATACAAAACCGTTAGACTATATCTATACAAATGCTGGTAGGACTATTTCAGATGAAGAAATTTCATCCCGAGTATACAGGTTTGACTATCCAATTCGTTGGCTTCAAAGTCCTTCAGATGCAAAGGCAATAGGATTTAGAAGAGTTTTGTTTTCAAATAGAACGAACGCGTTTATGTTCGCAGTATATTTTCATGGGCAGTATAAAGGTTCTGATGGTCTAATAGACAAATTTGATGAAATGAGAATCTTTACAGTTCGTTCAGACGAAAGTCTTGAGAAAACTCTAAATGACTTTCAAACTCAAATGAACAAATATTATTGGGAATTTCAAGAAAAATACGACTCTTTACTAAATGGAACATACTATCTGAAACTAGAATATGACAAGATGAACTCCACCGTTTCATTTCAAAAGATTGAAATTAACCCTCCAAGAGATACAGAGTTTTTATTTTGGAAAGTAGACAAACGTTCTTGGGCACAATTTCTTCGGTTACTAAACCAGAACGAACCATTACCACCAGATGGTCCATTTAAATTTATACTTCACCAGCAGATTTGACAGTTTATAGAAACGTGTTTGACCCTCAAAATGTTATGTGTCATGCAAGTTTCAGTTCAAGCAACAATAGTTTTCTATGTATTGGTAAGGACGTTTATGACTTTGCTTCTAAATTCTACGAACCACCTAGTAACAGTTTCTCTGACTTTCAAGTTTGGTTCACAACAAATGGTGTGCAACATATAATACCATTGTACTATGACTTTTATCTCGAATTGTCTTTCATATACAACTACGGAAAAGTGCTGAAAAAGTATTGAAAAATATATTTTAGGTGTCACCAGGTCCCTCGGTCCCTCGGTCCCTCGGTCATTTTAACTTCTCTGAAAAAGTGTGACAACATGACATTTTGACAACAGTCCAGGAAATAAACTTCTTCTTCGTATATGTTTTGTCAAGACTTCATCGTAAATGTTTTGTCATGACTTCATCGTAAATGTTTTGTCAAACATGAACGTACATGTTTTGTCATGACTTCTTCATCGTAAATGTTTTGTCAAGACTTCTTCGTAAATGTTTTGTCAAGACTTCTTCGTAAATGTTTTGTCAAGACTTCTTCGTAAATGTTTTGTCATGATTTCATCGTAAATGTTTTGTCAAGACTTCTTCGTAAATGTTTTGTCAAGACTTCTTCGTATATGTTTTGTCATGACTTCTTCGTAAATGTTTTGTCATGACTTCTTCGTAAATGTTTTGTCAAGACTTCTTCGTATATGTTTTGTCATGACTTCTTCGTATATGTTTTGTCACCCGTTGAATTTTGTATAAAAAGCAACCGCCGGAATTCCGGCGGTTGGTATATTCTTCACAAAATGCTTGTTTTGAGGTCGAGCCATTTTTGGCTCCACCGTATTTTTCAACCAAAACTCATGAATTTTCCCGAAATAAAAAATAAAGTTAGTTTTTTTAAAAAAATATTTTTTATTTTTATTGTAAGAACATGTTAGCAACAACAGCACCAAACTCGTTAGTCATGAACCCAACATCTATGTTAGTAGAGATGAAAAGCTTCATTCCTTCTTCATATACTTTCGAAACAGAAATCCAGAAGATAAAGCAAGAACTTCTCCAAGGAGATTTAGATTGCACTGCAAAAGATGAAACAAATGAACAGTATCTTTATGAAATGCAGGATATTATTGACCATCTACCTAAACTTCCTGAAATCCAACAACAAAAGCTCACTATTCCTGAATTCGATGAAATAGAAGTCAAAGCAACTGACTCAGTAGAAATAAAGAAGTTCATTCGTAAGGTAAACTATGAGTTTCTTGGATTTCATTGCAACCACAAAGACTGCGATATGGTATATTTCATTGACATATATAAATCTGGGGAGTTTAAGACCTACGACAACTTTGTTTCGTTAGTTGCAAAATGTGTATGGCAGATAAGAGATAAAGATAGAAGAGGTAAAGTATGGAATGAACAGATAAAACCCGCAACTTTTGAGTTAAAGAAAACCATTTACGCCTTAGTTGTTTTAGCAGGTAAGGTTTCAATGTACAATGCTAAAATGAACCCCACAATGTTCAAAATGTAAAGCAGCAATGAAGAAATATAACTACTCCGTCAAAGAGATAGAACGTATGAGAAACGACTATGCTGACTTAAAGAAAGAAGCAGAGAAACCAGCAGAAGATAAAATGGACATGTTGACATTTCTAAACAAAAACTATCCAACTGCTGACGATTTCCTTCTATCTGACGTCAAGAAGAAATATAAAGAAACATTCGGCATTGTTAAAACTTTTGACATACTGACAGAAGAAATAGAAGCTACAAAACTGTTTAGGATTTCAAATATACATCGTACAATTCATGTAAAACGCTTATAAAACTTTATGGTAGAAATATATTTTTGTCTGATTTACACTCATTACGATGAAGTTTTGACAAAACATATACGAAGAAGTTTATTTCCTGTGTTGTTGTCAAAATGTCATGTTGTCACTATTTTCAAAAAGATGTTAGTTGACCGAGGGACCGAGGGACCGAAGGACCTGGTGACACCTAAAATATATTTTTGTCTGAGTAAAATGACCAAATTTCATGATATAACTGTTATTTTTTTACGAAGTGAACTTTGACACTTCGTAAAAAAAATCCCTGAAATCGTGAAAAAATGACCAAATTTCATGATATAACTGTTATTTTTTTACGAAGTGAACTTTGACACTTCGTAAAAAAAATCCCTGAAATCGTGAAAAAATGACCAAATTTCATTATATAACTGTATTTTTTTGACGAAGTGAACTTTGACACTTCGTAAAAAAAATCCCTGAAATCGTGAAAAAATGACCAAATTTCATTATATAACTGTTATTTTTTACGAAGTGAACTTTGACACTTCGTAAAAAAAATCCCTGAAATCATATCTTTTATACAAGATAGAAAATCTTACTCGCCTAAAACTCTATGAAAATCGTGAAATTTCTCTAGACCGACTTTTTTCGGGGTTGCCTAAAACTCATGAAAATCGTGAAAAACAGCGAGTACGGACAAAATCTTACTCGCCTAAAACTCATGAAAATCGTGAAAAATTGCGACCCAGACTTTTTTCGGGGTCGCCTAAAATCCCTGAAATCGTGAAAAATTGCGTTCCTCGAAAAACCGAGGAACGAGATTCCGTATGAAAATCGTAAAAAAAATGACCAAATTTCATTATATAACTGTATTTTTTTGACGAAGTGAACTTTGACACTTCGTAAAAAAAATCCCTGAAATCATATCTTTTATACAAGATAGAAAATCTTACTCGCCTAAAACTCTATGAAAATCGTGAAAAAATGACCAAATTTCATTATATAACTGTTATTTTTGACGAAGTGAACTTTGACACTTCGTAAAAAAAATCCCTGAAATCATATCTTTTATACAAGATAGAAAAAATAAAGTTAGTTTTTTTAAAAAAATTTTTTTTATCTTGTATGTAAGAACAGAAAATGACAAACATTGAGTTTGAAACAGTTAGAAAGATAGACAATGACACCAAAGTGGTTAGAATATGTGATTTAAACGTAAGATACTCAAAGAAATACAACAAATATTCTTTGTCAGACATTCTAACACTATCTGGAAAGAAACCGAAGGACTGGGTTAAAAATGCTTCTACTCAGAAAATTTTGACAAGAAATCCTGAGCTTATGATATCGGTAAGATTCTATGGAACTGCAGCATATCTCATCGACAAAAGTCTTATACCAATAGTTTTGTTATGGTTAGACCCAGTTGTTGGATATAACTTCATAACATATGGTTCATTCGATACGGAACGTTGCAGTGAAGGCTTACTTTACATCGTTCAGAAACCGAAGGACTTCAATACAAAGAGATATAAGATAGGAAGAACATATAATATAACTAAAAGATATGACAGTATAGTCAATAGAGTCAAGGTTGTGTTTGTTAACGATATGAGAGCTGCAGAAACAGAACTACTTGAAAAGTTTGAGAAAATGTATGGTGCTCCCACGAAAGGTAAAGAAACGTTTGAAGTAGATGAGATAGATAAAGCTATAAAATTATTTGACGAAGTTGCTGAAAAATACATGTAAAGCGTTTATTTTTGGTCTTTTGTGAAAATAAAAAAATAACGCTAATTTTTTATAAAATATTTTTTTTATTTTGTATGTAAAGACAGATATGTCAACAACCGAGAACACAACAACTGCTATCGTTCATGAAGCCATAAATGAAGAATATGAGTGGGTTCAGTTTAACAAACAGTTACGTCTCATTCGTTCGGTCAAAGACGATATGTACCAAATGCAAAGTATTTTGAATGCTCTTCGTTCTACAAAGCAAGCATATCATTGGTTTGAAAACCAACAGACAAAAGAACTTTTAGAAGAATTTCCTCATATGTTTGCTTCCCTCGAAAAACCGAGGGAAGAGATTCCGTACGAAAATCGCAAGAATTTGGCTCCTGGTTTGAAAGGATATTATGTTCATAGACTTTTAGTAAATGCTGTAGCAATGTGGGCTTCACCTCGTTATGCTTGTTATATTTTCATGATGTTAGATGAAATTCATAGACAAGAACGTGAAGAGCTAGAGAACAAGCTTGAAGCAAAAGATGAAGTCATTGAAGCAAAAGACAAAAGCCTTCAGAAAAGAATACCACGTTCGGTACCAAAAGGAAAGGAAAAGAACTATAAGTATATGATTTATACTGAAGAGATGGAAAAAGAAGAAGACAGAGATATGGTTATGTTGCATTTAGTCAGAAGAAACAACAAAAGCTTTTACGACCTTGCTAAGATTTACAAATCTGACAGAAATTGGTTCTATCGCGAAAACTTACCGATTTCAATGACACCAAATGAAGATGTGAAACAAATAGTTCAAGATACGTTACCTCAAACACACTATGATATTAAAGGTTGTACAATTCTTACATTCAAAGAAGATTTGCCGCTACTGAAAGAAAAAATAACAGAGTATTTTGACAACTTCAAACAAGCAGAGTAAATGAACCATTTATTTTTACGCTTGACTTCAGATGGCTCAGGTAGCTCTATAAGGTAAATTGTCTTGTCAAATCCTTCTGGCATTCCGAGTCCTTCCTTCCGACAGGAAAAGTCCTTCCTTCCGACAGGAAAAGTTTTTCTTTCCGACAGGAAAAGTTTTTCTTTCCGACAGGAAAAGTCCTTCCTTCCAACAGGAAAAATTTTTCTTTCCGACAGGAAAAGTTTTTCTTTCCAACAGGAAAAGTTTTTCCAGTTGTCCGTCCGTAAACCATTCAAATTTTCGAAAATTGAGAACTTTTTGGTCGAACTTCAGAAAAAGTTTTTCCTTCCAACAGGAAAAATTTTTCTTTCCGACAGGAAAAGTTTTTCTTTCCGACAGGAAAAATTTTTCTTTCCGACAGGAAAAGTCCTTCCTTCCAACAGGAAAAGTTTTTCCTTCCAACAGGAAAAGTTCTTCCTTCCGACAGGAAAAGTCCTTCCTTCCGACAGGACACAAACGAATGTCCGACGTACCACCAACCGAGTCCATTCCAAAGCCAGAAGAACCGAAAGCTGCAGAACCACAACAGAGTAAATGAACCATTTATTTTTCAAGCTTGACTTTTTACAATTTGAACTTTGTTCGCGTAGATATGAATTCTGAAAGAAGTATGAGGGTCTTGTATGACTTTGTACTTCTCCCATAGTTCATGTCTGTCAAACTTACCTGCCATGGACTCTTTCATAAGTTCCATGAAATCGTCTTCGGACAATCCGGGGAAAAGTACAATGTCAGTAAGTATTCTTTTAACATCCTTACTTAAACTCTTTGCTGTCTGTACACAAATGACAACTGAGATGTTAAAGTGTCTGAGCTTCTTAAGAATTCGACACATATCTTGTTCTCTGTTCTTTAACAAAGGATGAGAAGCAAAGTCATCTAAGATAAGAAGACATCTGTGAGGGTAAGTCTTCCAATCGTAAGATTGCAATTTCTTCGAAATGTATTCTATCTCTTTCTGTTTGTTTCTGAAGTGTTTCTTCTCTAATATTCTCTGCATTTCCTCATTTGGGTCTTTAAACTTCGAATTGACATACTCATTTATAGCATTGTACTTCAAAACTCTTCTTTGGTACTTCTTTATCCAATCTAACAACTCAGAGTCTTTTATACATACTAACTTAGACTTTTTTATAATATCTTTGAACAATTTACGGTTGGTCAAATTGACCAGAAGTACTACAAATAACAACTAACTCATAGAATGGGTTCTTCTCATCTAGTTCTTGTTGTTGTGCAGCCATTTTAAGATAAGTGAAAGTCTTACCCGACCCAGGTGGTGCAATTAGACCTGTTATACCATTCTGAGCAAATAAGAACTTGTCATGTATGGGTTTTATCTGAGCATTTTCTAATTTCACCTTGTTCTTCTTCAAAACATTCTCAAATTTTTTGTCAATGTCAGCAAACTTTTTTTCTAACATATTTTTAGAAAAATTAAAATTTTTATCTTTTAGAAAATGTCTAGCGATTTCGCCATCTATATTCGAGACAAGCTTTTCGACAGCAAAACATCTGTCGACCATAAAATCTTACATAGTGTAAACAAGAAAGGTGAATTTGTTCTAAAGTTCTGTTTCTGGGAATATGACAAGAACCATAAAACATTAAGCAGAGCAGTCTTAAAATTTGTCAATGACAGACTTGTTGACAGAGATGACGCCTCTTGGAGAGATGAAGTCCAACAAAACTTCTTAGAATGCAAAGAAGACACATGCACTGTTCTTGAAGATGAAATAGAAAACAGAATAGAAGAGCTATTAAAGGACAAAGAACTTTTACATAAATATGGTTCGGAGAAATTTGACATAACTCCACCAGAAAAGAAGAAGAAAGAAAAGAAAGAAAAGAAAGTAGAAAGAAGAAAGAACCTGAACCAGTTCCAGAGAAAAAGAAATTGACATGTAAAAATAAAATTTTATTTTTAGAACATTTCTGGTCAATGTCAATGTTCTCTTCCTCTTTAGGAGTAAACACTGGCTTAGACTCTAAAATCTTTTTACCCAATTTACCTTGAACTTCAACTTCTTAGACTCATAATATTCATAGTCGTCTGCTTTCTTTGGTTCATAAGGTATAACAAGTTTGTATGCTTTGCCTTCTTTAAGGTTTGAAAACCTTCTGTCAAACTTTCTTTGACTGCTAACAAACCTTCTATGTCTAAGTCTTCAAATTTCGCACCATTTTTAGTCACAATAGCAAACTTAACTGGTTCGATGTTCCAAACTTTGCTGAATGAAGACTTTTCAAAATGGTAGAAGTAAACATTCAAATATGTGAATGGGTCTAGTTCTTCTTTAAGTCCTGACATGTACTTGTTTACTGAGATGAATTTCGTCATCTTTTCTATCGGATAAAAAAATATTTTTTTTTAAATTTACTCATAAAAATTTTTCTTTGTATATACACCATTCTGAACATCTAAAAGACTTTGACATTTGCCAAGAATGTACGTTTAGACGCTGCCATATAACCATATTCTTGACAATATTGTTTATACGAATCGTACAATGACCTTTCATCTAATGACACAAAGTCAGTTTCATCTAATGAACAGTTCATATACACTCTTGTTTGCTTCTAACAATGTTTGTCTCTCTTCGGTATGTGGAATTTGTCTTGGATTGAACTTAGAAATATCTAATGTCATGAAATATGAGAACAAGTGGTTGTAAAAGTCAGATGTCAAAGTTTCTGCTAAGTCGTCAAAATATTCTGTATCTTGCATATGAAATCTGACGTTCTGACAACTACATATCTTCTGTCAGAACTTTCTAACTTCATCGGAACAGCATTGTTTTGAAACCATAATGAAATTTGAACATTTTTCACAAACTCTTTTGGTCTTATATTTTCTTTCAACAACTCCAACTTTGTCTGTTATAAGACTCTTCAAAGCATCTGAGTTCAAAACTTTTGTTGTATCTATACTTTGAAGTTCATTGCAAACTATAAGTTTCATATTCTCAATTGAAGAGTTAAATTTACCGCAGATGTTTTCTATGTTTGTCATATTCGGGTTCGAATAGCCCTCTAACAGTTTGCATAAGATATCTGTAAAGAACGTGTTCTTACCTGTTCCTTGTTTTCCAATTATAATGAGAGCAGTTTCATTTTTAGCACTTGGATGTTGTAAGATGTTTGCAAACCAACATAAGATATACTCATAGACTCTTTCGTTTCCATTGCATATAATTTCTTTGACATGGTCTAACCAAGCTTCTATAATATTTTCTTTCCATTCTACTTGTTCATATTTATATCCAGTGAAGATAGAATAGAAGTTTGGAGATGGTGTATAAAACTTTATACCACGAACTGAAAAATCTTCTAACTTTGACAATAAGATATCCCAAGCATCTAACATCTTCATGCCAACTTGTACGACTTTTATTTTCTTAAGTTTCTGTCTACATTCTTGTTCTGAAACTATTGTTGCTCTTGGTTTGTTAAAGACAACATCACATTCTTTCATGACATAACATTCTGGGGCAGAGTCGACATAAATGACTAAACGTTTCAAATTCTCGACTGCTTTGTTATAGTCTCGAAATGGACACATATTTCTGAATGCTTGGAAGTCATAAAAATCTGAAACATCTATTCTGTACATTTTTATAAAAATAAAAAAAATATTTTTTTTATTCTTGAGCTATTTGTTGCATTTGTTGTTCTTGAGCTATTTGTTGTTGAAGTTGTTCTTGTAATACAATACTTTCACCAGTTGCATCTTCCAATTCGAAACTTTCTGCCGTCATTGACAAATACATAGGACATAAAAGTTTTACAGGAACAAAGTTTGCGTCAACTAAGGTTAAGTTTATGTTTGCTAAAGTGTTTGAGTTTACTAAAGCTGAAAACTCTGCATTCGAATGAACAATAGGCAAACCAGCAGAGAAAGTGTTGTTTATACGCATAAGTATCTTTTGGTCATAGTAGTTTCTGTCGACATTCGAATAGCACTTTGAACCTAAGTTTGAAACAATATATAAAATAGGTGTACTTAAAGTCAATGGAATAGACATTCCTTGTATGACACCTTTTCCTGTTATAGGAAACTGTTGGTAGTAAAAACCAGATATAAGTTTTGTATTATAGCTCATATCGTTTAGAGTAAACTCAGTCGGACATCCAAACATAATGAAACCTGCTCTAGTTGCAGCACATGTTACACTCGTCCTTAAAGTATTAAATAAGTCAACAAAAACCTGTTGGTGGTATATCTGAGTAAGTATCTTCAAAGGAGTATTTTTTTACCATCACAACAACAAAGTCTTCTGGTGTCAAAAGAGCAAAACAGGCTTTAGTCGTCATTGTGTTTAAAGTTAGTTTACAATATCGTCCTTGAGGACTTGTAAGTTTGTTGTTATAGAATTATATGACTCGGGGTTTTTAGTCGTAATAGATAATAAACCACTATGTCTTCTGCCATTTTACTTAGCAAATAACTTTAATGAAATTTGTGGTCGTCAAATATTTTTATAACGTCTGGGAAACTATATTTTAAGTTCAACGTTTCACCTCCTTTCATAACGTATATCTTGTCAATGACATTATATGAAACACCACAGCAACTAACGTCGGGTTCTATTTCTTTGATGTTTATATCGTCTGCCTCTGTCAAAAGTTTCAATAGTTCTTTCAAAACTTCATGAGGTGCAATGACATATGAGTTCACTTTTACAGGGTTTGTTCGACCAAGTTTAACATTATACCTAAAGCTTGACAAATCTTCTCCTGAGTTTGAAGTTTGTCTTTCAGTTGTTGGTAGTCGTTTCGAATATCTGCAACAGAACTTAAGTCTCTGCTAACTTCAGGGTATGTTGGTTGTTCTTTTATAGGAACTATTGTTATACCATCTTGGTCTTCGTATGGTTTCCCCACTTCAACATCTCTGTCTTTGACATTGACAACAACACTTTGACTGTTTGTTTGAGTTGGTGAATTTAACTTCACATCTGCCACCGCCATTAAACCTTTTGAAACACTTACGCTTCTATTTTTCGGAAATGACATTTTACTTAGAATAAAAATATGGACGTATTCGAGTATCTCTTCGAATTGAAGCAAAACAAAGTTTACACACACAAACAATACAAATACATTGACAGAATAGTTCTTTATACAAACAATGGAAAATGTTATAGAATAGCAGTCTTTGCTGAACCAAAATATTTTCATAAAGCAAAGAAAGTTGGTATAACTGAAATGGTGAAAGTTCTTGACGTTGACAAAAATATAACAACAAAACTTACAGATATTTCTAAAGGTAAGTTTATAATACAATATTATGTCAAAACTGGCGTACTGTCAATATTTGACGGAGAGAAGTCAGTTCAAGAACAACTTACTGACCTGCTGCCAAAATCTGCTCGATGGAAGCTGTCGTTATGCCAATCTGAGGAGCCCCAGCAGGTTTCATCGAACGAATCTTCAAAAGAGCATCTTCCGTGAAAAGTGCTATTGGTTTTGTAAACTTCTTTGCTCTCAGTTCATCTGGACCGTCTCTGTCACCAGTATATTGTATTTGTACAGTACCAACAGTTGAAATACCACCCATAAAGTCTTCTGAGTCAGCAAATGGAATGCCAAGCCAAAAGTTTGAACGGTCTCCATTTGTATATTGAGTTTTTTGACTTCCTGTATGGGTCCATACTTTCACATATGGCATAATAGAACTTTGCATTTCAGGGTTAATGGTTGTTGTGAAGTTGTTGTTAAAGTTCATAGCATCTAATGTCAAGTTGTATGACCTCATATCCTCAACTGTAGAATATTCTTCTCTTGGATAATATTTACCATCTATGTTTATATGATATTTAATACCAGGGTTGTAGAAACAAGAATAGTCATTTATAGTTCGTCTGAACAGTACAAACATAGTATCTGCATGTTTCATTGCAGTTGTTAAAGCAATATCTGTTCTTGCACCTGGGTCAGCACTTTGGTTTCCAACTTCACCTGCAAAGTCTTTGACAGATATTTGGTGTATAGGGAACATAAGTGGAACTGCAATATATTTGGCAGCTAAAGCATTTGAAATATCTGGGTCCAACATATAGACTGCAAGTCTGCTTTCTATTCTCTTGCATTCAAATTTTTCGCATGTAAACTTAACTGGGTCCCAAGCAGTTCCAGCAGCATTGAAATAATAGTTTACTTCATTGTTGAAGTTTGAGAAACCAAAGTCTAAGTCAACTTTGTCTTTGCAAAATTCGGCGAATGACGTTTGATTTGTTCCCTTTACGTCTGTAATAGTGAATGGGTCTTGTGTTGGTGCAATGACTAAGTTATTTTTGCTTGGAGTAAGTTCAATAGAAATTTTTCCTGCCCAGTTTGGCAAGTATCTTAAAAACCTGAAGATGAGGAAAGATGACAAAGGAACTCTAAGTTTCAGTTTTACTTTGGTTACTGCTGCTGCAGTTTGTCCAGAAAGGTTAACATAAACTCCTGGAACGTTAGGGTCAAGTCTTCTTATTTTCTCAATAGTTGCATACTGGTCTGTTTGTTCTCTAGCTTGTGGTTGTACTGAGTTTCTCAAAGCGAACCATTCATAGTTTGCCCATGTTACTGTTTGAACTAAGTCAGAGTTAGAATATATCTTATATCCCATGAAAACTTCTGGAGCATATTGGTATCCGACATAGAAAATTCCATTGCAACCTTTCTTGTCAGACAACTTGGCAGAAGGTTTTATTTCAATGTCTTGTTCCACGTATAAGAATGAGTTGTCAATAGAAATAATGTGAAACCTGTCGCATGCAATATCTACTGTTGTTGAAGAACCTTCTCCAAACTCACCTACGTTTCCATAAGAAACAGCAGTTGTATATTCGTAAGTTCCAGGAACTATTTCTGACCTTCTAATGGCATTGTCGCATTCGTTATACCATTCGGAAACATTTCCATTCATAGCATCCAAAACTGTTGGCGTTATATTCTGAGCGGCGTACATTTCATATGGGTAAAAATATAGAATAGTTGGATTTATGTGTCATAATAGAACCCACGTGGACCAAGCTTTACTTTCTTCCTGGCTGAGTTTTTAACTCTTCTTTTCCTTCATTGCCACTACTTTCACTAGATGAAGTTACTTCTTCACTACTTTCACTTTGTTCTACTCTTCTCTTCTTCTTTGGTGTCGCTTTTGGTAACTTGCCCTCTGCTTCAAGTTGTTGCATCTTTGCCTCATGTTCACCTAGTATGTTGTAAATTTTCCATGTCCTTTTTGCCTTTGGGCTCTGGTCGCCCATCTCAGGTAACCTATATCCTAGAAAGAGTTTGTCATAGTTTGTATTTGAGTCTTCGCGTATTGTTTGCATGACTCTTTCCTGAGTTTCCGGTTCAAGCTCTTCAAACAGAGCTTGTCCATATGGAATAAGCTCGTTTCCAAATATATGTTTTTGTAGCCATTCTGGTTTTCTTTCCATGTTACCAACAATATCTTTTGTGAATGGGAAAGCTTTTACCCAATGTTTCAGTCTTGCGTCATTTATTTCTGTAGTTGGTTTTATTTTGTCAAGGAACATGTTTTTCAATACTAACATTTCATTTGGTACTGTCCATTTGAGTTTTCTTAAATATTCATCCCTTCTCGGTTCATTGTCTGCAAAGTAAGTTTTTATGACATTTTGCAAACTTTCGTTTGCAAGGTCATGTACAATAGGTTCTCTTCCTTCGCTCTCCCTAACTTTCTTTCTAAACTCTTCACCAAATATACCATCTTTATGGTTCTGTGTAGTTCTTTGAGATAAATGTTTTAGAACGTCAGGTGTTATATTTCCATCAGCCATGTTCATTTCATACTGGTCCAAAATATCTGCATGTTTCATATCTTTCAATGGCATTAAAGCCGCGCTGAAAATACCAGCTATATCTGGTTCACCATTGACTTCCATTGCGTCTACAACTTCTTGGAATTGTGGTTGTAAGTTTATGAACCACCTATCCGGGTTAGCTTTATGACCCCATCTCATTGTAGTTCCATAGTCTGCAGAAACAAAAGTAGGTTTGTTTCCATATTGGTTAGGTTCTGAATGAACTTTAAACAATGTTTCATTTCTATATGTTTTGTTGAAATTTAACCTTTTATTTTCACCGAGTTCAGCCAAAGATTGAACGTTATATGGTCGTAAGTAAAAAGGGTTATTGTATTTGCGTACATTTTCTTTCAGTACTTCCATTCTATGCTGAATATTTTCATCTGGTGTTGGAGTCTTTTGTATGTCGGCAAACATTTTTCGATATTCTTCTACTATGTCAGCCGAATTTTTTTTAGACTCTTGGAAAGATTCCATATTCACCTCATACTCTTGTTGAGGGTCAAGATTTTTCGGCTGTTCCAAATCTTCATCTAGTTCTGTGAAGTTAGTTTCCAAAGGAGGGACTTGTTCGTTTCCTTCAGGCTCTTCTAGCTGTTGTTGCTGAACTATTTCTTCCATGTCTGGTTGTATCTGAACTTCTTCCTGTGGAGTTTCTTGTACCTCATCTGCTGGCATTTCATATATTCCGAGACCGTTTTCAACAAGTTCCCTATTTAAGTCATCCGCATTCATAAGCCTTTGTTCTTTCGTTCCGTCTCTATTTTTTACGCGTTTCATGAAGATAGTTGAATCATCATTTATCTCTGACACCAAATATCTCGGAGTAAATTCGTTCATGTCATTTGGATGATATGCTATTAAATCATATCCCTTAGCGAGCTTGTATTTTCCAGGTTTGAAATTATATCCCATTTGGTGCTGAACCATAAAGCTAAATAGGTTCGGGTCAGTATTTCCTTCCTTGAACTTTCTAATAGCTTCTTTATATCTGTCACTAAAGTCAAGAGTATCTGGGTAACCATAGTCTTCTTTAAGCATTTTTAAGAATTCTTGGTTTCCTTGTTCTCTACTTCTTTTATGTCCTTGCTCTGTTTGTGGTTGTTGTTGCTGTGCTGGTTGTGGAGGTGGTTGTTGTGCAGGGTTTTGAACTGTTGGTTGCTGTGCTGGTTGTGGAGGTGGTTGTTGTGCTGGTTGTTGTTGTTGTGCTGGTTGTTGTGTTGGTTGTTGTGTTGGTTTTGGTGCATGCCTGTGTCTGTGTCCATGTGACGATGTAAATGTTTTAGGTAGTCCTGGTGCAGGTGCTTCTCTTGGAGGGTTTGGTGGTATATAAGTTCCACCAGCTAGTATATAAGTTCCACCAGCTGGTATATAAGTTCCACCAGCTGGCACATATGTTCCATCTGCAGCATAATGTCCTACCTGACTTTTCGTTTTTAAGAAAGCATTTACTAGGTCTGTTTTGGTCTGTTGTAACTCTTTTTCTTGACTTTCCACAACAGTTGCTCTAACGGCGTCATAGGCACTTTGAACTGCCTGTCTCGTTGCTGCATCTGTTATTTTCGTCATATTTTGTGCTACTTCTCTTAACTCTTTGTCGAAACCTTCAGACTTCAGTTTCTTTCCAGATGAGAAGTCGTTCACTAGTTTCACCTTACTATGAAGAGCTTCGAAGGCGTTCTTAAAGTCAGCATTTGTTAAAGCTTCATTTGAACTGTCTTCATCCGCTTGTATTTTTGTCCTTATTGACCCTATAAGTTGGGCTGCTTTAGCGTTGGCTTGGGCATCTAACCAGTCATTGTTAGCTTTTATATATTCTGCGCTTTTCATTGCCTTTTGCATGGCTGCGTCGTTATTTTTACTTTCTTGTGCTAAGTTTTCATACTGTACGGTTTGGTTTTGCAACTGTAAAAGTTTTTCTGCCTTTACATTTGCTTCAACTTCTTTTTTATACTCATCGCTATCCATATATGTCTTCAGGGCTTTTTGTTTTATTTCTTCATCTTTCAGTACTTTATATTGAGTAGTATGGTTTTTCAAATTTATAACATCTTGTTCCATTTTTGCTACTTCTGCTGCTTTTTCTGACACTTTTTTCGCATATTCCTCTGTACTTAGTTCTTTCAGTTGTTCTTCTTTCTTCTTTTTCTCTACGTTTAACTCATTGAGTTTCTTTGTGTGTCTGTCATATTCTAGTTTCTTTTCGTTTTCACTTATTTGCTTCTGTATGTCTATGTTTGACTTTTTGACATCTGATATTTGATTTTTGAGTGAACTCAAATTCATTTGACTTTGAGGGTTATAGGCTGTTCCGTCTGCAGCTCCACCATAGCCTGCCATTTTCGCTAAAAGTGCCGCTCTTAAACCTCCACTCTGTGCACCAAAAACTCGGTTTAAAAGCATAGGATTGCTTGACATTTGTTGCAACATAGTGGGGTCATTCAGCATTTGTTGTTGCAACTGTTGTTGTGGTGTCAGTTTTACTATTGGATGTTTCAATGCTCTCTTCCTCTTACGTATATTCTTACGTAGCTTACGTGGCATTTTAAGTGAAGTAAAAAACAGTTTTTGACAGATGTTTATATGACACTATTTGTTCAGCACAAAAAACTACTCGGTCAACGTGTTGTTAGTTTTGTAAAATAACGGTCCTATCTCATTCTATAAGGGGAAAAAGGCTTCTCAAAGTATACTTCCTTGGAACGCCCGTAACTTTTCCTGTAGCGACGATAGACCCTTACTTGTCCGGACAAAGTTATACTAAACATCTTCAGGGCTAGAGGGCACGAAGTGCCTGGAGGCCCCACTACCCTTTTTTTTTTTTTTTTTTTTTTTTAGATCGATAGCAATTCATATTGTTGCATGCTAAGTTCGGTCAACGATAGAAATTGAGTGGAAATTAATCGTCGAGGAAGTACGATTATGTAAAGTAAAAAAATGTTGTGGGATTTTTAATATTATATATTATTTTATAATAAAATTTTTTGAGTCATTTTAAGAAGCACATATATTTTTAAAATTAAATAGTTTTTCAATTTTTTTGAAGGAATTGAGATACTTCCCACGACAATAAAATTGAGAGGTTTACATTATGACTGATCTTAGCATGCAACAATATATCTTTTGAATTTGCTAATTGTGGTGATGGTGTTGTAAACAGAAATTCATCAAAAGTGACACCTCAGAAAAGCTAAAATATTGAATTTTTGGAACTTTTGATAGAGCACGTTTTTAAATATTAATTAAAGTAAATGTATATTTTGTAAAGATTCTTTTTAATAAAAAAAAAATAAAATTTTGAAGAAGAACACAAAATCTTCTGAAAAATAATATCACATAAACTCATATTATTTTCTAATATATAACTATTTTATATAAAAATCAAATTCAATGATCTTAAAAGCGAAGGATAAACCTCAAAATTTACGAATATAATGAGTGGTAATATAATGCTTATCTATCATAAAACCATATGAAATATTCCCACTCATTATATTCGTAAATTTTGAGGTTTATCCTTCGCTTTTAAGATCATTGAATTTGATTTTTATATAAAATAGTTATATATTAGAAAATAATATGAGTTTATGTGATATTCTTTTTCAGAAGATTTCATTCTATATGCCTATGAAAAGTACTCTCAAAACTAACTTTTCCCTAATTATAATTAAATCTAGAATATTGTATTATGCTTAGTATTATTTCATTTTTCTCATTCAATTTAGAATTTACAAATGTCAAAAAATTGAGAGCTGTCACTTTTGATGAATTTCTGTTTATTACAATGGTACTATTATTATTAATTTTTTATTTTTATTTTTATTTTTTTTTATTTTTTATTTTTTATTTTTTTTTGATAATATACTATTTAGATTTATACATTCATTCAATATTATGAAATAAATATTTCTAAATTGATCTGATTAATTTTTCATTAAAGTTTATATTATCACCAAATAAATTTTCGAACCCTTAGAGTCATAGTTCAATGGTAAGAGTCATAGTATAATCGTCAAGTCCATTGGTTCGAATCAAAGGGATTTTCACACTTTTTTCTTTTTTAAAATTTCAGAGGTTTATTTTTAAGGTTCTCGCTGGCGACCCCCCGTTCGTCGAAAAAAAATTGATTTTTGCTGGCGACCCCCCAATCACCAATTTTTTTTTCGACGAACGTGGGGGGTCGCCAGCGAGAACCCTTAAAAAAAAACATAATCCCAAAAAGGTGACATTTTGGGTGTATCGTCTATCCCAGGGATAGAAAAATGACTTCACCTTGGATTTATATTCCTGAGGATTTTGGAAAAAAGTTTTTACATGAACATGTGTATATTATATGAAGTATATTGATAAGGTAAAAATCAAATTTTATTGCATATTCATCGAGAAAATAAACTAACGAATCCCTCAAAATTGAGAGGGTAATCCTCCTCCTCTCAAATAAACGTACATACGGGTGCACCCTTAACTGTATTACCAAAGTATTGAAACCAACTGAACCTTTTTGCATTTTTCATACTTGAGATTGCATTGTAATTATATGCATCATCACAATGCAATCTCATAAATTTATCTTTTTAGCATTGAAGCCCGATGATAATGATAATTTTGTCACTTTTCCTGACGAAAAGAATTCAAAAAAAAACTTTCGCCTTCATTGGTTCATTATATGGTTCAAATTGATAGGTTATACTAAAACTAGATAGGATTGACTAGTGTAGGTGAAACTTTCAGGGAGGATACAATGGATGACATATAACAACTTTGCTTTCAAACTTTCCCATCATGAAATAGACTATTTTTCCTGTGTTATATATATAAAGACCATTAATAAGTGGATAAATAGTTTAATTATTGCCTGTTTCTGCATACTTTCATATATTTCATATGAATATTATCATTTTCTATAGGGGAAACCGGTTACAAAGGAATATTTCACTCTAATAGTCACATTAATCAATAGTTTTTAGATGTAACTTAAGCATCGTCTTATATTTCCCATAGTATTTGCATTCGTCAGGATATAAAAAAATTGAGAAGTAAATTCAATACCTAAAAAATTGAACAAAAAACGATGCCTATTTACAATTATATTTGCATATTAGTAGTATATCTTAATTTCAGTTAAATTTTTCATAAAAAATCAAAATGTCATTTGATCATATCAGATTATTCACAATCATGTAAATAATGCATTCATAAATTGAAATCAATTCAATCAAATTTTGCAAATTTTTGCAACTGTTTACTTTTTTTATAAAAAGTTTCCTTCAATTTTTTGTTAGGGTTTCCTCAATATTTATAAATGGATTTGCGAGTGGGCCAAAAATACAGCTTAAAGAAAAAAGTTGGCGGTGGCTCATTCGGTGAAATTTACTATGCAGAGAATGTTGACAACAATGAGAAAGTCGCTGTCAAATTGGAAGCAGTTTATACAAGACCTTCACAAATTGCTAACGAGAAAAAGCTATATACATTGATGGCAGGAGGAGCTGGCATTCCTAAAGTATATTGGTCCGGCAGAGAAGGTGATTATAATGTTTTGGTCATGGAATTACTTGGAGATTCTCTCGAAGACTGCTTTAACAAATGCAAAAGGAAGCTATCTCTTAAAACTGTTCTGATGATAACTCTTCAATTACTTTCCAGAATCGAATATATCCATTCAAAAGGCTATTTACATCGTGATATTAAACCAGAAAACTTCTTGGTAGGTTTGAGAAACAATGCAAATGTTATCTACGCAATAGATTTCGGCATATCCTCGAGATATATTGATTTCAAAACCCACCAACATATCGAATATCGCGAGGGACGCCCGATGACAGGTACAGCTCGCTATGCATCAATCAATACACATATCGGAATCGAACCCTCAAGGAGAGATGACTTAGAAGCCATTGCTTATATGATAATTTATTTACTTAAAGGATCTTTGCCATGGCAGAACGTAAAAGCTGCAACTAAGAAAGATAAATATGATGCTATTCTTCAGAAAAAGCTTGATACTCCCTCAGATGTATTATGTGCGGGAATTCCGAGAGAATTCAAGTTTTTCTTAGATGATATTAGAAGATTAGATTTTACAGATACTCCTCATTATTCATTATATAGAGAAATCTTCAAGGACTTGTTCGTCCGAGAAGGATTTTGTTATGATGACAAATATGACTGGTGCAATCTTGCTTTACAGTCCTCATCGTCCCTTAACCATATATTGCAGGCCCCAAAACAAGTTTCGCAGCTCCAAAAGAGCGCAATTGATATTATTAGTGATAACTCTAGAAATAAGAACGTTCGAAGAGTCAAAATGTCACAATATATCTCAACTCCTGCCGTAAAGCCTGCTACTCGTATTCAAACTCTTATATAAACTTTTGTTTTTTATTGTATGATGCAAATTCGAATAATTCTTTGTCACTTTTTTAATTTAGCTGAAAAAGATGAATAAATTTATGGCATTTGGAGCGTATTCATTTCCTTCCAAACCGAAGTCTATTGCTTCGTGTTGGATAACATTGGAAAATAACTGGCTTTTTATTTCAAAATCTCCAGAACCGCCATGTCTTTTCGCTTCTCCAATAGATTTTGATATTGTAACATCAGCAGAAGAACTTATAGAATCTCAAAATTCGATTTTACTTGTTTCAACATCTGATATCGGTCAAATTTCCGTAATAATTTGTATGCCAAGTAGATATGAAACACTAGCATTGATTTCAAGACTTGTGTCCCTTACAAAGCAATATAAGATTGAAATTAAGAAACCTCTTCAATATTCCGAAATGTCAATTGAAACAATTAGTACATCTTGGATGAAATCCAATAAGCAAAGATTACTCTTCAATAAAAATGGATTTGCAATCAGTCGTGATAGAGAAATTGCAAAGGTTATTAATATGTCAAAAATCCAAACAGTAAGCCTTACTCCTGATGGAACATACTTACTTATTAGGACAAATATTGATTCAGAAGATACAAAGGTAGGTCCATTTCAGCTTCAACAAGTAAAAGACATCATTACACTATTTTTGAACCTCAGAAGATCCAGTCCAAGTTCTTAATCAGGCGATTGTTTTTGTTTTGTTTATAATAAAGTGTATAATATCATAATAATAATTGATTCAATATTTTTTCACAAATTGAAAGAATTCCTCATAATATATAATTTACTTCACATGATATATTATGTTGGTGATCGAATGTAAGGAATCTGATAAATTTTAGGTGGGCATAATTTCCCACCAACCCCAAATCTACAAAATTTTAAAAAGTGCGAAAGAGGAAAATGATTGTTATGATATAGACATTCAAATTCTAGAAAATAAGAGGAAAATCAATTGAACAAAATTTGAGTACGTTTGTAAACTCAAAATATTCGTTATTTCAGAATGTTTCGCGCAATTCCCGAAGTGAGCCGCATTTGCTCAATGCAAGAGCGCTCAAGGCAATACAAGCTTCATCTTGAAGCCCTTCAAAAGATTAAGAATCAAAACGCTATCAAACGCGCGGCTTCTGCTCAGAATAAATTACTTAACAAACCATTAAGGCCTGTTTCACTTCACGGCAAGGCACAAAGAGAAGAGCAACAGAGAATTACATATGAGAACGAAAAAATGTATCATGCCATTGTTTACAGAACATCATACATCAATCGTGCAGATTTCTTTGAGCATGAACGTGATCACGAGCATCAGGTTTGGAGAATGACCCATAATGGCGTTGGCTCATACGGCTTCTCAGATCCAAATGCTAAGAAGAAACGCCAGGATGATTACAAATTCAGCAAAACAGAACCACAGACAACAAAGGATTCACCATCGACAAAGTCACCACAAAAGTCAAAGGAAGATGAAAACAAGGAGGAGAACCAGAACGAAAACTCTACATCTCTTCGCGCTGAAGTTGAGAAAAAACTTGAGCCAATGGATGACAAGGAACAGAACCAGGGAAATAACCAGACTAATATTAGCCAAGGCATGAAGCCACAGGAGAACAAACCTCAAGAAAAGAAGGATAAACAAGGAAATTCATTAAGTCTCAAAGCCGAAGTCAAGGATGAAGTCGATGATGTCGAAGAAGCTGTTGTTAAAGATGAACCCGCCCCAGCTAACCAGTAAGGTGCTTATATATATTTATTCGTTGATTTTTTTATTTAATAAAATTTTAATTCTGTAAATGGATCAATTAAATAACAATGATTTAAAAAGTATTCCAGTAGCATAACATCTTCCCCGATGAACTTTGCAATTTAAGATAGGATTGATAAAAAAGACAATAATATTTTTGGCTTGAAACTAGAAATAGTTTGAAAATCATATTGGCATTCCAATATGTGTACATAATTTTAGTAATAACTATTCATTTTTTGTTTCAACAGAAATTATGGAGTTGCAACTGTTCTCGGATATGTCATCTGAGTATGAGGATTCGAGAACAAATGCAACAAATGCCATATTAGAGGCAATGAAGGATCCTGGATATCTAAATTTTTTACTAAATCTACTTGACCAGATTAAAACAGAGCAAAATCACATAATAGTAACCAATGTTTTATATGTGATATACAAGATGCTTGGTACCCATAAGTATTCGTATGAAAGCCTTCAATTATTATCTGATCATCTCTTTGATCTACTTCTGGAAATCAATTACGAACAAATTAGATTTTTGAATCGATGCTTATCAAAAATATTCATACCCCATCCTTTATTAGTCAATCGTTATCTTCCAATCGTAATAAATGAAATTATTAAGCATGAAACCATTGAAAAAACAGTAATTTCATTATGCTTTGCATCTACATTCATTGAATATTCCAATAAAAAAGATTTTAACTTAGAAGCTTACTCAAATACGTTAATTCCACAATTTGTTGAAATAATGAACAATATTTTTACAGAAACAGGCGATGGACCACTTAGTTTTGTATTCATAGATATGATTGATTATATATTTAGTATTTTATCAATTTTATTAGAAAAAGTAGACTCAGCATGCCTAAATGAATGTACATTACAGCTTATACAGATTGTTCCACAACTTCTTGCATCTCCAGATCTAAGAGAACAAATGATTCAGCTAAGAAAACATTTATTGACTGTTTATGAGTACAGTAAAGGGATTGTTCACATTCTGATCAATAATTATGGTAATCCTGACCAAGTAAGTTCCACAAAAAGAGAGTTTTCCGCATTTATTAAAGAAGATTATTCAATTTCAATAATAAATAGCCTTATACAGCTATATGAACAAGCTTCTGATAATTCTGATATCGTAACATCCATTATTCCCATATTTAAAACCATGATTAACCGTGGAATTCACTTGGAAATTTTAATTTCAGAAGAATTCATAACAAAGTTCATTTACAACGTATCAAAATTGACACAAGAAGATGTAGCTCTCATGGAACAGAATCCTCTTCAATATTATTACTTCTGTGTGAATATTAAAGAAAAATCTGGTGACAAAATCACAAGAGGATGCATATACTACTTGTTAAAGGCAATGTACAATGAGCAGCCACGAATAATTGATTATATTATTGAGCATTTCGCTGAAGGATGTGAAGATGAGTCAATTTTGGAATCAAAGCTATTTTTGTTATCTATTTGTTCTCAATTTGTAAAATTTGATGAATCTGTTGTTGATCCGATCATCAAATCCATTGATTATTCGAATAATATTTATATTCGGTTGCAATTTCTTAATTTTCTATCAAGAATTGCTGAAAATAGTTCTGTTGGATCAATAGAAACACATTCTTTTATTATTGACCTCAGTTGCCAAGTAATTTTAACAGATCCAAGCGAATTAGGCCGATTCGCTGGTTGTCTTCTATTGTTGGCATCACATGATGATAAATCATTCAATGTGGCCCAACATTATGACGTTATGGAGATAATTCAGACATCTTTGACTCTTCTTGAAACATTTAACCACAAAAAACTTCAACAAGTCATTTCTTTAGTGGCTACATCGTATCCAAATAATGTTATTGACTCGTCAGTTGATTTAATTTCAACAATGATGAAGTTATGGGAAGAATACGCTTCTCAAATGACAGAAGAGTCAGATCCATCATCAAACGGAAGTGAATTATTGGTCTCTGTAGCTGCAATCATCGATTCGTTACCTATAGACACGTTTAAAAACGAATCTGAAAATATTATTGATTTTATTTTGAATTCACTGTTGAATTATCGCAATTCTATGAGTGAAATGCAACTTTGCTGCATACTCACATCACTCAAAAACAAATTAACTGAAGTTCCAATGACAATTTACAATATTTTTGATGTTCTCAACCAAATCACTGAAAATGAAGAAGGACAATATGATTTAATTGAAAAAAGTCTTGGTCTCATTATCTGTTTGATCAAAGATTTCAATAATTTCGTTGCATCAGAAAAAATGCAAGTTTTTATTGAATTTATTGACAATGTAATACAACAAACAGATTTAGGACTATTTTTGGCATCAATTCCTTTTGTTTTGGCTTTCTTGGTCCAAAAAATGGAACAAAATTCTTCTGTTTTTGAAATTGTTCAGAGATCTTTTATGTTTTTGAATGATGACACAGAGATATCAGTATTCTCAACAAGCGTAATGCTTCTTGCATCAGGAATTTTAATAAATGAAGATGAAATTTGCCAAAATGTGAATGACGAAGTAATTGAAGCAATTTTGAGGAGATTAAGGAATATTTCAAAATGCGATAATCGAACTATTAAATATACAGTGATTGTTCTCACTTCTTTAGGAAAACAGAGAAATTCTGAAGAATTAATCAATTCTGCTATGTTTTTATTAGATAAAAAGAATAATAAAGCTTACATAGAGAGTAGTAGTGATGAATATGAAGAAGATATCTGTTTATTCGATGAAGGAGATATTGATGAACACGCAATACCAGATTATGAATTACCGTTTGATTCATTGAATGCTACAGCTTATTATAATGCCAAAATTGGCAGTCAAACTAACTAAAAGAGATATTTGTATTGTTATTAAAAATAAACATGAATTTATACCATGATTAACTAATCAGTTTATAGTATTTTGATAAGTTCAATAGAATTAATCTAGTAAACATATATAGAATGATGCTTATGGACTATTTGTTCAAATACACAATTTATTTAATGTAAATACAGCTTATTTTTTCATGATCTAATATAAATTCATTATAGATTCAATATGCTAATCAATATTATATGCCAATAACAGAAATCGATTAAAAATTTTCATTTATTTCAAAATTTATCTGTTTATGAAATCATAAATTTCATGAATAACTCATGTAGAACACCGTTTTAGAAGTAGTTAAAACATATTATGATAGTCGTTATGCCGTATGACATATATTCATCACTAAATTTAATCACAAAATCTTTTGAAAGAAGTTCAAATTATGGTTTAAAATTTTTGTTTACTAGAAACACAAACAATTACAGATATATCAAAAATCAGGACAAAAATTTCAATGTGAAGTGAACTGATTCCAAAATTTTTTGTATGCTGCCGATTCCTGCCGTATCTGGGATCAGCCATCTGATGATGACTCCACGGCAAAAGGCACGTACAACGATACCGATGAAGCAGGCACGGTCTGTTCTTCCAACTCCAAACATAATTCCTCAAATATCAATGCAAAAACCTCAAATTTCACCGATGTTACAGCAAACAGAACCTCAAAAAGCACAACAGCAGGAAATAGACCCTGCAATGTTTAAGAAAAGATTCCCAAGACCAGTAACACCAGCACGAGAAATCGATTTACCGGAACCAGGTTTATTCAGCGATGCTGTGAGCGGGTCGTACGGGATTCGATGCGTATGTGGCAGACAAGTAGATAACGGATTCATGATCCAATGCGAAAACTGCAATTACTGGCTGCATGGATTGTGCATGAACATAGCAAGGAGCGTTCCTAACGAGAAGTTCCTATGCCCGTTCTGCAAGAACAAGCCAATAAGATGCAGATGCGGTAATTCTAAGAAATACGATGAGCCAATCATCCAATGCGTGAAATGCAAGTATTGGGTACATAAATCATGCGCTGATCTGGGGTACGGAAGGAACCCGCCGCATTTTATATGCTCGTTCTGCGGTGGTGGACAGCTTTCTGTGCCTTATTATCGATTACCTGAAAATCAGTTTCGAGATTTTACGGTTTTGATACAGGCAAACTACGCGGAAATGGTAGCGAAAATTCCTAAGGGTAAATTCCGTAACTTTATTTTGGCAGATTTAAATAAAGGAGAATTGCATTTCAATGAGACAATTGCGCGCTACTTTAATGCATTTGCATCATCCCTGTTCGAAGAAGATGAAGCTTTTTGGAGTCTGTTGACGTCAACTTTAACAGATATCCTTCGTATTGAAAAAAAAGTTCTTTTCAAGGCGATTGATAATCTTGCTATGCAGCTCCTGTACGAGAAGGTTCCAGAAGCCCGCCCTTCTTTGTTCGTAGCCTTTAATACCTTCAAAACAAGCGAAAGAGCTCAAATGTTGTTGGATAAGATGTCGATTCCTAAATACGATCAGCCATTGCACCCCGTTCAGCTTCTTTTCGCAAATGGCCGTATTACACCAGCAACTCCTTTAGCAGATGGTCAATTTATATGTGAAGTTCCCGGTTTTTTGTGTCACTTTTTTGAAGCGAATTCAGAAAACGGAATCAAAGCAACATACGTGAGTGTTCCCGATAGTGACTTTGTGATAGATACAGATCGTACGAGCTTTTCTATTAGCCAACATATCAGAAGATCTTTTCATTACAATTGTCACCCGAAATTAGTCAAAGTTAAAGGAACTGTCCGCGCTTTACTATTTGCGCATCACGTACAAGGTCCAATGGCACATGAAAAGTCAAGAAAATACGGAGCTCTCGTTAAAGATGAAGAATTATTGCTTCCATTCGATAGCGACCTTCCTTGGCCGACTCCTTCCGATGAATGGGCCGATAGACAACCAGATAAGGACACAAAGAGAAACACAAGAAGAAGAAAAGACGCAAAAGTGGATTTATCCAAGAATACTTTACTTTCTGTCTTCTACAGCAGCCGGGATATCGAAATACCTCTCAAAGTAATATCTGAGAAGGATATGAAAGAGAAAAAGGAAGAAGATTTGATTAAAACTTCTTCAAGAATTTTAACAAGAAGACAAGTTCATATGCATGATATGGAGGAAAAATGAACTTGATATACCTTCTCAATTTTTTTGTTTGCTATAGAATTTATTATTATTTTTTTGTTTATTAAATATTTGTTCGGATTTTTATGATTTAAATAACTTTTTACGCAATTTCTAATCTGGGGTTTCGTTGGTTCCATTTTATAACAGTTTAATTTTAAAATTATTTTTTTAAAATTTGAAATATTCTTAATTAAATAATCAATATTAGTTTTAAATTGAAACGTATTTATGTGTTCAGGTTCATCCGCCCATTGTCTCAATGTCATTCAAAATTCGACTCAATTTTTTGTAAAAATTCAGTATTTATTATTTTTTACAAGATAAATCTGCTCCCTTATGTCCAGTTTCTACATCTGGACTTTTCAGGCAATTAAATAAAAAGTGATCACCATTTTTGTGAAGACTTTTTGAAAATAATAATTATTTCTTCTCAATTCATTTCGGGGATCACTTATTTCATTTTACAAAGTATTTTCTAATATGGTAACAATGCAATATTATTATATAAAAAAGGAGACAGGCTCCTGATTGAGATAAACTATTCAAAATTCGAGTACTCTTCAAAATTTCACGGATTGATTCTCCACTTCACTTTTCATAAATAATGCTACTTGCATTAGAGCTCTTCAGAGGGCAGACAATCTCTGGCTTGCTTGGCAAATCAGAATCTTCTGTTAAGGCTTCTGATTTCCATTATGATGTTTCACAGTACAATGGCACAAAACAATTCATCGATTGCTCAGTAGATTCAAACATTTACTTCGATAATATCGCTTATGATAAGATATATTTGAACATGAAAAAGATTACATTCTCCCTCAATGAAGAATCACACTGCGAATTCACTGTCAATTATACTCAAGTTAATACATTTTTCACATTTTCAGCAAATCTCACAAAGGTAAATATCTATAACGTTGCTGGTTACCGTCATCATCTTATTAGCCGTGCAACATTCAACGGAAGATCAGATCTCGAAATGAACTTCCCACTTTCTGTTTCAAAGCAGGCATCTGGACCAAATATTGTTGCAAAGAATGGTTTCAAGCTTTCCACAGAATCTAACATTAACATGTTCAACATTGTTCAGGGTTCTGATAATTCGAAATATCATTATCATGCCTCACGCAAAGCCCAATTGAAGGAGATCAGAACAACATCATCCACGCTTATCTCAGGCGAAGGAATTGATGTTGAAGGCATCTATGGCACTGATAGTGTTTCGGCAGTTACATCAACAGCAGAATATGTTCATGCCAAGGAATTTTATGGACAATCAGGTGTTGTCGACTTCTCTGGAAACTTCTCATTTGATCACATGACATTGAACCATTCAAAGTTAACATTCACAAACCTTGAGGCAATCAATGCTTTTGGTTCAATTCATTCCGCTATCAAAGCAAGAAAGCTCAAGAGCAAGGATATTCAGTTCCAATTAGACATTGATAACATGGATGATCTTGCAGAAGGAACTTATGATGTCATATACGCTCCAGACATTAATTGCGAAAATGTTCAGTTGTCAACAAGTATCCATTATATTGGATTCCCATTCCTCTATGGTAACTTCTATGGTGAAAAAATGTGCACCTCGAATAAGATAACAATCAAGATCACAAAGCATGAACCACAAACTGATTTCTGCATTACAAAGGATCAGAACAAATGCCCAGAAAATACAGTTTTACTCAATTCTTCAAGTGATATCACTACAATCAGTAACAGAGTTAACCATGCTGTCAGTGTTTTCAAGATTTGGTGTTTCAAGGATTATACAGAAGATATCACAATCGATATGAACTTCACAACAGCTGTTGAATTCGATGGTGATAAAGAGACAGTTTATCTTTCTGATGACTCCATTTCAAATCTCAATGTCGTTGTTTCAAGAGGCTTGAATGTCCACTACAACGGAAATCTTACTAAGACATCTATCATGATTCTTAGATGCTACAATGCTGGAATTAACCAGAAGCTTGCTGACTTATGCAATGGACAAAATATATTCCAGTTATGGTCATTAAGAGCCGATCTTTCTGCTCTTCCAAAAGATAAAAATAGCAAGGCACTTGTCGAATTGCATTTCCCAGATTCAATGGTTGTAGATAGTAACACATACAATGCACAGAATGCTGGTGCAAAGGAATGCTATGCTGCAATGATCTTCATTGAACCAATCAACCTTGAGTCTACAGTCGTTTCTGATTCTCCAGTTACAGTTACCGCTTCATATCCAAATTGCACAACAGTTTCAATTAAAGCTCCGTCAGCAACAACAAACGGATTTGCAAATGTTAAAGTCGAACTTACAGGAGATGAACACTCATTAAAACTCGACGAAACAGCTAGTAATATCAACATCAGCTTCTCAGGAAAATTAAAATCTTTGATTGCATCTGCTAATTCAATTATTAATTTGACTCCAGGAAATAATGCAAAAATCGAAAACATTGAAGTTTTGAACAACATCACAATTACATCATCAGGAAATATCACATGCGATACCTACCATGTTGATTACCAAGCAATTCATATGCTTCCAAAGGAAATTAAAGTTAACAACCTTATTTTGGAGGAAGGATCTGCAACAATTGCTATGTACAATCAGATCTCCAACTTGAATTACAGCTACATCCCATCTGATTTAGCAATTTTGGTTGCCAATCACACAACAATCGAAAACATGACAATCAATTGCAATCTTGAGAAAGATGACCTTGTCCCTAATAATTTCGAAGATGTCGAAGATATGATCATTGTCACAGAGGCTGATTCTATTGAAAACATTGCCTTCACATCAAAGAATCAATTCTATAATGATCAGGTTGATTATTCAATATCATCTCGTAATCTCTACATCATTAAGAAGGGCAGTAACACAAAGTTGATTACTATCCTCGCAATTGCAGGTGGTGTTGGCGTTGCATTAGTCGCAATCATCGTCGGCGTTTGCATCTATAAGAAGAAGAATGAGTCAAACAAGCTTAACTCAACTCCACTCATTACTACAGAATAAAAATATCTCTTATGCCCATAAAATAAATGCGCATTTTTTCCCCTATTGAATAATAAAAAAGATGACATAATGCGAGTATATTCAAAATAATAGGGTACTTGCAGTTTATAATATGAAAGAAATGCTAGACACTCTTGAAAACCTACTAAAGCTGGGTTTGTAAGATAGAGAATGTACAGATAAGCAATACATCAATGAATAGTTTATATAAAAGCATTCAATTCCAATCAAACATTGGTATTTTGATCCTTTTAATATCAACGAGTAAGTCTATTAACGAGATTTTGAAAGAAAATAAAGTTATTACACATAATTTATAAAAACATAATAAAAAATGTGAGCAATTATGTAGAACTGAAAATCCATACAATTTTATGTTAAAAAGGAGGATAATAGGCAAAAGAAAATAATGAATCAAATCAAAACTTATGCTGGTGGTTTTTCTTGTGCAGCTGCTTCAGCTGGAGCCTCTTCCTTAGCTGCTGGTTCCTCTGGCTTTGCCTCTTCTGGCTTCTTTTCTTCTGGAGCTGGAGTTTCTTCTTTCTTTTCTTCTTCTTCTGTAACTTCAACAATCTTTGGTCCCTCATTCTTAGCTTCCTCTTCATTCTGCTCTTCTTCAACCAATTCTTCTTCTTCCTCAAGGTCGGCTCCTTGTGCTTTTGCAGAAGCAAGGATATCTTTGAGCTTAGAAACAATAGCTTGCTGAGCTTGTACGTACTTTCTGTATCTCTCATCGTGCTCTTCTTGTGTTTCATGGATGATATCTTGTTCAACGAGAGCGTCGTACAATTGATTTAATTTTTCGCTTGTATTGAAAAGAGAAATAACTGGAACAGCAGTGGTCTTATTATCAGCGGCTGTTTCGGAGAGGGACATAACAAGTTCTTGAATTCTGTTCATAATAATTGGAATTGGAACAAGAGCTTCTTCTGGATCTTCGTTTTGCTGCTGTGGAGGAGCTTGAAGTGTTGAAATAATTGCCTCTTGGATTTGGATAAGTTCTTGGCGCTTGGCTTCGAGTTTAGCCTCCTTTTCTTTTAATTGAGTCTTTAAACTTTTAGCACGAACTCTGGCATCATCGAACTCTGAAAGGAGTTTTTCGTTTTCAGCGAGCTTTGCCTTTAAAGCTTCGTTCTCTTTTTCTAATTGTTGTGTTTGAAGAGTTGTGTTGATAGCGAACTGGAGAGCACGGATCGATGGATTCTGCTGTGAAGCTGATCCAGTTGTCTGTGGGCGAGCTTGATCATTAGCTGTTGGAGCTGTTGCACTCATCTTTTTATTTTTAAACGGCCTTATGCGAAAAAAAGAGTTACTTTTTCAAATGATTAATATTGATTTAATCAGGTTTCTTACGGTAATCATAATTATCAATAATTTATCTACTGAAATCATTTCATACGAAATTTCATTTTGAATTTTGCCATTTCGGTTTAATATCAATTGGTCATTAAGTGTATAATATTATAGATAAAGTGTATGACAAATATGAATTCTATTTTTTAAAAAATTCCTCCTCCGGAATCATTGCAATGAAATACCAGAAATCCAGAGTGAAAGCTCTGTATTTCCATGGGACTATATTTCTTGTTATATCCATTTTATTCATTATTTATGGATATGAGCCAAAATTTGCAATGGTTCCGTTATTTTCACGTGTTGTAATGGAAGATATTTTTGATCAAAATAATACAATCAGAATAATGAACGCACTCATGAGAGAAGAAATAATAGTTTCTAATAAATGTCAAAAATGCAATCTTCATCCTTTAAGCCACAAGGATTTTTCAACTCCCCAAGATGTTGGAGTAACAACAATAATGAACTCCCCTTCTGGCACAGTTCTTTTATCAAAAAACATTAGAACAGTTTCGAATATGACTTTTATCATTCTAACTGATGATAAATCTTACAGAGGCATTGATAGAATTTCTAAAAAATACGTTGAAAGATGCGGAGCAATGATTGTTAACACAGGAAAACGCAGATTTAAAGAATTTTTCTTTGAGAGATACAAAACGAAAATAATATTATTTCATTCTTTTACTCAGCGATTTTACGCTCTCATCAACCGCATGGCATATTTTGATAGCCAAGATTTTCTTTTTCAAGATATTGTTTTTAGCGAAGACCACGAGTATTCACAAGGTCTTACACTATTTCCAGAAAGACAAAAATTAGGTGCTTTACCAGAATATGACGAAGTAGTTATGAAAACAAAAGATTCTGGTGGTATTACGCCAGAATTACTTGCAGAAAAGGGTAATATTAATGGGTGTTGTGGTGCAGGCGATCCTCATATCATTGCAACAGTTTTTGACCTTGTATTAAATGATATGAATCATTATGGGAGAATAACTGACCAATCAATGCTCACGTATTATGCATACAATGGTCACATTCCATCCCTGAACCTCCATCCAGACGCATTGTTAATGGCTGATCAAACTCCAATTAATACTTCTGTTTTTGGCCATTTTCGTGAAATTAATAAGACTAAGTCAATTAAAGGTCAATTCAAGTGGCTACATCACTTAATTTACGGACTTCCCGAAGAATTTCTTTTGAGGCTTTATGAGCATTGCCCAAGGGATAGTAATAAAGTAGTTAACTACTTCCCAGGTTTATCTGACCAGGCAATAGAGCAGCATGACAGATATCAAAAGATGAAGAAAAAATATGGATAATTTTTAATTGTTGGTAAATATGTTGTTTGTTTATAGCGCTTAATTTGATACGTTTTTTATTGAGTTTTTAAGAATAAAAATATAAATAAAATCGATATCTTTTGTATATATCCAAATGGAGATACACTATCATAGAGGACACGCCTTCCACTGTTAACAGCAATATTTATGCACTATAAAAGATGCTCTAACCATCTTTTAAGCAAAAATATCTTCATTTTATTCTTTTTTTTTATATTTGTTAATAATTATATAACATTTGGCGTTTCCTTAACCGGTTTCTCATAGATAGTTATTAGAAATTTGCTGTTTCAAATAAATTTTAAATTAATTTTTCCATAAATTATCCTTTAATTCAACTTCTTTTTGTGAGATCATCTCTTTTTTCTGTGGAAATGTATGCTATAGAGACATAAACTCTGAAAAATTAATTAATCATAAATAAATTTCAGTTAATTTAATAATATCTACACGTTATTTTTTTATTTGTAAATAATTATAAAACATTTGGCATTTCTTTCACTGTGCTCTCAAAGATTGTCTTTGGAGAGTTCCTGTAACAATCTAACAAAGCGCTGTCCATTCCTTGCATGTCTTCAATGAGTTTGTACATTCTTGTACTTCCGCTGTACGCTGCCATGTGAAAAACTGTCTGTTTCTTGGCATTTTTAACTTCAACATCTACTCCTGGAGTAATTAAGATCTGCTTTGCCGCTTCGATGCTTCCATTCTCACAAGCAGCGTGTAGAGGTGTTTCATCATCGTATCCTCTACAGTTTATATCCGCACCTTTGTTGACTAATAATCTGACTCCTGCTAAAAAGTTTGCTCTTGCAGATTCGATGAGAGCATTATTCAAATCGATCTGTGAGCAGTTAGTATTCTCAAGGAGCCAGAACAATGCGTCAAGGCGTCTGTTGGATGCAGCTGCAGATAATGCGCCGAAATTCTTGCCATGGGATTTCGTACCTGCAGGACACAAAGATGAAGGAACGGCCGCTCTTGTGCCTAATGGACCAAGTTCACGGGTGATTGGATGGGCAATTGCAACTTCTTCGTCTTCCTCGGACTGATCCTTCATAAGGATGACGTGATTACGGGCAAGGATCTCAAGAATAGCAACATTACCGCCGGCAGCTGCGTAAACAAGGAATGGATTATTTGTATTGTCTTTTAGACGGGCGCAGAGGTATGGCTGTGTCGCTATTGGCTTGATCAATCCGAATAATGCACAAATCATCAAAGGATGTGGCTGGTATGCGAGAAATTGGTTTGGATATAAAGGTGGTTGGGAAAATGCGAATTCTCCTTTAGCGAAAGACAGGATAGCGTTCTCATCGCCTGCAAGGACCTTCTTGAGGATAGAATCTTCCTCTAAACCGTATTCAAGGAAGGCAGATGTATGAATCCACTTTTTGTGCTTGTTAAATTTGGAAGTGGATAGTGGCTGGATGATGTATTCGTCGAGAAGACTACGATATGTTTGGCTGAGGTATTCGAAACCTTGAATTTTTTCTAAAATAAGATTAAATTTCTCTGGATCATCTGTTTCGAGCTCAGGAGTAAAATGAAGTATAAGAAGATAGAATTGGTTTTCATATGAGATTGGGTACTTTGAAATTATTAATTTAATATCGTTAATTTCGTAAATTCCTTGTTTAAGAAGATAACGAAGTATTCTGAAGTGATAAATCTTTTTTCTTGTATCAGAAATGGCTGTTCCGTAGAGTTTTAATGCCTCATCCTTGAATATTGGGTATGCTCGGCAATAAAACAAAATCGTTTTTAAGATTGCATCAGTATTTTGTGTTGGATCTATATAAGCAGCAGTCAGTTCTCTTACTAAGAAGTCGAATGTTTCCGTATCTTCTGTCTGTATCAAAAATCCTAATGAATTTATGATATCTTCATCAGTCATTGTCTTTGTTTTAGAAAGAATAAACTGCGCCTTTGTGAGGAGATCGAGTTGTTCGGATCTTGCAACAGGAATTCCTCCCATAGTCACAGGAATAGACATTTCTTTGATTTGCGAATTGAATGATAACAGTTTCAGTTTAATTCAATATGGATCTTCAATTTAATTCTTGTTTTTAAATCACACATATATTAAATATATTAAATTTCAAGTTGTAAATGATTTTGCTCTTTTGATTTCGATTGGTTACATTCAAATGATTTAGCAATTGATTTAACACCTATAAATAGTGCTCATATCATATTCCAAACCATGTTAAAAATTATGGATTGTTCTTGGTGGGTCTCTGACATTTCTACAGCCTTATTTGCAAGACAGGTTTTCAGATATTCGGAGTGAGTATCTGAGCTTGTTGTTTCGCGTGTTATTGATATATTGAGTAATCCCATTACTTTATTGTCAACTCCATTCAAAATCTGATTAAGACATAGGGTAATGGATAAAGAAATCTAAATAAAATAGAACACATGAACACACAAAGACGAATTTTAGAATACCACTAATGCTTTTCTTTAACTTAATATAGTTTTTCTTCCAACATCTTGATAGACCTCAGAATTAAGTTTCATTTAGTTATATTTGTCTAAGCTTACTTTAAATATGCACATGTAACTATATAATACGTATTCAAAACTCGAATTAGAAACTGAAATGTTGGATAAATTTATGAATTCATTTAATAACTTATAGTTAACAATACCAATGAGTTTTCTTCCATATCTAGCTAATTAAATAGATTCATAGTTAGTTGAGAATCTAAATTAGAGTAAATCTATAGTATTATTAGGAGATAATAGCATTAAGTATGTATGTTTAAGCTTAATACCATTGTATGCTGTATTTGATTACATTGCACTTTGTTTATATGCTATAATTATAAGAATGAAATGCATATTCTGCAATTATTTTAAATGTTCTTTAAAATGTTCATATTTCAAGGGATTACTGGTTGTTCTGTTGTAAACGAAAACGATAAAAATGGTTTGATAGTAAAGTGACACTTTACATGGCAAAAAATAGAGCCTTACTTTTGAGATACTTGAGATTGAAACTGAATCTTATGAGGCGGTGATCTTGAATCACTACCTCATAAGGTTCAGTTTCATATAAAATTTGTTGCAATTTGTTATTCTTTTGCAATTATTTCTTATAAGATTTTACATCTTTTAGCGGGGAATGTTTGTTATCATGTATATATTATAAATATCTACACGATAACGAACATTCCTCGCTAAATTGCTGAGAAACTTTGAGGAAATGTCGAACAATTTCCTCAAAGTTTCTCAGATTTATATAGATCACTAGAGTCCCCTAGGCACTGATTCTGGTTCAGTACCTAGGAGGCTCTAGTTCTCTAACGAACTGATAAAATGTTTTTAAATTTTTGGATATTGCTACCTGTGAAGCACTGACTTCAAGTCAGTACCTCACAGGTAGCAATTACATTGAAAGATGGGAGAAACTTTGTCCGAATGTTAAACTATTCGGACAAAGTTTCTCCCATTTGTAGTGGAGATGGAAGGCTTTGAGGTATATTGTATTAATATATACCCCAAGCCTTCCATCTCCACTTGAAAGTTCCAAAACTTTGGGTTAATAGTTTGCAATTAACCCAAAGTTTTGGAACTTTCTAGAAGGAATTGCAGGTAAGAGGTACATATTCATACTATTTACCTCTTACCCTCCAATTCCTTCCTTAACATAAACAATTTGGAGTTAATTGTTTGCAATTAACTCCGGGTTGTTTTGACCTCCAAATGAAAATGAAAGGGTAAGAGGTATATAGTGACCCTATATGCCTCTTACCCTTCATTCTCATTAATTATGGAGAAACTTTGGCCGAATGTTAAATTATTCGACCAAAGTTTCTCCCATTTTTTGAAGGGATTGGAGGCTATGAGATACTGATGCAATGTCAGTACCTCATGGCCTCCAATTCCATCCTGAAACTGATCAAAGTGGACCTTACATGCATTTGAAATTTGCCATGTAAAGTCCACTTTTTGAGAGAGAGGATTTGACTGCGTCAAATCCTCTTTTTCGTTTACGAGAGTTCTTCTATAAATAAAATCTTATTCTGATGATCTAATTTAATATAATAATAAATATCAATTTTTAAACCAATATAAGAGTAGAGACAATATGTTTGAACTTCGGGCCAAGCTCTGCAGCTTTTGTCAAGAACTTTGTGCCAGCAACTTTGCATTTTTCCTTTGCAACAGTTACTACAGGTTCAAGATAAGGCTGAAGCTTCTCGAAGAACTCAATATCAAGAGTGGCAACAAGATAAAAGCTAACAATATCGAAAATAGTTTCTGACATCTCTTCATCTCTCATCAAATCTCCAAATTGAGGAGTTAATGAGCTAAAGAGTTGTTTCCAGATCTGTGCGGATGTAGAATCCATAGGCTGCTTGAGGAGTAACTTGCAAAGAGCGAATTCAACATCCCATTGGTTAAGAGGAATGGACTGAATATGCTGAATAACAGTTGAGTTAACTGCAGCGATATTCCAAGTATTAGTAAGTCTGCCTAATTGAAGTGCGCCAACAGGGGTTTCAACGGTACATCTTTCTGTGCAAACTTGATAAATATTATCGGCTCCAATCTTCTTAAATAATGAAATAAGTAATGTAGATGATATTGAACCGAGTTCTGAAACTAAATGGAGTGCTAATGAGAGAATTTCAATGCGATCTGTATTTTCAATAATCTGTGTAAGTAAAGCTTCTTGAGATGCGTCAATTAAAAGCTGTACAAGAGCAGCCTGCATAATTGGCCTCTTATCATCAACAAATTCTGCAATAGTTGGTAAATAAGTTTGAATTAAATCGCCTCTAATTGGAGAAATATAACGTAAGATATGAACAGCGTATGGTTGATAGTCTGATTCTTTAAGACCACTCTCAATATATGAAGAATATAAATCGCATAGTCGTGATGAGAAAATTCTTTCCTCCATAACTGTATGTGCGAGGACAACATAGCGAGATTCTTCATCTGAGATGCAATCTAATATCTTTGAAACTCTTGCATCGCGTGAAGCTTCATCAGATTCTGTATGGGCGAAGATTAATTTTACAATTGGTGAAAGAAGTTCTTTGTTGCTTAATTGAGGGCTATATAAATCAAAACCGTATTTCATGAAAAGTGTTGCTAAGTTTTGTGGCTCCGTTTCTGCAGCAGTTAAAGCCAAACTCGAAAGAAAATCAAATAATTCTGGAGTTTGGATTGCCTGCTTTGAAAAAAAGCGATGAAATCGTGCAAAGTCTGAAGCATTTGAAGCAAAAATTTGTGCGAGATTTCGAATATAGCGTGCTTTAAGAAGTTCGACATATTTAAGTAAAATTCCAGCAGGAGGACTAGAAACAGGTGAGAAGGCGAAAATTACTGGATCTACAGCTCCTGGATGAGATTTCTTGTTTGCAATTGATGCATCAATTGCTGCAGTGTAAGTTTGTGGATTTATATGTTCAGTATGGATAAATTCGGATAAAGCTTGATTAAGAAGATCGAATAAACCAACTGAAATTGTCCTTCCTTTTGCAGCTCTATTGTGTTTCGTTGTAGCTGCTTTCGACATTTTTTTACTAACGTATATTTTTTGGATAATCGTTTTTTTACTAAATTTCATATCTACTGCAATGAATATATTGAGCATCAAGTTTAGGATAGATGTCACATAGAATGCTGGTTAATTTTCAGAATTTTCAAATCAAATTCATCCAATTAACCTAAAAAATTAATTATAATGATTTAATATCCTATCATACAGCAAAATATTATGAATTGTACCTTGGAAGTTCTCTCTTATACAGTTAATATCAAATTTATTTTAGATAAGTTTTGTGTTTTGCCATGTTTATCAGAATATGCATAAATTTTCGAGCCTAGCAAATTTTAATGCTTTGGTGAAAGAAAATTCAAATCATTATTTTTTCATATCGAATAGAATCGATAACATTACAAAATGCTCATAGATTTTAATTAGCAATAAAATCTCAATAACAAAGAATTGCTTTAATTGTAATATCATAGTTAGATCAAAAAAAAATTTATCAGAATTATAGCGAATTAATCAATAAATCATTAAAGTTTCCTTGTATAATGGAATGTGTAGTAGAATTTCTTGTCAAATGGCAAAACGAAAACAAAGATTTAAAAATTAAAAAATATAAGCTCTAAGAATGAAATAAATTGTTGTAAATCACTAATTGACACTCCGACCACGAGGTCGCGCGCCACCCGTGCTACATTTATTGCGAAATTTTTGAACTCCTGCGTACATGCGCACAAGCCTTCGAATTCGCGTTTGTCCGGCCATTCCTCTCAATTTTTTTCAGAGGCACAAAAAGTGACGTATAAATTACACCTACAAAAGTGACAAGATTTTTGACGATTTTTATATTTTTTATATTTTTAGATGAATGAAGAAGATAGAAGTTGAGCCGCTTCCTTCATTCATTATGCAAAGGCTTACTCATGTTGTTTATTGCAACATTTCTACCGAGCTTGTTCGCGCTCAACCGCGATGTTTTTCAAGAATCCGCAGAGCATGGAAGAAAATTACAAAAGAAAACAACTTGAATATTAGAATTTACTTTCCAGCGATATCATTTAATTCGAAATCTATTAACAGTTACCTTAGCAGTTCAAAATTAATTTTTAATTCTAGAGAAAAAGGTTTCTATTTTGACGCAAAAGATACAAACACACAACCAAATCGTGAACTACAGACAACACAATACTTAAGACAAGTTATGTACGAAACGGATTTTCTTCAAACTGGAAATTTTTTTGATCTACCTATCTCTGTGATGTTCTTTTCACTTGGAACGGAACAGCCAGTAACAAGAAAATTCCCTATGTGGGCGCAATACACAATCGATCAAGCTTCAGGAATTCATGCCATTTATGAAGAGGCAAAACTAGAAGAAATATTGCAAGCTTTTATTATTAGATCACTTAAATCTCGATTAGATCGATTAGTTGATAACGCACGAGCAGATTACCTCAATAAAAAAGATTTTATTAATTTTCGAAGGGTAATTGATGCAGAAGCATGCAAAGGTAATCACAAAGCAGCTTATGTACAAGTTAAAGAGCTGTTAAAGAGCCCAAATATCCCTGTTGAAATACAAACAAGTTCAATTTTTCTAAAAATTGAATTAGAGATCATTTTAGGTGAAATCAGCAATGATACAATCAACGATATACTTCAATGCATCGAGTATTCGCCAACTTATGAATGGCGTCTCCTTGCAATTCTTATTCATTTTTGGATTTCATTTAAAATGTCAAAACCAACAACATCAGAGATAGAACGTTATATAATCTCAGAATCCCCAATTAATCTGATCGTTAGACCCTTCTTACTCGAGCAAATTTCGATTTTCAAAGGAAAATCTTTGCCATTAACTTTAATGCAAGCATCTGAACTCCATAGAGCCACAGGAAATGAAGAACATTGTCTAAGATGTTATTGGCGTGCATATAATTCCATTTCTTCCACAAATTTATACGATGCCAAAAATTATTTACTTCATTCCATTGTTTCCACACTATTTCATGAGAAACCGGAGTCAGCGGCACTCATGTCACCATATCTAGGTGAACTTCTCAAGGAAACACACATCCAAAAGGCTCCAATCACTGCGACATATCTGGCATTGACAGAACCAACGGAAGTTTTTGAGTGTAACTTCATTAAAGTGTCACTTATTGATGTCTCATTTGATTCTCCTATTACTGGTCCTTCCAATTACGAAGAAGACTGGTATCAGACCGCAATTCGTTTGTTTAGTTTCAAAAACAGGGAAAAGTTTTTGAATAAAAAGGAAACAAATGAATTAAGTGTCGGAGATGTACTTTCCTTCAATGTAGAAATCAATTCCTTGTGTAAAGAGTTCGAAGCGGGAATTGCTTCACTTTCTATAAAAGGAAAAGCTTCGTCTACAAAAGAAAACGTGTCATTTCATAAAAAAGTGACACTTAACATGACGATAGAAGATTTTGGCGACATTGTTGTAGACGGAATCGAATTCCTTTGGGCAGAAAAAATTAGAATTTTTGCCAAGTTTACAAAACCGTTTTTTGCAACTGTTCCAAATGATTGTCCACAAGCGAAATTGAATGTTGATTGGCCAATTTATGAGTGTATTGCAGGACATCCGACCAAATTTGTTCTTTCTTTGAAAGCCATAACAAATTTGACTCATTTACATGTTTTGTGTCCTGATAATGTTTTCCTGATGAATCCGAAGACGAAAGAAGTTTCTGGTTTCTACAAACTTAACGATATGAAAGAAGATGATGAAAAAGAACTTGAATTCTCATTCAGTTCTTCGAATCCAGGAAGTTACAAACTTTTTGTTTTCATTGGTTATTCAAATGAAAACAGAGAGTTGATTGGCATGAAAAAGTACTTTTCGAATGTAGAAGTTTTCCAAGAATCATCATCTGATATTCCTTTGTATCCATGCTTCAGAAGTGAAGCAATTGGAAAGACGAAAGAGCCAAATTTCAAACTTTCGTTGAATCTGGAAAACAATAATTTGGAAATTTTGGTTTCTCCAAAATCAGAATCACTGAAAGACCTAAAATTAGAAGTTTCTGGGATGATTGTTGGAAAGAGCATAATAAGAATTGAACACATCAAAAGAGGGAACTCATTTTCTCATAAAGTTGTAGTTCTTTCTTACAAAAATTTGATTGTAAGAGTTCACACAAAACTTACTTCTTATGCGACTAATATATCAAAGTATTTGGAATACTTATCAAAGTAATTTTTTATTTATTTATTTGTTTTTATTCTAAACTTTATCTATAAATGTCAATTCATGTATTCTATAAGTATTTGATTTTGAAACATAATACCAGTTATGGTGAATGATTCATATCCTTAGCAGAATTAAGAATTCTTTAGGGATTACAAAATTTGATTTTTATTTCCAAGAAAAATACAGAGTCATGTACTTATTGACTAAATTTCAAAGTTAGATAATGAAAACATGTTTTTTATACAGTTTAAACAGGAAATTAATTTATTTTATTTCGTTTTCCCAAATTTTGCAAATATTACAAAGCATCCTTTTCATTCCTTACATAGAAATGATGAAATGCATATACTGAACAATATTAAATCTGATATTTCATGATAAGATTTTATTTCTAATTTATCTTTAGAAACTTTTCGAATTACGATATATGCTAAACCTTTCTCATCGCATAAGCAACTATTTTTAATACTAGCAACTGCGTTATCTGAATGAAGATCTACAAACCATTGTCCGTCAATAAATTCTGGTTGTTTACTTTCTAATTTCTGCGGAATTGTCGATGGTTGATCAAACATATGAAGCGATACATCTCTTGGTGAATCAGGTACATTTTGTCGAAATTGTATGGTACAGATTTCTTTTCCATACATCTCGTCCATGCGTAGAGATGCATCACAAAAATTGTTCGTAAAAAGCACTACGCCAATGAAAGATTTAGATTTGATGTGAGATTCACTTCCTTTCGAAATTCCAATCGACGACGAATCCTTTCTTGGTTTTATTTTGGCGCTTAAATTCTCGCTAGTCGATGATGTAAACAAAAAGTTGATCCTAAAACCTTTGATTGTTGTATTTTGTGTTCGTTTGCATGTACAGACGCGAAATGTTGGTGGTCTCGATTCTAAAGACAGTATTTGATCGGTGCGCGCATGATTTTCTGAATTTTTATGCAAATCTAATTTAGAGTCGTTCTTATTTTGAAATTTTCTTGCTTTAACCGGCTTAAATGATGGATTTTTAGGAAAAGCTTTGATGCATAATAGTTGTGATTTATCAAATTCTTTAGGATTTCCATCTTGTTGATTAGTCATATTAAATTTTGCAATATTCTGTATTATTCTTAAGGGTGCACACGGGAGGATCATGTAAACTTCAGAATTTTGAACCTTATTTTAAGGTATCATCTTGATTCCATTATAACCCTTTCATGGAGATAGTTTGTATCCGCTAGTATTTTCTTTTTAAATCTCTTTACCATTCGAAATCAAATTCAAATCTAAGTAGAAGAAAGGAAGAATCGACTACTGGTACATAATAATTGTTTGAAGAAAGGTAGTCCAGATAAATTTTCTCGCTCAGTTTTCAATTTTGCTAAAGGATATACTTACCGCCTGCTCTGAAACTTATATACATGGAATCGCTGAAATAGATCGAGGCATTTTGGAGATATTATTATCAAAATTATATTTCTTTAATTAAGGGTGCACTTACCACTTTCTGACATTCGCTCAAAAATCGGAAAACAGGCGTGAAGAATCTCAGAAAATAAAACCTTAAACAGGCAATTTGAGAGTGTGTCAGAAAGTGGTAATACTCCACAAGTTGCTGACAGTTAGTTGAAAAAAAAAATTACGTAAATCTGTTATAACTTCTTCGATGTTGAGTATTTATCTGTAATAACAACAGATATCATGGTTTGGAAAGATTCTCCAGAATCGTATTAGAATAAGATTTTGAAATATGCCTTAAATTAATCTAATCTGACTCAAATTACTGGATTTGAAGGTTTAATTGAGAAAATGACATTAAACCTTCTTTTGCTATTGATTCAGAATAACAATTTCGTTGTTGAACAAAATGTCCTTCACTGCAGAAATAGAATAAAGATCCACCATAGAAATTGGAATTGCATTTGTAAAATGCAGAATCTTCAAGTAATGTGTAGATTTCGTTAGATCTAACGATAAATATTGCACCTTTTTCTGTGCATTCTTCAAAGCTGCAAACAAAAATGTAATAATTGTTAGAAGTTGCATTATCAAATAATGCTGTTCCATTCTGAGTTTGATCAATTTTAACTTTAGCACCAAAATATTCAGACCAACTAAATCTTTTTGAATTTATGATAGCCTATTATTTTTAACCACTTGATGATAAAGGATTTCTCCTTTGTTCTGCATTTGATATTCCATCTGTCACTTTTCGGCATTTTTTCACAAATTTTACAAGAATATTTCAGAATTTTTATTCAGCGTAAAAATAAGGAGCAAACAGTGAAATATTTAGTAATGTGTAGATTTCGTTATGTCTTTTGATATATATTGACCTTTTACTTTGTATTCTCTAAAGCTGCAAAAAAAAAACTAGCAATTGCTACTACACTCATTTTATTTACAATTCGATTTTTTTCCACAGTTCAAATTTTTTTTCACAATTCAATTTTTTTTTACAATTTGAAAAATACAGGATATAATTCGAAGTGATATTGAGCAAAAATAATTAAGGCAATATCAGATACCGTAGCTATGAAGTGCTATGTTGTGGTTTGAAACGATATTATCATATTTTCACTTATTAATTAAGATGGAGCTGAAACAATCAATATTTTTCATTTCTTAAATGCATAATGCTATTTTTAAAAAAATCAATAGCCTATTTTCGATAAGAATATTTTTGAAATTTTTATTTTATCGATAAAATATCAAAATTGGGAAATACAATAGCATCAATTTTTCAAATTTAAGGTCTCGGTAAGCTCCAGTTTTAAGGAATAGGATACTTTAAAATTTAAGAAATAAACACATATATATTATATATAGGAAAGCGTAATAATCGTTAGAGTTCGATCAACTTTAACTTTGTCGCCAAAATATTTAGACCAGCTGAATCTTTTTGCGTTTTTCAGGCTTGAACTGTGTTTCGACTATTTCTGATGGCCGATTAGATTTAATTATTGGATGATAAGTCATTTCTATTTTGTTCTGTATCAGATTTTCCAACTGTGGAGGGAGAATAACAATTTATTTGAAAATTTTGAATTGTCAATTTTTGGTATTTTCTTTCAATTTCAAATTATGTTAAACGTAAAAATAAGAAACAAACAGTGAAATATTTATAATATATCTAAAAAAATAGAAAATTAAAATTAAGGCATTGGTTTGTCATCGGTGTTTGGATCTTCGTCTGGAGATGATGATGTCTTTCTGCTTTGATTCTTTTGAGTCAAAACCATGTCAAAAATTGTCAAGATAACGCCAAGAAGAGCAATCCATGTAAATGTGGATCCAAAGATACTTTTCGCTTCACCGGTAACATATGAAAAAACAAACCAAACAAAAATAATGAAAATAATAGGAATGCAGAAAATAACCATTTCCCAGATAGATTTCTTAGTTTCGTAGTAAAGAGAAAGGAATGAACCAAGTGGCATCAAATAAAAGATATAATAAAAAACCCAAATAATGAAAACTGTTGCAAAATATGTAATGTCACCATCAACAACTGATCCGTATGCAAAAACAACACCATACTTTTGATCCATGCCTGAGATGAATAATGGAAGTACATATACCCATAATGTCATAATAACCATTAAGATATAACCGAATAATGAGAGATGTCTGTATCTAGTGAAATAATCAAGGATTCCTAAACAAAGCTGCATCAAGACTGACATAGATCCTTTGTCTTTCTCACCACTAAGAACACTTTGGAATTCATTTAATTTATCTTCTAATGTTGGGAGTTTCCAGATAGGAATAATCCTGATTATAGTATATATACATAAGAATACAACTAATCCAATCAACAAATTAACATTCATAAATCCCATAATTGATGACTTGCTTTTTTCTTCGTATTCATCACCAACAAAGTACTCGTTTGCATAGTTCGCACCAATAACTTCCATAGTGTGTTTCCCTTTAGAAAGAGAAACGTTAATGGAAAACAATGATACATTTTCTTTCAAAATTTTGATCAAATTCATCGTAATTGGTTCTTGATCATCGATTTTCAGTTGTAATGGATCTGAATTATTACCATATAAAACAACTCGGACATCAATGTCTGATTTTGAGAAAACAACACGAGATGTGATAGAATTAGTATTGATTGGATAAGTGATGATGGCTTGTCTGTTGTTTGATGAATCAACTTTATGAAAACTACTAAATCCGTTGTCAATGGAAATTATTGTGACGTTTGATGTCATAAATCCTGGAGATGAAACTACATGAAGTAAGCTTTCCTTCTTAGTGATCTCTGGATTACGTGGATGTGTGTGGCCAGTCAACATGACATCATACATATATGATATATTTTTGATGTTTTTCTTGTTTTTGTTTTTGCCTGACCACAAAAGAGGTAATGGGAAATGGTTGATCAGAATGTTTGTTTCGCCTGGTTTGTAAGCATTCTCAATCTTATCAAGTAATTTGGACTTTACGTATGGCATTAAACCTAATGGAGCAGATATCATGGGAGGAGTAATCGGGGAGAAGCAGACGACGTTGATGGGATGATTTCCTTCATTAACGTGATAAGTTTGGAAGTCAAACTCTGTAGAATCGCTGAAAAATTGTCTTCGAAATCTATTTGACTCGTTTGTATCTGCGTAAACGCCGTACATGTCGTGGTTTCCTGGTACTGGTATGAACATGGCATCAGATTCTAGGATTTTTGAGTCTATTATGGTTTCAATGATGACTCTCCAGTTTCCTTCGTATTGCTTGTGGAATGAGATAGCCGAATTGTGATTGTTTCCATCGGCGACATCACCTGATATGACTAATACGTCTGGTCGCAAGTTGTTTATTACATTTTTGAATAATTTGTTTAAGTGTTGAAGCCTTTCGGTATATAAATGATGGAAATGAACATCTGTAAGTTGTAGAAACATCACTGGATCATCCGTTAAGTTTAAAGTGTTTGGATCTAATGAATTAAACGGTCCAACTTTACCACCTGCCATCATCGATCCGATACCGATAATCATGCATGCTAGTACTATAAGAGGTGTCAAACAATGAGCAAAGAAGACTGGAAGACAAGGTCGCATTTTGAATCTCAAGAAAATTGAAAAGAATGGGTAAAAAAGATTTTTCTCCGATCAAAATTTTGTGAGTATTAATATAGCTTTTGCAAGAAAAAGGAAAAACATTTACCATAGATAATAGTTAAATAGAGTTGGCAAATGAAAAAATGTATAGTTTCTGACTGTGACTTGATATGTTGCATGACTGCATAAATCTAATATTACATAAATCAATTCGAATTTACTCATAAATATCATTGTTGGTTTATACTTAAAAACAGAATATTGGCATATGAGTAAGCCTTTGATAATCAGTATATCTTCTTAAATGTCTGAATCAAATATCAAATTTAAAATATCATGTAATTTTCTCACTCAACTTATTAAAAAAACTATGACAAAATTTTGATTCTTTTGATGTTCGAAATGATTGTAAACGAAATTTGAAAAATAATTTTGAAATTTACATTTAATTAGAAGTAATAAGATAATAAAAATAATTTATTTCGAAGATTTAATAATAAAAAAACAAACAATTACAAAATAAAGAAAATAATTATTCTCTCATTGTTGAATTCATGTCAGAAGCCAATTCAACCTTACTGTATAGTGTCTTTACATCAAGTGCAACCACAGTAATATTATCTTGCGACCTAGCAGCGAAAGCAGCCGTTCTAAGACTGTGAGACAAACCAATTGCACTTTTTGCTTTTTTACAAAGTTCCCCAACGAAACTCATTGGTAATTCATCGAAAACACCATCGCAACCAACGATTACCCATCGATCTTCTTCATCAAGATTCACTTCATCCTCTTCAGATTCAGCTGAAATTCCAGGAACAGCGATATCACCCATAGTTCTAGACAAAGCCAATGAATTTTGCAATCTAAATCCATAAACAGAACCACCGGCTTCATGTACTCTTTCGAACTCTTCTCTTTGTGTTGGTTTATGCACTCTGTTTTCGTATTTTAATTTTCCATCTTCTGTCATCACGATGATTCTCGAATCTCCAATTGTCGAAGTTATCAATTTTCTATCTTTAAACATTGCTACAGCTGCTGTTGATCCATCAGGGAACAACTTAGTCTTGACACTTTCTGAGATACCTCGCATTGTTCCTCTCAACCATTGTTTGGAGAAAATCATTTTTGCACTTGTATAAAGTTTAATAAAAACGCCACAAGCATAATAAGATGTTTTAGAACCGCCATGTCCATCGAAAATGGCCATGCAAGCTTGGTTATCGACTGGATTGGCCTTGCAAACAAACATGTCTTCAACAGTGTCGCGTGTTCCTCTCATTTCGCAAAAAGATAACCAATTAAAAGTCAAATTCAGCATGCAATGAGGAGTTTTGAGCTTGTTCTTGGATACATGGATGTTCATGATTGGTGGCTTCTCATCTGTGAATGAAATATCAGTAGCAATTACATCCAAGAAATTCAAATTTGGATATAAAGTATGATCAAAGGCAAATGAGAGAGGATTGTGTCCAATCTTTAATGAGAAGATGTATGGTAACTTGATCTGCTCGAATTTCGAGATTTTGTTGTAAGATACATCTAATTCTCTTAATTTTTGGATTTTTTGGAGAGGAACTTGTGTTATTTTGTTCCTGGATACATCTACGGTGATAGTCTGATCATTAATCTCAGGAAATTCTGTAAGCTTGTTAGTACATAGATGGATTTCGAGAATTGATGGATAAATTGGCACTTTTTCAATTAAATTGTTTCCTGCGATGATTTTCTTCAAATTTTCACCGCCAGAAGGTAATGTTTTGAGGCCACAGAATGAGCATGATAGGTCCTCTATGTGTTTGGATAGTTGTGGAATCTGTAAAACTCTGTTGAACGAAATTGAAAATTCTTTGATTTTTGATTTGGAAAATGAAGGCGAAATCTGCGTAATTTTGTTGTGATTGAAGTTTGCGATCTTCAAATTCTTGCATTTGTAGACCCATTCTGGGATTTCTGTTAAATTATTAAATTGAAGTAATAATTTTTCCAAATTTGGCAATGTAGACTCGAATGTTTCGAGTTCATTGCATGATACGTTCATTTTCCTGAGTTTTGGCATGCTGATATTAGGGATATGTGTTAAGTGGTTCCTTTCAACGAAGAAATATTCCAAATTTTCGAGTTTGTCAAGGGAAACTGTTTCGAAGTCGTTCTCTGATGCAATAAAATAGACAAGTGATGATGGCAAGTTCTTAACAACCTTGATTTTGTTGAAACTGACATCAAGATGTTTTAATTTTGGTAAATTAGCAATGTGATCGGGAATAAATAGGCAATTATTGTAGCAAAAGAAAAATTGTGTAATTGTATTTGGTAATTTTGGTATTTCTGGGCAAAAATTATCTGAAAGATGTAAAATTTTCAGATTTGGCGTGCACTTAACAAAATCGGGGTATTTTGTAAGTTTATTACGTGATAAATCAAGTTCCTGTAGCGAAGGTAGATTGAAAACTCCAATTTCTTTAATATCGCAAAGGGAAATCTTTAAAACTGTAAGTTTTTGGTGCATTAACTCAATTTTATCAAAGTGGTTAAAACCTATATGTAATTCTTTGATTGTGTTTGGAAGGGGAGGAAGTCTTTGAAGCTGATTTTGTGAAATATCAAGATATTCGAGCTTTGGATAGCACATGTTGAAATCCATAACCTTGTTGTTGTTCATTACTAATTTCCTTAGTCCATGTAAAGCATTGAATCCCTCCGGATAAAGGGAAAACAAGTTATTGCTTATATCTAAAGATTGTAATTTCTTAAAGGAGCTAATTGCATTGACAACATCTGTAGTGTCTTCAGATAGCTCGTTGTACTGCATCGATAATACAACAAGGGACTGTAAATCTGTAGGTAATTTTTTAAATAAGTTTTTATCTAAGTTCATTAAGGTAACTTCACTAAGGTCACCTACATTATATGGTAACTTTGCAATCTGTTGTTCATTAATTACAATTTGTTTACCCCCATGAGACTGCTCATTACCCATTTCAATTTCTGAATCAAATTTTATATTGTCAAAAAAACTAATAATACATATTTGAGTGGGATAGTCAGAGAGATGAATTTAGCTTTATAAAAATCATAATCGTAAATATTTTCTGAATTATTGATTGCTGTGTGAAATTCAATACAAAAATTGAAATCCAATATGGTCAAAAGTTTATCAAACCTTGAGGATATAATTAGACTGTTGATAAAATTTATATTTTAGCAATTTTCGATAAATTTTATACATATTTTCAAAATTTTCAATGAGTTGACTCAAATGTAAGTTAGGTATCAATCGGTCTTTATTAACTAGATAGTATATTCATCAAAAATTATTAAAAATTAGTATCTTTTTTTATTTCTCAAAAACATTTCCCATCGAATTGCTCTTAAAGCGAACTATTGATTTACAGAGCACTACTTAATGTTATGAAGCCATTTCCTATGTTAAAATATAGCAAACGAATAAAAGAATATTGGAAACAAAATATCAAACAGTAGTTTACATACGAAAAAGGTAAAAGGTTGGTAAAACGGTATTGTGAAGTATGGTAATTTGATTTGCTTAGCAAATAAGAATGAAATAAAAACAAAATTCAAACATTTGGAGCAATATCTCCCTGCTGATTTCCTTCTTCTGCTGCTTTTTGAGCAGCTTCTTTTTCAGCTCTTTGTAACGCAGTCATCTCGCGCTCAATTGAAAAGGTGGTCATATCACCAACAATGCGTGATAATAATGACTGCCTTAATTCGATCTCTTGCCTTTTTAGAACAAGCCATTCATTATATACTCTTTCTGTGGATTTTATTCTATCTCTTCTGATCAGCAAACCAATATTGGTATCAAGGCAGCGAGAACGTTTTATCGTAGGAGAAATCCTTTCTTTCTCCCTTTCTATATTTTCTTGTCGTAGTTTTACTTGGAGTTCTTCTGTTTTTTGTTGTAATTCCAAATTATCAAGTTTTTTACGTGTAGCAAATTCTTTCAATTCTTGCGCTTTGGTACTTTTTGCAGGTTTAAATTTCCTTCTTTGTGGTTTTTGATGCTGGTTTTCGTTTGATTTCCTAATATTATCTTCTTTTTTGGGACTAAAATGCTTATTCATTCTTTGGAATTGATCATCTGATATTTCTTTAATTTTAATTGTTTGATGCTCCTCCATAATTAGATTATTTCTCTGTCTCGGGGGGCCAAAACTCATTTGTCAGAAATTTAACGTCTTTTTCCATTTGTCAATCCCCTTTTGAATTCTCCTATTTTCACTATAGTATTAAAAAAAAAAAAAAAAAAAAAAAAAAAAAGGTAGTGGGGCTTCCAGGCACTTCGTGCCCTCTAGCCCCCCGTCACTTTTCTGTCACTTTTCAGGAAAAAACATTTTTATTATATATATAAAATGAATTTTACAAAACCACCGTTACCCTTCTTTGGAAATAAGAGTAGATGTAAAGATATTCTATTGAGAGAACTTAAGAAACTACCGAATGGTCTAACATTTGTAGATTTGTTCGGTGGAAGTTTCTATATATCCCATTTGTGCCATACAATATTCCCAGACTCAAAGATTATATGCAATGACTTCGACAACTATATGAACCGTCTCAAACATATACCAGACACAAACAAAATATTGAAAGAGTTAAAAGAAAAGATACCTATAGGTAAGATGGAACGTATACCATTAGATAAGAAAAATACTGTCAGAGAGGTTTTGAAAAAAGCAGAGTATATTGACTGGGATAGTATATCTGCTAGACTATTATATAGTGGTGCTATAAGAGTTCATGACATTGAAACACTTATGTCAAAAGTTTTATATCTTAACTATACAAATGTTTTCAAAGAGAACATAGAAAAATATATTGAGGGTATAGAGTTTGTGAGATGTCATTGGACAGAGTTGTATGAAAAATATAAAGACAAGGAAAATGTTTTCTTTATAGTGGACCCGCCGTTCTATAACACATGGGATTTTCAATACCAAGTAGACTGGACTTTGAGAGACTCTTTAGAAACTTTAGACGTTATACATAACCATCCATGCTTTTACTTTACATCCGATAAAAGTGGTTTGGAAAGTGTCATGAGATGGTTAGAGGACATACATGACTATGAGTTTATATATGACAAGATAGAATATGAGAGAGGTCCTAAAACTGGAGAAAGTGTCATAACAAAGAAATTTTACTAGTAAGTAAATGTGGTTTGAAATAGGACTACTTGTTTTAGGTTTTTTCCATTGTGTCATTTACTTATTTGACGTGGCAGAAAAGTACAGAGAATATGAAGATGAACCAATGCCTGCAAATGTTCAGCATATGTACTCGTAAGAGATATTTTTTATCTAATATTAAATGGACGCACAGAACTTAGCGAATGCACAGCAACCTGGACAACCAAACCCAGAGAATATTCCAAATGAAGTTAGAATACAAACTGCAATGGCAAACTATGGTCAAGTGCCAACAGATGTACAAATGCAAACTGCCATGTCAAATGACGCTGCGTTAGGTTTGCCACCATGGTATGCAAATATGAGATGGAAAGAGTTTTATACAAACCCTGAAGTGGGATATAAACAACTCTATGCAGATGACGCGAACACAGGAGTTGACCCAGAGTATGTTTTCTACCAGAGGAGAAATAGAATGTATGAGCTCCAGTTAAAGAATGCTATGGAACTCAACAGGAAACGTAAGAGACTAGGCGGACATTAGATTTTTACATATAGTAAAATGGGTTTCTTCAGTAGTATTGGAAACTTCTTTCGAAATGTTGGAAGAGGTATATGGAATGGAATAAAAACCGTCGGAAGAGGAATTTGGAACGGAGTCAAAAATATTGGCAAAAGAGTAGGTCAGTTCGTTGGTATTATACCTAAAGACCCTGAACCAGAAGAGCAAGCTCCTGTTATACAACAGCCTGAACCTGCACCACAGTCTAGTTGGCAACCAAATCCAACACCTCAACCGTATTAAAAAATCATATTTTTACCGTTCGATAGTAGTTGTATATGAAACTAAGTTCTAAGTAAAACGCGTGGTATAATGGAATTATTCTCTTTCTTCCATCTGTAGTAAACCATACTTGAAAGTCTGAAATACTTCCACTCGTGGTTCATATAGCTTTGTAGGTTTTTCGTAAAAGTCATTTGCCAAGCATAAAAAAGAGTTTTGTGCACCAGAAATGAAGCATGAACTATAATAGCATCTGAGTCGAAAACATTTTCATATGTTCCATTAGGGTTTTCGACTTCATAAAAGTTCGGGTGTACTGGATATTCTGCAGGCTGATTTAACATCCTCAAAAATCTATACCATGCCAAGTTGTTATATTTTGTAGAAATATAAACGTCTTCTCCAAGGTCTTCTATTCTATTGATTTTAACAGTTGCATTTTTCCTGTCATATATAATATCGAGATGGTACTCTCCTTCGTCAATGTTGTACTGTTTTGCATATTCGAGATAGATATCGTTTATTTTTTCTTGAAAAGCTTGAAGAGTTGTTTCTAAGTTTACAAGCAAATTCACTTGTAAAAGTTTTCCCTGTTCAAATTTCTCATACGTACGTTTTTCTTTGTTATAGTATCGAATTTCAAAAGCGACCGTAAATGGGAAACCATGTATGGCTTCTGAAATGAACTTCATTCTACGAAAGCCAATAGCTTTTGTGACGGATGGGTCTCTTAACCATCTTAGTGGGTAGTCAAAACGATAGCCTTCATGCTTTACGGTCTCTGTCTCAAACTTTTGACCGACATTGGTAAAAAGTTCATCTAATGGTTTAGTTGTAGCAACTCTAGAATTTTCTTTTTCTATTGAAAGCATATTTTATCTAGAATAAAAATGTCGAAAGAAACAGCGTCTATGAGAGAAATACAACACAACCGACAACTCATTTTGCAAGCTCTAAATAAGAACACAACAAACTTTTCAAACTATTCTAAGATATCTGAGTCATTGAAAGAAGGAAACTTAAAACTGACGATAAACCCAATGACAGATGAGTTTCTGTTTCAAGACAGTAAGAACCATACTGTTTGTATAAATCCAACAAAAGGAACTTTAAACGAGAAACCTATAGATGAACTTCTTTTGAAAGCAGATATTGACAACAAAGCTGACAAAGAGTATGTCATTGAAAAAGTTCAAGAAGAACATGACAGAGCAGATGCAACATATGCAACAAAAGAGGATGTTGAAAAGAAAGCTGACAAAGAGTATGTTGACGATGAGTTAGCATATCTGGCTAGTGGGTTAGTGAAGAAGGCAGATAAGGAATATGTGGATGAAAAAGACAATGAAATTATAAAAAGGGTTGAATGGTACCATGAACGGACATCGAAGATTTTAGAAGGTAAAGCCAATACAGGGTGGGTTTCAGGATGTTTAGACCTTAAAGCCGACAAAGAAACTGTAGATATGTTGACACAAACGGTTTCAAGTCATACCAGAGGTTTAATGGAAGATGGACAACAGTTGAAAGAGCTTGAGAAAGGTGTTACAGAGTTAAGGAATACAAAAGCAGACTCGACATGGATAAAAGGATATGTAGATGCAACAAAAGAACGTATTTTCGCATGGACAGAAGGAACATACCCACAAAAATATCATAGACATAGCATCTCTGACGTAAATGAACTTGAAGAAAAGTTATATAAAAAAGCAGACAAAACAGAGCTTCAAACATTAAAGACAGAAATACTTCAAACAGTATATCCTATAGGTTCTATTTATACGTCAATGAACTCTACCAGACCAGAAGTAGTACTTGGTTTTGGAACTTGGACTCAAATAGTCGACAGGTTTTTGTATTGTGCAAACTCTTCAAAGGAAACAGGTGGAAGTAAAACGATTTCAGGTGAAAACCTACCTGCACACAGTCACTACATAAATTTAACTACAGCTGAAGCAGGTTGGCATAAGCATAGATATTGGGATTGGACAGGAATGACAAAAGGTAAAGGATATGATGTTAAAGACGACGTTAAGTTTGCTATAAATTGTTACTGGGATGACACTCAGGGAGGAGGAAGCCATACACATCGCATTACAGGATATTCGGAAACAACGGGACAGAGTAAAGACTACATGCCACCTTACATGACAGTTTACGCATGGTATAGAAATGCTTAGTCGTCATTTTCAACTTCTTTAGCATATTCGTCAGGAGTTGTCTTATATTTGTTAGGAACTGTCTTTGAAAGTATACCACCTTGAACTTTGACAAGTTTGAAACGAGGTCTGACAATAGTAGTTTTATCTTCTGCTTGCAGTCTGTACATTTTGCCATGTTTGCCTAAAACTTCATAATATTCTCTTGTATACTTTCTTCTATTTTTACGAACACGAATGCGAGTACCTGTCGAGTTCCCATTGTTGTCATAGTCAATAGTATTTTCATATGGGTCGCGTTTAGGTATTTCTATTTTTACTTTGTCACCTTTCTGAAGTTTGAAGCCTGGCATTCTTTCTTGTTTGTCTCTTTTGACTAAACTATTAAATATATAGTCTTTCTCTAAGTCAGGGTTGTTTTTCATTTCTTCAGGGGAGTGGTTTCCCAAACCTTTTTGTTTACGGCTATTGTAAATATTTAAAACTTGTCTCATCTTTGCCATGGAGAAGTGTCTGTACTTGTCGTCATATGACATTTCATCTACCTCACCACCTTGTGGTTGGTTTAAGTCTCTTAAGATTTTTATACAACTGTCAATGACACCAAGAGCAGAATGGTTTTGGTCGACAATGAAATATTGGTTTACATTTTTTGAACGCAGATAGTTTTTAATATCGTCTGATTTGAAAGAACTTTCACAGTCAGATGTCAGTTTTGTTGGATGGTATTTGTCAACGAATATTGTCAAAGCAGTTTTCACATCTAAAATATTTTTGGACTGTAATGGTATGGCTTCACAGTATCTTGTGTTTTGACCGACAAATATTAGCCAGTATGGTGGTCCATCTTCTCTATACCTCGGAATGTTTTCCAAGATATCCATAAACCAAGCATTTGGTGTTGAACTAAAGATTTTTACCATGAGTGCTTTCTTTGTCGCTTTAGAAACATACGGGTCCTTGTTTGGATTCGTCATTTTATCCTATAAGAATGGGTTTATTTGGCGCATTAGCAGGAGTTGCATCCAGATTTTTGCCCGCAGTGGGAACAATAGCCAGAGGTGTATTTGGAGTTGAAGGAAGATTTTGAGTACATTAGGTATACTTAAAGAGAAAGCACAACCTATTATACAAACTGTACAGAAAGGTTGGGAGGTAGCACGAGATGCAGCAAATCTTATTCCAAATCCTGAAACAAGAGGAAAAGTTCAAGGATGGATGGACAATGTAGGAAGAGAAGCAGGAAACTACTATAACAAAGCAAATGACTACTATAACCAAGCAGGGCACTATATGGACCAAGGTGAAAGATTCTTTAACAGAGGATATAACCATGCACAACAATGGGTAAACAACAACCAACTCAACCGCCTCAAACTTGGGAATGTAAATTTTTTACTGAGATGAAATGAACAATACAGCATTGAGACAAATGGGTTCAAGATGGATTTGTCGACTTCCAGCAGTTACACAACGTGTTTGTCAAGTTCTTCCTATACCTCAGGAAGTTTTAGACCGACTTAAAAAACAACAACAACCAGTTGAAAACAAACAAACTAAAATTTTTTTACTGAGATGAAATGACCGAAGAAGTTGAAACGGTAGATTTGACACACAAACAAAAAGTTCAGAACCATTGTCAAAACCTGTCAAAGAACTTACAGATGAAGAAAAAAATTCAATAATAGAAAGTGCCAGGTCTGGAAATACAAACCCTAACTACAAAGTCACTTTTCATAGAAATGGAACGGCTAGTATCTCAAAAAGAAACAGACTCTCACAAATAAAATATTGAAGTCTGAAGGAGCTTTCGAGACAACAGATGGGAAGGTATTCTTCACTGACCAACAGTTCATTATAGAACATCTCATTGACTTAGAGTCGAAATATTCTAAACTTTACAACAAACACAAAAAGTTGAAAGGAAAACAAAAACAGATGGCATATGATATTTACGAAGATGTTGACGACACAACCATACCTGCAAGTGAGGTAAAGTCAGAGGAACCGAAAAGTGACGAAAAACCGATAGAAGAAGAAAAACCAAAAACTGAAGATAAACCAAAACCAAAGTTTAGTTTCCAAACTAAACCAAGTCAACCTTCATTAGCTGGTATGGGTTGGCGTCAAAGACTTATGGTAGCAGGAGGTTATGTAAAGTAAAAGGAAAACAGTATATTTTTCAAAAAAATATTTTTTTTATTTTATTTGAAATGTACGCTGAGTCTGTCGGAAAAGACCGTTGGGAAACTTGTTTGTTAGATGAGAAATATGAAATTCACTGTTGTGAGTCATTTGAAGTCAGAAACAAAAAGACAAAAAGAGTTTTAAGCGAATGGGAGCAAAATGACGGATATGCTAGGATGAGGATTGGTGGAAAACACTATTTTAAACATGTTGTCATTGCAACTCATTTTATACCGAATCCTAACAATCTACCTTTTGTAGACCACATAAACCATATAAGAAACGACAATAGACTTGAAAACTTACGCTGGGTCACTTGTTCTGAAAACAGTAAGAACATAGGCAAATTTAGAGATATTGTATTCGAATTTGTCGACGAACTAGAAGATGAAGCAATTGAAATTACAGACTATGGTAAGCATACGTTTGAGTTTTACTACTATAGCGAAGAACAGGACTCTTTCTACCTTTATACCGGCGTAAACTATAGAAAATTACAAGTATGTTTTACTAAGGCGGGCTATGCTTATGTAAACACTAGAGATACAGATGGAAAACACGTTCATATATTTCTCAACAAATTCAAGAAGCTATATGGCATACCATTTTAAAACAGTATATATTTTTTTATTTTTATAAAAAATGCCCCTATATAGAATAGATAGAAGGTCTGCTAGAATAAAAGCAGAGTTAGAAAGATATGGCTGGAGAGTTTCAAAGAAGTTTAAATATAGGAAGGGAAGACCCATAAAAGTCTATGACAAATTGTCTGGTCTTCGCTACGAAATGGACTTGGAAACAGCGCGCGCCAATTATCCAAACAGACTAGAGAGGTTAGAAGAAGAACGTCTTATGAACTTGCCTTTCAATGTTAGTGAACCTCAAGTTGAAGGACACGACGGCTTTGCCAGATTCTACTGGAAACATGACGAACAATTGCATCCTTTGAGAAGGAAAAAAGGAAAAGGTGAAGACAAACATGCTCCCATGGAAAGAACAAGATATGCATATGAAAAGTACCGTGAAGTTAGAAGTCAAATTACATCTGGTCGAACCTTTACAGTAAACTTTGACGAAGGAAAGAACAAAGAAGGCTTCATGGGTGTACTTGCTGCCATACAAGACGGAAATAAGAAAGGATACAATCTCAGACTAACCGTAACAGATTTAGATGGTCATATTTACTATGCACATGGCAATGTCACAACAGCTGCAATGCTTCTTGACGCTTTCAAGACTACAAAGAGAGAACAAATGGTTGACTCCGACTCAGACATTTTGAATGCAATTGAAGGAATTGCAAGTGTCAAGTTCGAATGGTACCAACCTAACCCTCAAGCAGTCAGACAACATGCTGGATACTTCCCGTTCATAAATAAGTCTGACATTGACTTGACAAGGTATGGAATTTACAATTCAATTGAAAAAATTGTCAACGAACCTTGCATTCTTACATGTCTCAGGAACTCTGGTCTTGTTTCAGAAGAGAAAATGAAGTATCTTGAGTCATGTGTGAAGACAAGGTACATGCTCAGAGGTCAATTGGCTAAAATTGCACCGTTGGCAAATGTGAATATCCGAGTCAACATACCTACAGCTAAAGGTTCTTCACATGACGACTTTGTTGTTGACAAAGACTTACCATGGTTGAAGATTGTAATTGTCCACAACCACTTCATGTTGAACGAAAGTCTTACAAACCCATTGTTCGGAAAAGGCAAGTGCAACATTGTCAGAGCTGTAAACATTCTTTTCGAGAAAGGTTTGTTGGAACCGATTCCAGATGACAAGCTGACAGAAAGTTTTGTACCAAAAGACGAAACAAACTTTTCACTGTTAGCAAGACCAAAAGTTGTTCCAGACAAAGTTCTAGTACAAAAGAAGTACACAGCTCCAAAAGGAGTTGGATTGTTCGGATACCAACCTGAACCAGAAGAATTCCAATGAGGTTGCAAGAACTTCAAGATGCTATAAACAAACTTCCATTGAGACATCCAATCGACGTCAAATTGTATTGGAGAGCATCTGAGTTAGGTCAGAAGGTTTTATATGAAACAGGTTGCTTCGACGATGTTTATGAGATAACAGGAGAAGTTTCTCAGAAGATAAGAGACTCGCTTGAATTTCCACAAACTGGACCAATTGGTTGCGACAAGTTCGACTCAGATGAAAAGATATACTATGTCGACCTTAACGCCGCATACATGAGGTTCGTCCAATATATCCCGACTGGAATTCCAAACGAAGATGGTGAGTTCCCAGGAAGGAACTATACAGTTGGAAAAGTCATACAACAACTGTATGATATTAGGAAAGCTTCAAACCCCAAACTTGCAATGACACTCAAATTGCTTATGAATTCGACATGGGGGTTCCATTAAAGAAAACCTCAAGAGATGAAGAGTAAACATTATGAGAAGGTCGACAACTTTGTTGAAAGGTTCTCCCCCTTTGTTTTGAAATACGAGTTCACCGAAGGTCAAGGTGGCTTAGTAACCACAGTAAAACCTATTGTCGAACATTGGTCTTATCCTCAGTTCGCAAAGGCAGTCCTTGACAACTACAACAAATTTTTCTCCGAAGTCAAATCCAAAGTGAAGGTATACTATGAGAACATCGATGCACTCATGACGAACGAGGAAGGCTATAACAAACTCATTGAAATGGGTTTAGTCGGTGAAAAGATGGGCTGTTTTAAGCTAGATAAGGTATTTTCCGAAGTTCATGTTCTCTCCAAGCGTAAGTACTGGGGTGTTAAAGAAGATGGTGAAATAGTTAAACATTGCATGAAATAAAAAATTTTTATTCGAATTTGAATTTAAATGTGTAGTTCCTAACTAGCTCATTTATCTCTATAAGGTAGATTGCCTCATCTGCTGGGTCTATGTCGGTCATTGTTTCAAGACAAGTCTTTTACTTTTTCAAGACAAGTCTTTTATTGTTTCAAGACAAGACTTGTACTTTTTCAGAACAAGACTTGTACTTTTTCAGAACAAGACTTGTACTTTTTCAGAACAAATTTCCCGTAAAAGCTCTCAATTTGTGAGAAAAATTTTCTGTTTCAGAACAATATTTGTACTGTTTCAAGACAATATTTGTACTGTTTCAAGACAATATTTGTACTGTTTCAAGACAATATTTGTACTGTTTCAAGACAATGTCCGACGGTTAAGCCACAAACGAATGTCCGACGGTTAAGCCACAAACGAATGTCCGACGTACCACCCAAAAATATTTTTTATTTTTATTGTAAGAACTGAAATGACAGTCGAAGCAAAAACGTTCACGAACAAATCTAATGGCGAAACATTCACAAAAGGCACTTACAACGGTATTGAAGTCTTACGTAGAGACATGGATGGTTATATAAATGCAACAAATATGTGTCAGCAGTTTTAGGAAGGACTTAGAAGGTTGTTGGAAAATAAGTCCTGGGAAGAGTATTTTAAGGCATTTTGTGAAGAATATACCAACCCGCGGAAAACGGCGGGTTGCTTTTTATACACAGTTCATGCAGGAATTCCCGATGAAATCAAACAGGTTAGAGGAATGTATTGTAGACCCAAGACTTACAAACTATATAGCAATGTGGGCTTCTCCAAAATATTGCATAGCAGTTGGAAAAATTCTGGACTCCATAGACAAGAAAGTTCATGAGAAATTAGATGAAGAAGAACTTGAAGATACAGTAGAGAATGCAAAACCTTGTTCGAAGAAGAAGTTAGAAAATGCATGAAAAACAAATAGAACATGAACGTGAGATATGTTCTGGTTATAGAGACTCGCCATACGAACTAGACCAATGGAAACAAGAAGATTTAAAGAGAGAATTTAGAGAATATGAACTCGCTAAGATAGCATTAGAAGCTGCAGAAAAGAAGTTAAAAGTTTGGGGTCGTTTTGTACCAAAATATTGTGGTAAATGAACCATTTTTTTCGACAAAAATAATGTTTATGTTAGAATGTTAGATCTAACATGTTTTCTAACATTTTTTCTAACATCGTAGAAAACACACAAAACTCATCTAATGGCTCGATGTTGTCCATTGTTCTGTTTCAGAACTAGTCTTGTACTTTTTCAGAACAAGACTTGTACTTTTTCAAGACAATATTTGTACTGTTTCAAGACAATGTCCGACGTACACCAAAAATATATTTTATGTTAGAATGTTAGATCTAACATGTTTTCTAACACGTTTTCTAACATCGTAGAAAACTCTCGAAATTCATGAATTTTGACACTTTCACAAAAAACATAAAAATAAAGTTAGATTTTAAAAAAATATTTTTTATTTTTATTGTAAGAACATGTTAGCAACAACTTTACCAAACTCGCTAGTTATGAATCCAACATCTATGTAGAGAATGAAAAGCTTCATTCCTTCTTCATATACTTTCAAACAGAAATCCAGAAGATAAAGCAAGAACTTCTCCAAGGAGATTTAGATTGCACTGCAAAAGATGAAACAAATGAACAGTATCTTTATGAAATGCAGGATATTATTGACCATCTACCTAAACTTCCTGAAATCCAACAACAAAAGCTTCCTATTCCAGAATTCGATGAAATAGAAGTCAAAGCAACTGACTCAGTAGAAATAAAGAAGTTCATACGAAAGGTAAATTATGAATTCCTTGGTTTTCATTGCAACCATAAGGTTATGGACAAAGATTGCGACATGGTATATAAGAACATCTCTGACCTTTACAAATCCGAAGAATTAAGACCTACGACAACTTTGTTTCATTAGTTGCAAAATGTGTTTGGGAAATAAGAGATAAGATAGTAGGGGTAAGGTATGGAACGAAACAAATAAGACCCGCTATGTTCGAGATGAAGAAAACCATTGACGCCTTAGTTGTTTTAGCAGGTAAGGTTTCAGAATATAACGCAAAAATGAACCCGCAATGTTCAAAATGTAAAGCAGCAATGAGGAAATATAACTACTCCGTCAAAGAGATAGAACGTATGCGAAACGACTATGCAGATTTAAAGAAAGAAGCAGAGAAACCAGCAGAAGATAAAATGGACATGTTGACATTTCTGAACAAAAACTATCCAACAGCAGAAGATTTCCTTCTATCTGACGTCAAGAAGAAGTATAAAGAAACTTTCGGCATTGTTAAAACATTCGATATCCTTCGTGAAGAAATCGAAGCCACAAAATTGTTTAAAGTCATGAACCATCGCAACATATACCATGTAAAACGCTTGTAAATAGTTATGTTAGAAAACATGTTAGAAAACATGTTAGATCTAACATTCTAACATAAATTATATTTTTGCCGAATTCTGAGTAAAATTCTGAGTAAAATATATTTTAGGGCTTGTGTCAAACCGTTGAGTTTTCACAAAATTTAAAAAATAACGTTTACCATGTGAAACGTTTATAAAATAACTGGGGTAGAAATGAGGGTAGAAAACGGGTAGATATACCCTTCTACCCTAAAATATATTTTGCTGAAAAATGACCAAATTTCATGAATTTCCTTAAGATAGAAAATAAAAGCTAGTTTTTTTAAAATATTTTTTTTTATTTGTATGTAAGAACAGGAAATGTCAACACTGAGTTTGAAACAGTTAGAAAGATAGACAATGACACCAAAATGGTTAGAATTGGTGATTTAAACGTAAGATACTCAAAGAAATACAACAAATATTCTTTGTCAGACATTATATCTCCATCTGGAAAGAAAACAAACGACTGGGTTAAAATGCTTCATCTCAGAAAATATTTGACAAGAAATCCTGAGCTTATGATATCGGTAAGATTTCATGGAACTACAGCATATCTTATAGACAAAAGTCTTATACCAGTAGTTTTGTTCTGGTTAGACCCAGTTGTTGGATATAATTTCATAACATATGGTTCATTCGATACGGAACGTTGCAGTGAAGGCTTACTTTACATCGTTCAGAAACCGAAGGACTTCAATACAAAGAGATATAAGATAGGAAGAACATATAATATAAGTAGTAGATATGACAGTACAGTCAATAGAGTCAAGGTTGTGTTTGTTAACGATATGAGAGCTGCTGAAACAGAACTACTTGAAAAGTTTGAGAAAATGTATGGTGCTCCCACGAAAGGTAAAGAAACGTTTGAAGTAGATGAGATAGATAAAGCTATAAAATTATTTGACGAAGTTGCTGAAAAATACATGTAAAGCGTTTATTTTTACGCTTGACTTCAGATGGCTCAGGTAGTTCCTAACTAGCTCATTTATCTCTATAAGGTAGATTGCCTCATCTGCTGGGTCTATGTCGGTCATTGTTTCAAGACGAGTCTTTTACTTTTTCAAGACAAGTCTTTTACTTTTTCAAGACAAGTCTTTTACTTTTTCAAGACAAGTCTTTTACTTTTTCAAGACAAGTCTTTTACTTTTTCAAGACAAGTCTTTTACTTTTTCAAGACAAGTCTTTTACTTTTTCAAGACAAGACCCGTATTTTTTCAAGAAATTTTTTGGTGTAAAGTTCTCAAATTTGAGAACAGTGGTCTTGATTTCAGACGATACCCGTACTTTTTCAAGACAAGTCTTTTACTTTTTCAAGACAAGTCTTTTACTTTTTCAAGACAAGTCTTTTACTTTTTCAAGACAAGTCTTTTACTTTTTCAAGACAATGTCCGACGTCAGTCAGTAAATTTTATCGTCCAACCTTACAAATGTAAACTTATATAGTTCTATTTTCTTCACTAGGGTCTAACACCAAAGTAGCCTTACAAATGTAAACTTATATCGTTCTATTTTCTTCACTAGGGTCTAACACCAAAGTAACCTATGTACATGAAATTTCACTGCATAAAAGGAAAAAACCTGCGCGAATCGGGATTTGAACCGAGGTCTTCGACGCCTGTAGCGAGGTAGCCCATACCACTGAGCTATGAGCCGCTTGCATATTTTTAAGTAAAATATAGTATATTTGTCATATAGTGAAGGATGACCAAACTTAAAAAAAATAAAGTTAGTTTTTTATAAAATATTTTTTTATTTTGTATGTAAAGACAGATATGTCAACAACAGAGAACACAACAACAGTTATAGTCCATGAAGCTATAAATGAAGAATATGAGTGGGTTCAGTTTAACAAACAACTCCGTCTCATTCGTTCGGTCAAAGACGATATGTACCAAATGCAAAGTATTTTGACAGCATGTTTTGCTCCAGATACTAAGAAACCACAAGACTGGTTTGAATTAAATAGCACTCATGAACTCCTCAGTGAGTTTGAACATGAAGAACTTAAAAAGATGTACCAAGACAGACAAAACTTACCATCACATCTAAAAGGTATATATGTTCATACGTTCCTAGTTAGTTCAATAGCAATGTGGGCTTCACCTCGTTATGCAATCTACATACTTATGCTACTTGACGAACTTTGTACAAAGCAGAGAGAAGATATGATGAAAGAAGACAAAAACATACAGAAAAGAATACCACGTTCGGTACCAAAAGGAAAGGAAAAGAACTATAAGTATATGATTTACACTGAAGAGATGGAAAATGAAGAAGACAGAGATATGGTTATGTTGCATTTAGTCAGAAGAAACAACAAAAGCTTTTACGACCTTGCTAAGATTTACAAATCTGACAGAAATTGGTTCTATCGCGAAAACTTACCGATTTCAATGACACCGAATGAAGATGTGAAACAAATAGTTCAAGATACGTTACCTCAAACACACTATGATATTAAAGGTTGTACAATACTTACATTCAAAGAAGATTTGCCGCTACTGAAGGAAAAGATAACAGAGTATTTTGACAACTTCAAACAAGCAGGGTAGATGAACCATTTATTTTTCAAGCTTGACTTCAGATGGCTCAGGTAGCTCTATAAAGTAAATTGCCTTGTCAAATCCTTCTGGCATTCCAAGTCCTTCCATCTGGCATTCCAAGTTCTTCCTTCTGGCATTCCAAGTTCTTCCTTCCGACAGGAAAAGTCCTTCCTTCCAACAGGAAAAAAATTTCCCGACAACTGGAAAAAAATTTCCTTCAGACAGGAAAAAAATTTCCTGTTGTTCGTCCGTAAACCATTCAAATTTTCGAAAATTGAGAACTTTTTGGTCGAACGACAGAAAAAGTTTTTCCTTCCAACAGAAAAAATTTTTCCTTCAGACAGAAAAAGTTCTTCCTTCCGACAGAAAAAGTTCTTCCATCCGACAGGACACAAACGAATGTCCGACGTACCACCAACCGAGTCCATTCCAAAGCCAGAAGAACCGACAGCCCCAGCACCACAACAGACTTACTAAGACTAAACACTTAGATTTTTCAAGCTTGACTTTTTACAATTTGAACTTTGTTCGCGTAGATGTGAATTCTGAAAGAAGTATGAGGGTCTTGTATGACTTTGTACTTCTCCCATAGTTCATGTCTGTCAAACTTACCTGCCATGGACTCTTTCATAAGTTCCATGAAATCGTCTTCGGACAATCCAGGGAAAAGTATGATATCAGTAAGTATTCTTTTAACATCCTTACTTAAACTCTTTGCTGTCTGTACACAAATGACAACTGAGATGTTAAAGTGTCTGAGCTTCTTAAGAATTCGACACATGTCTTGTTCTCTGTTCTTTAACAAAGGATGAGAAGCAAAGTCATCTAAGATAAGAAGACATCTATGAGGGTATGTCTTCCAATCGTAAGATTGCAATTTCTTCGAAATGTATTCTATCTCTTTCTGTTTGTTTCTGAAGTGTTTCTTCTCTAATATTCTCTGCATTTCCTCATTTGGGTCTTTAAACTTCGAATTTATATACTCATTTATAGCATTGTACTTCAAAACTCTTCTTTGGTACTTCTTTATCCAATCTAACAACTCAGAGTCTTTTATACATACTAACTTAGACTTCTTTATAATTCTTTGAACGAATTACGGTTTGGTCAAATTGACCAGAAGTACTACAATGAATACTAACTCATAGAATGGGTTTTCTCATCTAGTTCTTTGTTGTTGTGCAGCCATTTTAAGATAAGTGAAAGTCTTACCCGACCCAGGTGGTGCGATTAGACCTGTTATACCATTCTGAGCAAATAGGAACTTGTCATGTATGGGTTTTATCTGAGCATTTTCCAACTTCCTCTTGTTCTTATTTAAAACATTCTCAAATTTCTTGTCAATGTCAGCAAACTTTTTTTCTAACATATTTTTAGAAAAATTAAAATTTTTATCTTTTTGAAAATGTCTAGCGATTTCGCTATCTATATTCGAGACAAGCTTTTCGACAGCAAAACATCTGTCGACCATAAAATCTTACATAGTGTAAACAAGAAAGGGGAATTTGTTCTAAAGTTCTGTTTCTGGGAATATGACAAGAACCATAAAACCTTAAGCAGAGAAGTCTTTAAGTTTGTCAATGACAGACTTGTTGACAGAGATGACGCCGATTGGAAAGATGAAGTCCAACAAAAGTTCTTAGAATGCAAAGAAGACACATGCGCTGTTCTTGAAGATGAAATAGGAAACAGAATAGAAGAGCTATTAAAGGACAAAGAACTTTTACAAAAATATGGTTCTGAGAAGTTTGACATAACTCCACCAGAGAAGAAGAAGAAGAAGAGAGAAAAGAAAGAAAAGAAAGTAGAAGAAGAGAAGAAAGAGCCAGAGCCAGAGCCAGAGAAAAAGAAATTTGACATGTAAAAATAAAATTTTATTTTTAGAACATTTCTGGGTCAATGTCAATGTTCTCTTCCTCTTTAGGAGCAAACACTGGCTTAGACTCTAAAATCTTTTTACCCAATTTACCTTGAACTTCAACTATCTTAGACTCATAATATTCATAGTCGTCTGCTTTCTTTGGTTCATAAGGTATAACAAGTTTGTATGCTTTACCTTCTTCGAGTTTTGAGAACTTTCTGTCAAAATTTTCTTTGACTGCTAACATACCTTCTATGTCTAAGTCTTCAAATTTCGCACCATTTTTAGTCACAATAGCAAACTTAACTGGTTCGATGTTCCAAACTTTGTCAAATGTAGACTTTTCAAAATGGTAGAAGTAAACATTCAAATAAGCGAATGGGTCTAGTTCTTCTTTGACTTCTGTCATGTACTTGTTGACTGAAATATATTTCGTCATCTTTTCTATCGGATAAAAAAATATTTTTTTTAAATTTACTCATAAAAATTTTTCTTTGTATATACGCCGTTCTGAACATCTAAAAGACTTTTGACATTTGCCAAGAATGTACGTTTAGACGCTGCCATATAACCATACTCTTGACAATATTGTTTATATGAATCGTACAATGACCTTTCATCTAAACACTCAAAGTTAGTCTCATCTATAAACAGTTCATATACACTCTTGTTTGCTTCTAACAACGTTTGTCTCTCTTCGGTATGTGGAATTTGTCTTGGATTGAACTTAGAAATATCTAATGTCATAAAGTATGAGAACAAGTGGTTGTAAAAGTCAGATGTCAAAGTTTCTGCTAAGTCGTCAAAATATTCTGTATCTTGCATATGAGAATCTGACGTTCTGACAACTACATATCTTCTGTCAGAACTTTCTAACTTCATCGGAACAACATTGTTTGAAACCATGATGAAATTTGCAACATTTTCACAAACTCTTTGGTCTTTATATTTTCTTTCAACAACTCCAACTTTGTCTGTTATAAGACTCTTCAAAGCATCTGAGTTCAAAACTTTTGTTGTATCTATACTTTGAAGTTCATTGCAAACTATAAGTTTCATATTCTCTAATTGAAGAGTTAAATTTACCGCAGATGTTTTCTAAGTTTGTCATATTGGGTTCGAATAGCCCTCTAACAGTTTGCACAAAATATCTGTAAAGAAAGTGTTCTTACCAGTTCCTTGTTTTCCAATTATAATGAGAGCAGTTTCATTTTTAGCACTTGGATGTTGTAAGATGTTTGCAAACCAACATAAGATATACTCATAGACTCTTTCGTTTCCATTGCATATAATTTCTTTGACATGGTCTAACCAAGCTTCTATAACATTTTCTTTCCATTCTACTTGTTCGTATTTATATCCAGTGAAGATAGAATAGAAGTTTGGAGATGGTGTATAGAACTTTATACCACGAACTGAAAAATCTTCTAACTTTGACAATAAGATATCCCAAGCATCTAACATCTTCATACCAACTTGTACGACTTTTATTTTCTTAAGTTTCTGTCTACATTCTTGTTCAGAACTATTGTTGCTCTTGGTTTGTTAAAGACAACATCCCATTCTTTCATGACATAACATTCTGGGGCAGAGTCAACATAAATGACTAAACGTTTCAAATTCTCGACTGCTTTGTTATAGTCTCTAAATGGACACATATTTCTGAATGCTTGGAAGTCATAAAAATCTGAAACATCTATTCTGTACATTTTTATAAAAATAAAAAAAAATATTTTTTTTATTCTTGACTTTGTTGTTGCATTTGTTCCATTTGTTGCATTTGTTGTTCTTGAGCTATTTGTTGTTGAAGTTGTTCTTGTAGTACAATACTTTCACCAGTTGCATCTTCCAATTCGAAACTTTCTGCCGTCATTGACAAATACATAGGACATAAAAGTTTTACAGGAACAAAGTTTGCGTCGACTAAGGTTAAGTTTATGTTTGCTAAAGTGTTTGAGTTTACTAAAGCTGAAAACTCTGCATTCGAATGAACAATAGGCAAACCAGCAGAGAATGTGTTGTTTATACGCATGAGTATCTTTTGGTCATAGTAGTTTCTGTCGACATTCGAATAGCACTTTGAACCTAAGTTTGAAACAATATATAAAATAGGTGTACTTAAAGTCAATGGAACAGACAAACCTTGTATGACACCTTTTCCTGTTATAGGAAACTGTTGGTAGTAAAAACCAGATATAAGTTTTGTATTATAGCTCATATTGTTTATAGTAAACTCAGTCGGACATCCAAACATAATGAAACCTGCTCTAGTTGCAGCACATGTTACATCCGTCCTTAAAGTATTAAATAAGTCAACAAAACCTGTTGGTGGTATATCTGAGTAAGTATCTTCAAAGAAGTATTTTTTACCATTCACAACAACAAAGTCTTCTGGTGTCAAAAGAGCAAAACAGGCTTTAGTCGTCATCGTGTTTAAGGTCAGTTTACAATATCGTCCTTGAGGACTTTGTAAGTTTGTTGTTATAGAATTATATGACTCAGGGTTTTTAGTCGTAATAGTATAAACCACTATGTCTTCTGCCATTTACTTAGCAAGTAAATTTTAATGAAATGTTGTGGTCGTCAAATATTTTTATGACGTCTGGGAAACTATATTTTAAGTTCAACGTTTCACCTCCTTTCATAACGTATATCTTGTCAATGACATTATATGAAACACCACAGCAACTAACGTCGGGTTCTATTTCTTTGATGTTTATATCGTCTGCCTCTGTCAAAAGTTTCAATAGTTCTTTCAAAACTTCATGAGGTGCAATGACATATGAGTTCACTTTTACAGGGTTGTGTTCGACCAAGTTTAACATTATACCCAAAGCTTGACAAATCTTCTCCTGAGTTTTAAGTTTGTCTTTAAGTTGTTGGTAGTCATTTCGAATATCTGCAACAGAACTTAAGTCTCTGCTAACTTCAGGGTATGTTGGTTGTTCTTTTACAGGAACTATTGTTATACCATCTTCGTCTTCGTATGGTTTCCCCACTTCAACATCTCTTTCTTTGACATTGACAACAACACTTTGACTGTTTGTTTGAGTTGGTGAATTTAACTTCACATCTGCCACCGCCATTAAACCTTTTGAAACACTTACGCTTCTATTTTTCGGAAATGACATTTTACTTAGAATAAAAAGATGGACGTATTTGAGTATCTCTTCGAATTGAAGCAAAACAAAGTTTACACACACAAACAATACAAGTTCATTGACAGAGTAGTTCTTTACACAAACAATGGAAAATGTTATAGAATAGCAGTCTTTGCTGAACCAAAATATTTTCATAAAGCAAAGAAAGTTGGTATAACTGAAATGGTGAAAGTTCTTGAAGCAGACAAAAATATAACAACAAAACTTACAGATATTTCTAAAGGTAAGTTTATAATACAATTTTATGTCAAAACTGGCGTACTGTCAATATTTGACGGAGAGAAGTCAGTTCAAGAACAACTTACTGACCTGCTGCCAAAATCTGCTCGATGGAAGCTGTCGTTATACCAATCTGAGGAGCCCCAGCAGGTTTCATCGAACGAATCTTCAAAAGAGCATCTTCCGTGAAAAGTGCTATTGGTTTTGTAAACTTCTTTGCTTTCAATTCATCTGGACCGTCTCTGTCACCAGTATATTGTATTTGAACTGTACCAACAGTTGAAATACCACCCATAAAATCTTCTGAGTCAGCAAATGGAATGCCAAGCCAAAAGTTTGAACGGTCTCCATTTGTATATTGAGTTTTTTGACCTCCTGTATGGGTCCATACTTTCACATATGGCATAATAGAACTTTGCATTTCAGGGTTAATGGTTGTTGTGAAGTTGTTGTTAAAGTTCATAGCATCTAATGTCAAGTTGTATGACCTCATATCCTCAACTGTAGAATATTCTTCTCTTGGATAGTATTTGCCATCTATGTTTATATGGTATTTAATACCAGGGTTGTAGAAACAAGAATAGTCATTTATAGTTCGTCTGAACAGTACAAACATAGTATCTGCATGTTTCATTGCAGTTGTTAAAGCAATATCTGTTCTTGCACCTGGGTCAGCACTTTGGTTTCCAACTTCACCTGCAAAGTCTTTGACAGATATTTGGTGTATAGGGAACATAAGTGGAACTGCAATATATTTGGCAGCTAAAGCATTTGAAATATCTGGGTCCAACATATAGACTGCAAGTCTGCTTTCTATTCTCTTGCATTCAAATTTTTCGCATGTGAACTTAACTGGGTCCCAAGCATCTCCAGCAGCATTGAAATAATAGTTTACTTCAGTGTTGAGGTTTGAGAAACCAAAGTCTAAGTCAACTTTGTCTTTGCAAAAGTCACAGAACTTGGCTCCACCAGTTCCAGCTACAGTAAGAGTGAATGGGTCTTGTGTTGGTGCAATGACTAAGTTATTTTTGCTTGGAGTAAGTTCAATAGAAATTTTTCCTGCCCAGTTTGGCAAGTATCTTAAAAACCTGAAGATGAGGAAAGATGACAAAGGAACTCTAAGTTTCAATTTTACTTTGGTTACTGCTGCTGCAGTTTGTCCAGAAAGGTTAACATAAACTCCTGGAACGTTAGGGTCAAGTCTTCTTATTTTCTCAATGGTGGCATACTGGTCTGTTTGTTCTCTAGCTTGTGGTTGTACTGAGTTTCTCAAAGCGAACCATTCATAGTTTGCCCATGTTACTGTTTGAACTAAGTCAGAGTTAGAATATATCTTATATCCCATGAAAACTTCTGGAGCATATTGGTATCCGACATAGAAAATTCCATTGCAACCTTTCTTGTCAGACAACTTGGCAGAAGGTTTTATTTCAATGTCTTGTTCCACGTATAAGAATGAGTTGTCAATAGAAATAATATGAAACCTGTCGCAAGCAATATCTACTGTTGTTGAAGAACCTTCTCCAAACTCACCTACATTTCCATAAGAAACAGCAGTTGTATATTCGTAAGTTCCAGGAACTATTTCTGACCTTCTAATGGCATTGTCGCATTCGTTATACCATTCGGAAACATTTCCATTCATAGCATCCAAAACTGTTGGCGTTATATTCTGAGCGGCGTACATTTCATATGAGTAAAAATATAGAATAGTTGGATTTATATGTCATAATAGAACCCACGTGGACCAAGCTTTACTTTCTTCCTGACTGAGTTTTTAACTCTTCTTTTTCCTTCATTGCCCTCTGCTTGAAGTTGTTGCATCTTTGCATTATGTTCATCTAGTATGTTGCAAATTTCCCATGTTCTTTTTGCCTTTTGGCTCTGGTCGCCCATCTCAGGTAACCTATATCCTAGAAAGAGTTTGTCATAGTCTGTATTTGAGTCTTCGCGTATTGTTTGCATGACTCTTTCCTGAGTTTCTGGTTCAAGCTCTTCAAACAGTGCCTGTCCATATGGAATAAGCTCGTTTCCAAATATATGTTTTTGTAGCCATTCTGGTTTTCTTTCCATGTTACCAACTATATCTTTTGTGAATGGGAAAGCTTTTACCCAATCTTTCAGTCTTGCGTCGTTTATTTCTGTAGTTGGTTTTATTTTGTCAAGGAACATGTTTTTCAATACTAACATTTCATTTGGTACTGTCCATTTGAGTTTTCTTAAATATTCATCCCTTCTCGATTCATCGCCTGCAAAGTAAGTTTTTATGACATTTTGTAAACTTTCGTTTGCAAGGTCATGTACAATAGGTTCTCTTCCTTCTCCCTCCCTAACTTTCTTTCTAAACTCTTCACCAAATATACCATCTCTATGGTTCTGTGTAGTTCTTTGAGATAAATGTTCTAGAACGTCAGGTGTTATATTTCCATCAGCCATGTTCATTTCATACTGGTCCAAAATATCTGCATGTTTCATATCTTTCAATGGCATTAAAGCCGCGCTTAAAATACCAGCTATATCTGGTTCACCATTGACTTCCATTGCGTCTACAACTTCTTGGAATTGTGGTTGTAAGTTTATGAACCACCTATCCGGGTTAGCTTTATGACCCCATCTCATTGTAGTTCCATCGTCTGCAGAAACAAAAGTAGGTTTGTTTCCATCTTGGTTAGGTTCTGAATGAACTTTAAACAATGTTTCATTTCTATATGTTTTCTTGAAATTTAACCTTTATCTTCACCGAGTTCATCCGAAGATTGAACGTTAAATGCTCGTAAGTAAAAAGGGTTGTTGTATTTGTGTACATTTTCTTTCAGTACTTTCATTCTATGCTGAATATTTTCATCTGATGTTGGAGTCTTTTGTATGTCGGCAAACATTTTTCGATATTCTTCTACTATGTCAGCCGAATTTTTTTTAGACTCTTGGAAATATTCCATATTCTCCGCATACTCTTGTTGAGGGTCAAGATTTTTCGGCTGTTCCAAATCTTCATCTAGTTTTGTGAAGTTAGTTTCCAAAGGAAGGACTTGTTCGTTTCCTTCAGGCTCTTCTAGCTGTTGTTGCTGAACTATTTCTTCCATGTCTGGTTGTATCTGAACTTCTTCCTGTGGAGTTTCTTGTACCTCATCTGCTGGCATTTCATATATTCCGAGACCGTTTTCAACAATTTCCCTATCTACGTCATCCGCATTCATAAGCTTTTGTTCTTTCGTTCCGTCTCTATTTTTTACGCGTTTCATGACGAAAGTTGAATTGTCATTTAGCTCTGACATCAAATATCTCGGAGTAAATTCATCCATGTCATTTGGATGATATGCTATTAAATCATATCCCTTAGCGAGCTTGTATTTTCCAGGTTTGAAATTATATCCCATTTGGTGCTGAGCCATAAAGCTAAATAGGTTCGGGTCAGTATTTCCATCCTTGAACTTTCTAATAGCTTCTTTATATCTGTCACTAAAGTCAACAGTATCTGGGAAACCACACTCTTCTTTAAGCATTTTTAAGAATTCTTGGTTTCCTTGTTCTCTACTTCTTTTATGTCCTTGCTCTGTTTGTGGTTGTTGTTGTGCAGGGTTTTGAACTGTTGGTTGCTGTGCTGGTTGTTGTGTTGGGTTTGGTGCTGGTTGTTGTGTTGGTTGTTGTGCTGGTTGTGGAGGTGGTTGTTGTGCTGGTTGTTGTGCATGCCTGTGTCTGTGTCCATGTGACGATGTAAATGTTCTAGGTAGTCCTGGTGCAGGTGCTTCTCTTGGAGGGTTTGGTGGTATATAAGTTCCACCAGCTGGCACATATGTTCCATCTGCAGCGTAATGTCCTACCTGACTTTTCGTTTTTAAGAAAGCATTTACTAGGTCTGTTTTGGTCTGTTGTAACTCTTTTTCTTGACTTTCCACAACAGTTGCTCTAACGGCGTCATAGGCACTTTGAACTGCCTGTCTCGTTGCTGCATCTGTTATTTTCGTCATATTTTGTGCTACTTCTCTTAACTCGTTGTCGAAACCTTCAGACTTCAGTTTCTTTCCAGATGAGAAGTCGTTCACTTGTTTCACCTTACTATGAAGAGCTTCGAAGGCGTTCTTAAAGTCAGCATTTGTTAAAGCTTCATTTGAACTGTCTTCATCCGCTTGTATTTTTGTCCTTATTGACCCTATAAGCTGGGCTGCTTTAGCGTTGGCTTGGGCATCTAACCAGTCATTGTTAGCTTTTATATATTCTGCGCTTTTCATTGCCTTTTGCATAGCCGCGTCGTTATTTTTACTTTCTTGTGCTAAGTTTTCATACTGTACGGTTTGGTTTTGCAACTGTAAAAGTTTTTCTGCCTTTACATTTGCTTCAACTTCTTTTTTATACTCATCGCTATCCATATATGTCTTCAGGGCTTTTTGTTTTATCTCTTCATCTTTCAGTACTTTATATTGAGTAGTATGGTTTTTCAAATTTATGACATCTTGTTCCATTTTTGCTACTTCTGCTGCTTTTTCTGACACTTTTTTCGCATATTCCTCTGTACTTAGTTCTTTCAGTTGTTCTTCTTTCTTCTTTTTCTCTACGTTTAACTCATTGAGTTTCTTTGTGTGTCTGTCATATTCTAGTTTCTTTTCGTTTTCACTTATTTGCTTCTGTATGTCTATGTTTGACTTTTTGACATCTGTTATTTGATTTTTGAGTGAACTCAAATTCATTTGACTTTGAGGGTTATATGCTGTTCCGTCTGCAGCTCCACCATAGCCTGCCATTTTCGCTAAAAGTGCCGCTCTTAAACCTCCACTCTGTGCACCAACAACTCGGTTTAAAAGCATAGGATTGCTTGACATTTGTTGCAACATAGTGGGGTCATTCAGCATTTGTTGTTGCAACTGTTGTTGTGGTGTCAGTTTTACTATTGGATGTTTCAATGCTCTCTTCCTCTTACGTATATTCTTACGTAGCTTACGTGGCATTTTAAGTGAAGTAAAAAAGCGGTTTTTGACAGATGTTTATATGACACTTTCTACCCTCTTGAATTTTCATGAACTTTCTTGTCAATTTTTTGTTGAGACTTCTTCGTAAAGACTTTGTCAAGACTTCATCGTAATGAGCGTAAAGGACCCAAAAATATAATTTATGTTAGAATGTTAGATCTAACATGTTTTCTAACATGTTTTCTAACATGGTCTAAAACTCTTGAATTTTCATGTTTTGTCAAACTTCATCGTAAAGACTTTGTTGAGACTTTGTCAAACTTCATCGTAAATGTTTTGTCAAAACTTTCTTGTCTATGTTTTGTCGAAACTTCTTCATCGTCAATGTTTTGTCAAAACTTTCTTGTCTATGTTTTGTCAAGACTTTCTTGTCTATGTTTTGTCAAGACTTTCTTGTCTAATTTCTCATGAACTTTCTTGTCTATGTTTTGTCAAGACTTTCTTGTCTAATTTCTCATGAACTTTCTTGTCTATGTTTTGTCGAAACATTTACGATGAAATCATGAAAATTCATGAAAATTCAAGAGTTTTAGACCATGTTAGAAAACATGTTAGAAAACATGTTAGATCTAACATTCTAACATAAATTATATTTTTGGGTCCTTTACGCTCATTACGAAGAAGTTTGACAAAACATTTACGAAGAAGTTTGACAAAACATTTACGAAGAAGTTTCGACAAAACATTTACGATGAAATCATGACAAAACATTTACGAAGAAGTTTCGACAAAACATTTACGAAGAAGTCTTGACAAAACATTTACGATGAAATCATGAGTTTTCTACGATGTTAGAAAACATGTTAGAAAACATGTTAGATCTAACATTCTAACATAAATTATATTTTTGGGTCCTTTACGCTCATTACGAAGAAGTCTTGACAAAACATTTACGAAGAAGTCTTGACAAAACATTTACGAAGAAGTCTTGACAAAACATTTACGATGAAATCATGACAAAACATTTACGATGAAATCATGACAAAAAAGTCAACGGCTGGTCGGCTGGGGTTCGGTCCTCCTCTTGGGTCTTGGGAAAAATTCTTAGGGCTAGAAGGCACGAAGTGCCTGGAAGCCCCACTACCTTTTTTTTTTTTTTTTTTTTTTTTTTTTTTTTTTTTTTTTTTTTTTTTTTTTTTTTTTTTTTTTTTTTTTTTTTTTTTTTTGTATTCACTCGTGTTAAAGGAAGAAATTCGTGGTTTCAATTTTGTTGATTTCCAATGCTGAATTTGAAATTGAATTTAGCGACAGGCATTCATTCCACATCAAAGCATAGGTCACACGAAGAAATATTCAGTTGACTTCTGGAACCCTTTCAATGTCAAAATACAACTACATTTACTCTATGGTTGTGCAATTTCTTTCTCAAGTTGTATATTAACACTTTATCTTCTTACATAAAAATTGTTTTGTAAATAATTAATGTGTTTTATTATTTAGCGCCAACAGAAATTCGATAATCCTCAACATTTCCCCATGAAAATGTTAGTGGCGTGTTTCTATTTTTATCCTTTTCCTATTTTAACCTCAGCAGAGATAAGAAATTTAACAGCATCTTCATAACTAATTTTCATTTTTATCAGATTCAGCATAAACAAGATTTTTAACTATTTGAAGATGTCCATATTCTGATGCATTTATTAGCTCCAGCAAATATATGAAATCTATCTATTTCAAGATCACCTTTTTATGATGCTCAAATAAGTGGAGTAATTCCATCTATATCCTTTGCATTTGTATTAGCTCCAATGAGATAAGATATTTAACGACTTCATTATGGCCTTCTTTTGATGCAAAAATTAGTTGGGTTTCTCATTTTGCATCTTTATCACGGCTGCATTCGATGAGAGATTTCATAAATCATATCTAAAAAATATGTAGTTTAACATTATTTAGAAGAAAATAATGCAGGAGAAATTTGTGCAAAAACAGAAAAATATGAAATTTTAACACCGAATACTTTTGGTTCAATGTAACAATTTTCTGTAGAAAACTGGGAAATATTAATTGGATCATAATTTGATTTGTCTTTTTCAAATTTAACAGTTCCTGGTCCTGTTGTTGAATTTGATTGAACATATGAATCAGTAATAGTCAATGTACAACCTTCTGTATAAACTTTAAACATATATGCTGCAGTGTTATTTAAAAATACGCAGTGATCAACAGTAGTGTTGTAAGTACAATCAAATAGAACTTGATCACTGCCTGTTCTGAATTTATTTCCAATAACATTGCAATAAGAAACTGTATGTGTATATGAATTAACAGAACTGTAAAATGAAAGAGATTCACCCCAAGTTTGGTTGTTTTCTCTGAATGTTGAGAAATTACTGTAACCTGATTTTCCAGAAAGGTAACAATATGTTGATGAACGATCTAAACATTTGTTGTAAGTGATATTGTTATTCTTAATTTGGACATCACCAAATGCAATTGTAAATGTATAAGCTCCTTTTGATTCACTTTCCCCGCATTTTGAAACTGAAATATCAAAAGCATAATTTTTATTTGTAGGAGAAGATTTAACTAATTGATAAAATGCCATGTGATCATTTGCTATTGATTCAAAATAACAATTTCGCTGTTGAATAAAATGTCCTAATTGAGGGCAGTCATAGTAAACAAATCCACCTTCTGAAGTGGATTTGCATCTATTAAAAGCAGAATCTTCAAGCAATGTGTATATTTTGTTACCTCTTTTGATATAAATTGCACCTTTTTCCGTATAATCTTCAAAGTTGCAAACAAAAACATAATAATTGTTAGTACTTGTAGTATCAGAGAATGCTGTTCCATTAAGAGTTCGATCTACTTTACCTTTATTGCCAAAATATTCAGACCAACTGAATCTTTTTGCATTTTTCATACTTGTACTGCGTTTCGACTATTTCTGATGGCCGATTGGATTTAAACATTTGAAGATAAAGAATTTCTACTTTGTTTTGTATCTGATTTTCCGAATTTGGGACGAGAACAAAAATTCGTTTTAAAAATCTGAATTGTCACTTTTTAAAAAAAAATCAAATTTTAATTACTGAAAAATTAATCGATAGACATCTTCAATTTCAAAGCCATAGCAAAATTTATATAAATACAATAAGTTTATTCCAGTTTTTTACATATAAAAAGAAAATATAATAAATTTAAAATTGCATTCCGTTTGAATCTAACAAAACTTGGTTCTCTGATCTCATATAGAGTCCATATGCAATCATTGCGATAGTACTACCAACAATTTGCATCACATATTGAACTGTTGTTAATTTTTGGAAACCTGGAATGAAATAAAGTAATAATAGTGTAAATATTGTCTTAAATGCTCCGAGAAATTCGAAATGAAGTGGTGAAGTTTCAATTATAACTGAATAATGAGAAAGAACGCACCAAACTGCTGTGAAACTGCTGCAGACTATTAAAACAATGCTTACTAATCCAAATTGATATGAATAGAAGCCATTGTTTGGATTAGATTCAAATAAAATTGATGAAATAATCGAAAATATGAATTGAAATGGTAATATTGAAAGTGTAATCTGAGTTCCTGAAACAGAGCATTCAATAGCAAGGTCAGAAGCGTAATTATTTGTGTATGCAGATAAAAAGCACGCAAAAATTATTGTTCCTAAATTAAATAAGCTAAATTCTATTTCTTTGAATGATGCAATGAATGTTCCGAAAACAAATAATAAAAGGAACGGTAATTTAGATGTATTTCGTTTTTTAGATTTGAAAAGATAATCGTAAATGAATAATGTTACAGCGCCTAATGATTTGCTAAACTGAACCATGCCTACCGATGTTTCAACGATAACATATGATTGAATATAATCTTGAAGGAATAAAAGACCCGAAAAGAATAGTCTGCAACTAAGTGGAATCTTTGTGAATCTAGAAAAGTTTCCATTGTATGCTAATAATTCTAATAACAACCAACCAGTCAAGTATTGAAATGCTAAAATTGTTAAAAGTAATTTACATATGTTATAATTAGCGATTGTTCTTAATAGTAGCATAGATACGACAGTTGAAATAACATTGACTGTCGAAAAAAATCTCACAAGAAACGCTTTATTCGCCATCTTAATGACGATTATTTTCAATTCAATCTGAACTTGAATCCGATTTCTTCGATTTTCTCATGAAATACTGCTTTATTTTATAAAAGGAAATGGCCACAGTAGAACATGCTTCATTTGATTAGATATATATGGTATTTATTTGAAAATATTAATCATTTTACCAAAGATATCATTTGATTAAAAATTTATTTAGTTTTAACATTTGAAATTCTTAACAGCCGAAATAATGCTGATTTTGAATATAACGACATCCTCCAAATAGACATCAATGCCATATTTTCTCTGATTATTAAAATTTAAAATTCAAATTTAGTTTTAACATGATAAATCTATTTTAAATCCCATATCATACACATTGAACTGGAATTGAAATTCAAAAAATTTATTTGAATATCAATTTTCATATTTAAATTAATATTGATTTTGTCATTTTTCAGATTCTTGAGAATATTTTGGAAATTTTAAATAACTAATTATATCGTATTTTGCATAAAGTTTCAATGTGCTCTCATAAAATTCTCGTATTGAGCAATTTTAGATTTTGCTTTTAAGTGTACGTTAATTTTTAAATTTTATATGCAAAATCTTTATCTTCGGGCCGATTCTAAAAATCAATACAATGTACATACTCTTCACGAAGGGATTGACTGGGGGTTAGTCCAAAAAACTGATCCAGCAATGCTTCGAGAGACCCAGGATTACGATTCGATGCAAGAATTCATTAACAGCTTTACTTTTGCAAATTTAAATGACAACGATCGTCGAATGTTTGGAAATCCACTTTGTTCACAACTTATTGAGAACTTACAGACAACAGTTAAATACATGTTTGATTGTCAGGATTATTTATTAGACGAAATACACAGATTAAAGCAAACAAATAGAGCAATGAAGAAGAAAATTAAATTATTATATGATTCAAAGGAAAGAGACCAAGCACTTTTGAGAGATGCTTATCATGAATACGAAAAATGCCCTGTATGCGGCAAAAAGTTCCAGGCACTAAAGTATGTCGATCAGCATATCCAAAAAGTACATCCCTCTCATATCGACGCATGGACATCTTTAAGGGTTGATCATCCTCTTCCTCAAAAGGCTGAAGCAGAGAAGTTAAAGAAGGAAATTGATATGCTCAAAACAACATTGTTCGAACAAACCCGTGCATTTACTGCAACAATGGAGAAATTCAGACTCCACGCTCAAGCAATACATAAACACGATGAAGAGAAGGCAAAGACTCAAGTTCCTAAACTCGACTTCTACGAATACAACCCGAAGATGCAAACACAACCTCAGCCATTTGAAACTGTTAAATCTCGCATTCCATTAACTCAGAACGTTCTTACAGTCGAATTTGATAGCAGCCTTCTTACAAGCTCTGATGAGGGCGTACTTGATATTGACGAAGAAATCAGAAAGATTAATAAATCAGTTTCAAAGAAAGTTAATGAAATCAGACTTGGTCATCCAGTTAATTATATCACTCCAAGGCAGACAGCACAGATACTCGATTATCAAAATGAAAAGTATCAGAGAATCAAGAGAGCAGCAAGGAAACAACTTCATAATGATTTTCCACTTCAAACGAAAGAAAAATCGAAGAGTCAAGAAAAAAGCAAATCATTGAAGAGCTCATTAACAACAGAAACAGAAAAAGATCAAGAGAAACCACTTGACCAATCAAGACCGATCAAACAACAAGCTTCATTAAGTTCTTTGTCCAATTCTACTCTTGCTTCGTATTCTAATATGAAAGCAAAAGAATCACAATCAAAGAAATCGATTTCTAACTCATCATTATCCACTCACGAAGATGATTCAATTTCAGATCAATTTCTTGTCGATGCATAATTTTTCGAGATATTTCTTTTGCATCTTGTTTGTATGTATAATAAAATTATTTGATATGTTAGTTATGCTTTTTATTTTTGTTTCATTTTTACACTCATAGTGCTCAAGTTCAGATTCTTTACCCGATTAGATAATAAAACAAATATCAATAACATACTCATACTATCTGAAATGCAAATACCTAAATAAACAGAATTTGAATATTCGTTAATTTGATTAACGCATATATAAAGGTCAACCTCAAGGGTGTCGACTTCACACACACAGAATAGTTTGGTAGTTATACTTACAAGGTTAAACTCAAGATAAGGATATGAAATCATTTCCGAAAAGCAGAAAAATTAAAATCTGCTTTGTGCAACCTAGAAATGTCTCAATGAACTATGTTTTGATCGATTCCAATTTAATCAATCTCCGATGATAGCAACCTTATGATTTTGGGAATGACAATTTGACAACTCAATGAAAAAACGAAATCTCATAATAAAATTGCTCATGAATAAATGATCATTAAAATTAACATGATAAGATTTGTCAAATTTTACGCGTGAGGTGGCAGTTTTTTGTCAGCCAAACATTTTTTTTTCGAAAACTATAAAAAAAAATGGGCTTCGATATACTTAAGTCAATCAGGCCTGTTCTTGAATTAATGCCAAATGTTCCACGTCCAAACAAGATGGTTCCAATCCGCAAGCGGCTCTTCTATACATTTGCTTCTTTAGCTTTGTATTTGATCTGCACACTTGTTCCACTTTATGGTGTACAAAAGACAGCAGGTGATGATCCAATGCAGCACCTCCGTATCCTTACAGCTTCTTCTAAGTATTCTCTTATGGAATTCGGTATTTCCCCAATCGTTACTTCAGGTATGATCCTTCAGTTCCTCTGCTCTTTCGGCCTCATCAACAGAAACCCATCTGACCCAGAGGCATCCGCTCTTTTCGATGCTGCTCAGAAATTGGCCGGTATCATCATGACAGCTTTCCAGGCTGGTAATGCTATCTGGTCCGGCGAATACGGCATCCGTGGCGAAATTGGCTTCGTCAACGCCGCTCTTATCATGACACAACTTGTTTCATCCGCCATTGTTGTCATTCTTCTCGATGAACTTTGCCAGAACGGCTATGGTATCGGCTCTGGCATTTCCCTCTTCATTTGCACAAACATCTGCGAAATGATCATGTGGAGACTCTTCTCATTCAACCATTACTCCATGGGCCGCGGAACAGAGTACGAAGGCCTTGTCATTGCTTTCTTCCATTACCTCTTCACACGCAAGAACAAGCTACGCGCACTCCGTGATATTGTTTTCCGCCCACAATTACCAAATCTTTGCCAATTATTCTCAACAGTCATTGTTTTCGGTGCTTGCGTCTACTTCGACCAGATCAAGATCAACATTGGCCTCGAAACAACAGTCAACCGTGCCCGTCCAGAGCCATTCGAGATCAAGTTGTTCTATTGCTCCAACACACCACTTATCATCCAGTCTACAATCCTTTCCCAGCTTGCTGGCTTCTCCCGCACCATCTACTTCCACTGGCCAGAGTCTCTTGCCACACAAATCTTCGGTGTCTGGCGTTCACACAACGGAATGTCCTATGACTACTCCACACCAGTTTCCGGCCTTATCTACTACTTGACAGCACCACAGTCCATCCAACAAACAATCCACGACCCACTTCATACAATTATTTACCTCATTTTCTCTCTTTCATCCGCCGGCTTCATCTCATACTACTACCTTAGATTCTCCAACCAGGCACCAGCTGATGTCGCTGAAGCCCTCAAGAAGCAGCACCTTACACTCAAGGGACACAGAGAAGACCAGAAGAGACTCGAGAAGACACTTTCTCGCTACATCCCAACAGCTGCAGCTCTCGGTGGTATCCTTGTCGCTCTCCTCTCATTCGTCGCTGACTTCTTGTCTGCATTCGGATCTGGAACAGGTATCATCCTCGCTGTTTCTATCATCAACCAGTTCACTGCTGAACTCTCTAAGGAAATGGCTGGTGATGGACTCATCGGTATCCTCAAGAACGCCGCTGGTGCTCGCTAAGACAAATTATTTTTCTTTTTTTTATATGATTTATTTTCTCAAATAAATATAAACACACAACACACATATTTATAAATTACTTCTTATTTTTTTTAGAAAATTATTAATTTTATATTTTTCATGAAATAAATTGTACTATTAAGTTAAAGAAAAGCACATGTAAAAGAATTCTGGCAGAATACAAGGTTAAATTCAGATTGCTAAGCTAAAAATTTGATATAGAAAACGAAATTTGAATTTCAATTTGTATTTTTCATGTAATAACCTTTATACATTTTTCAAAAAGTAATTTGAATGAGTCAAGGGTTTTCATTTAATGCCATTCTTTCGTGATTTCTTCTTGAAGATATTGAAATAAATATAAGATTGAATAAAGTATGGATTCAACAATCTTATACATTGTTCTATTTTATAATAAATGTGTTGTTCTAACCGTTTCTAAATGTACCAAAGAGTTGTTCACTTGAATATAATATTTGATAATGATAGTCCGAAAATATATCAGTTATAAGATATTTCAAAACAGTATATAGTTCTATAGTACAAAAGATACAATATACTTTCACAAAGAAGATATATGCATCTAAAATCAACTTATTATGCATTTGATAGTAAACATATTCTAAATTTTAGATGCTAACAACTATATGTCATACTACATTATGCTCGACCTATCATATTTGGGTTATGATTTAGAAGCTTAGGATGTGAGAATCCCTCATGAGGATTTTTGTTCTGTTTATTATTTTTTTTATGAGTATCAGCGAAATACGAGAAAAACATTATGCTGATGCTAAACATTTATGGGATGATGACTACTTCGAAACTAGCCCTTACAAGAAGTCTATTAAAACAGTTAATTCAGAAAGTTTGAGAATATTTCAGCTTGAAAATGAATATAAAGAAGCAGAATCAAAAACAGGTGCTATAACTAAGCAAGCAGAAGATTACGTAGTAAAACTTGAAGAAAAAGCTGCGCTATATGCAGATGAAGTTAAAAAACTCGAAAATCAATTAGATCAATACAAACAAAAGAAAGCTGAATTCAAAGCATCAATAGAATCAGAAATAAAATCAGATAACAAGACATTTGATAAAGCAGAAACAGTTTTAGAACAAAGAATTCAAACAGCAAATGATACTATTGCAGATTTAACACAGAAAATCAATGCACTTGAAAAACTTATTACACTTAGAATGCCTGAAGCTCAAGAACTATTAATACAACTAAGAGCGTTGCTATCTGCTCAATCTAAGGAATTATACTTCATGGAACGGAAAATGAAGAACGAGAACTCTGGAAAGCTCACAGAGAGAAAGAATAAGAACTAATTTTATCTGTTTATATAATTATATTTTGTTTTTTTAATATTAAATTACTTCTGTATTGCCATTATTTCGTGTAATGCTATTTTTAGATGTGTACTAACCACCCGCAATTCTATTATAGAGTTATTCTTGATTACGTTATTTTTTTTATTTTTATTCAGTTTTTTTTTCTTTTTATGAAATTTCCATGGTTAGTAAGTCAATCTGAATTAAATCAATTGGTCATAACATCACCTAAAATACCATTCGAATCATATGAGTTTAGTATTACAATGTCTCACTCAAATTCAAATAACTCGCCATTTGATTTCGCTTTAAAATGCCATTCAAAAATTGATGTTCCGTTCAGAATCATAGCAAATATATCAGTTGTTCATCCAAAAGGACCTGCTTATTCATCAGTTATCGCAATACCAGCACAATTTTCAAAAATTATAAATAAAGTAGTTATTCAAACAAATATGTATCTAAACTTACTAACAGACTGCAAATTCTTTTCAAAAAATTGCGTTACTTTTGAAATCGAAATAAGTTATCCTCCAATCTACGATAAATCAGTCATTCCATTAGTTTCAATTTTAGACAAACAGAAGTTATATACAAATATCCTTGATGAATCATATTTATTATCACAAGAAGAAAAAGATTGGATTTATTCAGCATCATTTTCTATTTTTAACTCTGAACCAAGTATTATTCATGTTAAAACATCTTTAATCATTATTAGTAACGTTAAAGACATAGCTAGTTTAGAAAATATATTTAAAAAATACGGAAATCCTCAAGTTGCCAAATACTTAGTAATTACAAACTTTTCAAACACGAAGCTACTTCACTTTTGCCTACTGCTTAAATGCATGTTTCCAGAAAATTTCGTTTTAATTAGACAAAAAATAACAAATCCAGAACAATCAGGGTATTCACAACAACAAATCGATGCTTTACTAAATCAAATACCCTTTGCCGCTATAATAGATGATTCTGTGTTTGTTATCGCAGGAGGATTAGTTCCATCACCAAATTTCATTGATGAAATCGAGAAGAATGACTTTAACAGGCTAGACACAATAAATAAATCATTGGATTCACATCCAGATCCAGATATTGAGTGGTATCAAGAAAATTCTGGAATTTGTTTTGGAAAACTTGCAGCGGAAGCATTTTTGAAGAAATATAATTACGATCTTTTGATTTGTACTGGAAATTTGCAATCATTTTGGCCATTTGGCTTCGAAACGAACTTTGTTCAAATTAAACATGGATTTACAATGTTTATTGATTCAACACATGAATATTGCTTTGAACAAGTTCCAGAGTAGCTTTTGTTTGTTAGGGTTGTTTTTATTAAATTTTTTCTAATCAAATTTAAAACGGAATTGTTTGCTTTGTAGATGAATTCTTCAATAGATGATATGTTACAAATACCAAAATGATATAATATAAGAAATAAAAGTCCATATGGAAGATTAATGTTTTAGGAAGATGAGTTTTTGTTGTATTCTTCAGAATATATAGTTCATTTATTGAATACAAATTTATAACAGATAGCAATTCATGAAATGAATATTGCAAAACTTATGTTTTCAATAAATCAGATTTTTCAATAATTTAGACTGATAACAAAAAGAGGAAGAAAATCACATCTTTATTAAATATTTTAATAATGATGATTATAGGTGCACTTAAAATATTTTTGACAAACGATGCGAAGTATAATTGAAAACTAACCTTAAACATAAGAATTGAATGTCACCTTACGGGCTTAAGTTCACCCTTAAAATATTCAAAATTATTAGTGAAAAAACAAATACAAATTTGAGCTAGATTTTGTTCATAAATTTATTCGGATTTCCAGCTATTTAGTAAATCAGAATGGGAATGTTTTTGCTGTAAAATCACTGATTGAAATATGAAGCATGTTATATGTAATCACACTCAAGGAATTATCTCTGATTTTCCAATTCTTATTAGTCCATATGGCTAGCCAAAACAACAATGATGAATACCTAAGTTACGTATGAATTAAATGTAATCGATTCTATGGAAATTATGTAACCTAATGCCTTTTTGCATACAGTGCAATTGAAAATTCTGCAAATGCCCAAAAACAAGAAACTTTAGCAGTCAATACTTTTGATTTAATGAAACAATTTTTTGAGTCAAATATGGAATATTTAACTCTTTCAAATGTAACAGTTCCTTCTCCTGATTTTGAATTCGATTGAATACATGAATCAGTAATAGCCAATGCACAATTATCCCTTGCAATCTGAAACATATATACTGCAATGTTATTTAAAATTACGCAATGATCAACAGTAGTATTGTGCCAACAAATAAATAGAATTTGATCACTGTCTGTTCCGCATTTATTTCCAATAACATTGCAATAAGAAACTGTTTGTATTTCTGAAGGAGTATTACTCTCAAACATCAGAGAATAACTTTCAATTTGGTTGTTTTCTCTGAATGTTGAGAAATTACAGGAACCTGATTTTCCATTAAGGCGATTAACTATTGATGAACAAGAACCGCATTTGTTGTAAGTGCTATTGATATTCTTAATTTGGACATCACCAGATTCAATTAGAAATGTTGCATATCTTTCTGATTCATTTTCTCCGCATTTTGAAACTGAAATATCAAAAGCATAGTTTTTATTAGTAAGAGAGTCTTTAACTTCTTGAACAAATACATTACATTCTCTCTGTGTAATTGATTCGGAATGAAAATTTCGTTGTTGAACAAAATGCCCATATCCTCTGCAGCGATAGTTAACAGAACCACCATCTGTATCGGACTGGCATCTAGTAAATACGGAATCTTCAATTAATGTGTATATTTCGTTCAATCTAAGGATATAAATTGCACCGTTTTCTGTACAATTTTCAAAAATGCAAACAAAAATGTAATAATTGTTAGAACTTAGTTTGTCATATAATGCAGTTCCATTCTGAGTTCGATCAGTTTTATCTATATTACCAAAATATTCAGACCAGCTGAATCTTTTTGCGTTTTTCATTCTTGAACCGCGTCTCTACCAATTTATATGGTTGATTAGATATGATGATAGAGAACTTTTTCTTTTCTATGTATTTGATTTATAAGAAATTCAGAAAAGATTGTCAAATTGTTTAAGGCTATACTTACACCCATCTGATTTATATTCAAATTTTTGACAAATGGCGTAAAATGTCATTGAAAATTAACCTTAAACTTCTGAATTGAAGGCCATTTCATAAAGGCGTAAGTGCACCATTAACAAAACAGAAAAAAATGTTTTTATATTTCAAATTACAAATAAAATAAAAATATCATATATTTAAACAGCTTGTTGGATTACAATGCCTCTTCGAGGAGCAGCAGTGATGTATTCAATATTAGGATCATTAAGGATTCCGCTGAGATCTTTAAATCTGTTCTCAATAAATTGAAGCATAGATTCAATTGAAGGAGCTTTTTCTGTTTTAGAATGCTGAGATGCTTGATTTGATTTTTCTAAAGCTCTGTTGTAAATTGTTTGAATTGCAGACTTAATTTCTGCAAGTTCTGTATTCTTGGCTTCGACTCTCTGTATATCTTTGTATAATGATGTCTTATTATATTGATTTAATTTCTTTGCTTGATTAACTCTTGCAAGACCATCATTAAGCTGCATAGTACGGTCAATTAACAAAGCTCGTTTGGTTTCCAGCTCTTTATTGAGCTCCTGCTCTTCTGTACCAAATCTAGACATTAATTCTTGGAATTTTTCAACATATTCTTGGCGAGTAGCTGCCAAAGATTGATGTCTGTTAAGTATAGCTTCTACATTCTCGAAATTACGTGATTTATTGGCAACAGCCTGTAAATAATCTGCACAAGGCTGCAATTGCTCTAATTTAGCCTTTAATTCATCATTTTGCTTCTTGAGTTCTTCTTCTTCAACAGCTAATTGCTCTAACTCAGCTTCAATCTCTTTTGCTCTCTGTTTTTCTTCTTCTTCACGACGTCTTGCCTTTTCTAATTCACCACTATGGTGTTCAGTAAAAGTACGGAGATTTGCCTTTTGAATATCAAGAGTATGTTGTTTTTCATCTAATTCTTTCTTCTTTCTTTGGAAATTTGTCTTCCAAGCTTCGAACTTTGTTCTTGCTTCTTCCAGTTCGGCATTCGTCTTTTCCATTTCTTGCTTTTTCTTAATTAATTGTGGAGATAACGATGGAAGTGCAAGAGAATTTTCGCTCGTTCCGCCAAAGCGTTCGAGATACTTCTGTTCGAACGAACTCTTCTGTTTAGTTTGTCTTGTAAGGAATGTATGATCCATATCTGACATGAGATAGGAATAAATTTACAACGTATTTTTCGGCACTTTACAAAAACGTGACATGAAAGGAAAAATTTTATGACGATAGAAGAAGTTTGGCTGGAAATTTTTTTTAGTCCTAATGGCTGCACCCATTCAGAAGGATTTCGAGAATTTCGCATATGAATTCGGCGAGCACTGTTTTAAATTCAATACCCACGAATATTACAAGAAGTTTGTTGACGAATTAATCCACGATATCGCTCAAGATTTAACTGCACCACAGCTCCATGAAATCCAGCAGATTATTGACAAGGCTACTGCTACTCGTATCAAAGAAGAAAAGGCTGGCGATGTAGAATTCTTGATCCACCGCAAAGCCAAGAAACTCGGATCATCCGACGACGATGATTCTTCCGATGATAACCAGGCTGACCTCTACGTAGATTTCATGTAAATTATTAATACATATTTTATTTTTTTTTTATACATTTTCGAGAAATTTTATAAATTAGAAAAGTTTTAAAATATTTGAATATTCAAAGAGTTTTCGAATACCCCAAGAAGACTTAAGTTTTCTAGGGAGCTAATCGGGTTAATTTCAACCCTTTTACGAGCGAATAGAAACGGCAAATTTTTTATCTCTGCAATAAGATTATAGCGTGATGAAAAACAAGAGTCAAAAGAGTATCAGACGAAGTTTAATAATGAATAACAAAATACTAAAGAATTAATAAAATAAACAAATAATTTCTTCAAAAAAGAAATTATATGTATAGGTAGGCAATAGCTGCAGCAAGAATTAAAACAACAATAGCTAGTATTGTCGTTAAATTTTGACTTCTTTGGAATTTAAGAATATCTTTCTGATTTTGACTCTTAGCAGCTTTGATGGAATCTTCAGCTGCTTGTTTCATATATTTGTTCCTTTCGTTAACATATTTAGTAAGTGATTCTGGATATTTTGTTGTTTCCGACATAAATCAAAAATGAGGTATAAAAAAGATAAACAAAATTTAATTTAAGTGATAATTCATATATATAAATCGAAATAAAAATTTTGTACTGTCCGACATCGTTCATCGGTTAGGATAAGCGGTTCTCATCCGCTGGAGCGGGGTTCGACTCCCCGTGTCGGAAAACTTTTTTTATTTTATTTTTCTCCTGTTTTGAGTTTTCATTTTTTCATTTGAATGATACTAAAAATTTATGAAAGACTATAGAGAGTATGCAATTTGTAAACAACTGCTACAGGTTTATGGTCCTAGGCTTGAAACAATCTTCAGATATTTTCGCCTTGTCGCCTTATCTACTATTGCCGGTGAAAATTTTCATGGATTATATATAAAATGGCTTGATTTCTATCCTTTTATTGACAAGCAATGCACTTGCAATGATTTCGTTTATAGATTTGCAGTTTTTCCAAATTTTATTATATTTTTATTTAATATTGAGTATTAAATGTAAAATGTATCATTTAAACTGTAACTTCGTTAGGTTAAGTTTAGCCTATGTACTATTTTCTCTACAATCCATATTATTTTTGTTGAATTTGTATATTAAGAATTGTTATTCTTTTTATACCTATATTTGAACCTATATTTCCACTATGCTTCACGCTATTAAACATCATAGTTTCTTGTCGTTAGCTAAGATGTTCATTTCAAGGATGAAAAAATGAAAACTCAAAACAGGAGAAAAATAAAATAAAAAAAGTTTTCCGACACGGGGAGTCGAACCCCGCTCCAGCGGATGAGAACCGCTTATCCTAACCGATGAACGATGTCGGACAGTACAAAATTTTTATTTCGATTTATATATATGAATTATCACTTAAATTAAATTTTGTTTATCTTTTTTATACCTCATTTTTGATTTATGTCGGAAACAACAAATTAATGGTGCTTATTACTTTCCTTTAGTTACTGTGTTCTATACTGACATATGGATCAATATTGCATTATAATATTTTCTTATGTTTTAATTTTAATTTAATTCATAATTCATTCTTGAGTTTTTATTTCTATAGTATCCAGACAAAAGTCTTACGTAAAATATGTTGTATGCAAACCATATAATCATGCTATCAATTATATCCATCAGAAGTGGCAAAAAAGTAAAGCCCTGAATGAGAAAACATTGATGATTTGAATGCCATTTTTCTTCAATAGGAGTTGGTTTTTTAATGTCTCTTCATAGCATCTAATAGATCTTTATGCATATTATCAATAGATCCTATTCAAACATTAATATGCTTTAAACATAAGAAGTTACAACTAATTTTTATCACTCATCTATTGAATTAAAAAAAAGAGGGGGGCACAAACTTGCCCAGTGAGGTGAAGTGAAAAGCGACATGTTTACATGTCAGAAATGTAAAGTGTCAGATTTGAAACAAAGAATGGATTAATTTATTATTATATGATAGAGAGATTTGGTAAGTTACTATCAAATTTGTAAGTAAGGGAAGAAAAAGTAAGAAAGAAAAAAAATTTAAAAAAATAAAAAGCCACTCGCTTCGCTCGCGGTTGACAAAAAGAACAAATTCGAAAAATAATTGTATGAAATTACGAAACTAAGCCGCGAGCGAAGCGAGTGGCTTAAGAAAAGAACAAATTCGAAAAAAGATTGTATGAAATTACGAAACTAAGCCGCTCGCTTCGTTCGCGGCTTAAGTAAACAACATATTTCAGATTATCGATACTAAAAATTTTTTTATTTTATTACATTTTTTTTTTGCATTTTTTTTAAAGCTTCTTAACTTAAATCATGGAATGTCTCAAAGACAAAAGTAGCATACAGCATGTAAAGCTAAAGAAAGATAATCATAATTAATACCTTAATTTTTAATATTACGCATTTTTAGGTGCAAAATTTGTTGTGCATGAAAAATAGCGTGACTTCACTTTTGACAAAAAGTGACACTATTTCTAATGGTTTTGTCATTTATTTGTCAGATTTATAAATGGATAATAATGCTGTAAATCAGATATTAATTAAAAATATTTAAGATTTATGTTCGAATTGAAAAGCAAAATGATATTTTTTTTAATTGAAAAACGTTAATATCTGATATTTTGAAGTTTTTAATATTTGTTAGTATCTTAAATTATTGAATGCATACGTTTTTTATGTTCTCAATTTTAAAAAAATTGTGAAGAATTTTTTTTTTGGAGATGGATGTTTAATATTTGTGAGTGAGAATGCAAGCAGGAGTTTGGTACTTTAAGGCTAGGTTGAGATAGATTTCCCATTATATTATCTGTGAATATATTGTTTGAAAATTCAAGATATAAAAATATATTATCAAAAAATTTTATATTTTTAAATACAATAGGGTGGAAATATAGTACGATGAGATAGCAATGATATATTTTATAATGGGAGGTAATCTGAAGATAAGTAGCAAATTTTATGCGATTTTGATTGGGAGTTGGAGGGTGTGAGTACTATAGCATGTAATAGTATCTCACACCTCCAATTCTTCCTATGGCGCCGAAAAATTTTTGGTGAAATGCGACGACATTTCACCAAAAATTTTCGGCGCCATATAGAGAACTATAGTCTGCGAGGTACTGATTCTATCTATGTACCTCGCAGACCATAGTTCTCAGCCAAAATGGCTAATAATTTGAGAGTCTATATGATAATGTAAAAGTTAAAACATTCAAGTATTTAAGTATTTCTTTAAAATATTAAGTTTTTTATTTTTCCAATAAAATTCTAATATCAAATATTTTTATTTAACGATTAATTTTATTTAAGGGTTTCGTTTTGCGAAAAAAACGTACAATACGCAATTTCGCTAAAAAAACATTTAGCTAGCAATTTCGACCTTTGACTCCACTCAAGACGTCACTTTTTTAATTTTGCGGTATCATATTTTTGGAAAATCTTTATGAATATTATATAAAAAGTCTCTTTAATATCTATATTTCATATTTTTATCGATTTTAAAAGTTTTTGCGAAAAGTATTCAATTATTTTTGCTATTTTGTCGGGTAAATGTCAGATTTGCGACATTTTCTGATATGATATTCAGATTCTACGTTGATAATAATGCTTATAGAACCCTCTTGCTATTGTGTCAAAATTGCGAAACCGATAGCAAAAATATCTCGCAATATTAAAATTGAGATATTGAGTGAATTATGCATTATAGAGATTAAAAATCTGATTTGTGAAAACATCTCATCAGTTTCTAGCTAATTCAAAAATCTTTACTATTTTATTCGATTAAAATGAAAAGGGAATAGTTTCATTATGCTTTAAATGACAGCCTTATAATATAATCATAGTTTTCGCTTAATATGCAGCATTTTTTTTTCGAAATCTATGGTCAATGTCCTAAATACTGATTGCTTTGCATTCATATCTCTTACATTTTTATACCCACATCACTATTCATTGCTATTCCTATCTTTTTCATTTTTGTTTGTTTCTCATAATTTCTCAAAAAACATGATAACTTGATATTTGTAGATATCATACTTTATAACGTAAATAAGAACTTGACCCATTAAGAAAAGCAGTAATGAAAAGAAAATCTGAAATTCATAAAAATTACAAGTTTCTGATGACAATTAGCTTAATTAAACCAGGTACAAGATTATATAATTGTATTTTCTATCCAATTATCCATATAATATCTTATCCAGAAAAAATAACTTGATCAATACCAAATGATTTTTTAACTAGTAAATAAAGTATTTTCTTTACACACACATTGTATATCATAGTTTTTTTTTGGTTTCGCAAAACATCCAAAAACAAATATGCTATAAAAGTGACAATTTTAGCAAAACGAAACCCTTATTTTATTTATATTTTTATAGTTTTTTTTAAGAAAAAATATTGTTAGGGTTTTATGGATTTTCAATTAATATACAAGATAATTCATGAATGTATATATTTCCAAGTTTTTAAGGATGCAACACTTTATATTTGTAAACTGTCAAAAGTGAAGTCACACTATTTTTCATGCATTACACAAAATTTAAAAACATTCTAATACAATAGAGCAGTTTCCAAAAGTAGCATACAGCATGTAAAGCTAAAGAAAGATAATCATAATTAATACCTTAATTTTTAATATTACGCAAGTTAGTATCTCTAAGTTGGGTACTGTGGCACTGCGCGCCTCCGTACACCACTTAGCGGTTTTGACACTTTACGAAACCAGTAACGTATATTTTACAACACAACCATAACACCAACTTAACCTTAAATATTTACAAAACCATCTGACACATAAACGACTTCACTAACGACTTCACTAACGAATTCACTACCGTCCTCACTAAATAAAAAATAACCTTATTTTTATTTTTTTTAAATTTTTATTTCATTACAAAGACATGTCTGACTACATTTACTATGACTCTTTCCCAGAACGTTTCCGTGAACTATTCAAAACTCAAGTAAAACTGAGAAACATGCATTTTAACAAAGACAGACCCATTGACGATGAAAGAAACCCTGAATATATTATAATACCTTATGATGCTAAATTTATTGCATACATTCCTTATGGACGTAGAGGAACGAAAACTATTTCAACAATGACGAAAAATTATTTCTGGAGCGATGAAGAAAATTGCCTTATCTACATAAATGCATACTTAAATAAAGCTACATATTGTACAAAAGAAGGTTGGACTGGATTTGAGCTCTACATATACGATGACGATGGAAACAGACGTTGTGTATACCCATACGATAATATGTACCATTGTTTTCATCAAGCATTAAACGAATACATAGTCAGTAAGGGTCTCATTCCTGTTGAGTAGATATGCTTTATTTTTGTTCCCACATTTATTTAAAAATTAATGATATCACCACCCTCACACGTATGAAAACATAGCGCAAAAATAAATTTAGGTGAAGTGGTGAGATCTCACCTGTTTTTTCACCTCTTTTTTCACCCGTTGAATTCATTACTTTATAACTCTCTTCCTTGGTTTCTTTTTAGTTGCTTTCTTCACGTCTGTCTCCAACTTGACTGTCTTTCTTCTTCGTCCGTAATGATACCAATTACTTCCACCAGTCAATGGGTCAAATGGTCTTTCGTAAGGGTTTCCATACATTCCATAGGGACCATACGGAAGAACTACTGGTGGAGGAAGAGTTCCATCGACTCTATTTAAATGCATTGTTTCACCTTTCATCTGGTCATTAAAGTCTTTTGCGTGTTTTGCAAACTCATCGTCCTTTCCTAAAGCATTTTCTGACTCAGTCGCAACCAAATTGGATGCTTTATTTATGAGTCCTATTTTATTTAATCTTAACTTCTTTGCAACCCAGCCTCCAATCTTTCCTTTATTTGCATCTAATGTCTTCGAAACTCTTCCTCCACTCATTTTATTTACTGCGTCATAAGCTCCAAGTGCTTTTGCTCCAAATGCTAATGCTTTTGTTCCCATTGCGCCTAAAGCTGCCCAAGCTACCATTTACACCATATTAAAATCATCTCTCTTCAATATTATCTCATAAAAGTTCTCGTTACTGGAGAAAGTCAATGAAACATAAACATTCTCATTCATAAACTTCTTTCTTATATCATCTATTCGCTTCAAAATGTCTGAACAATTGCTAACATCTTCTACAACAGTTATTTCATCATGAATGACCTTCAAGAACAAGCTCATTTAATATGCTATTAAAATCATCTCAATAATGAGTCCATCCTTTCCATCTTTAGGTAGCACAACATCTTTCATTGAAGAAGGTTCGACAAGTCTTATGTTAAACTTACTGACAAAGTTTGTTATACTATAATGCTTCGGTGGCGAATACATGTAGTTTGAAAGACATAATATAGATTCTTCAGCAAATTCACTTATACTGGATTTTATAACAATGTTCTCACGAGACCAAATACCACCAATTGACAATCTTGTAAGCAATCCTGCTGAACCTTCAACTGTAAACGTCGATGGTAACATTCCACGAAGGTCATCTATTGACATCTTTGAGTCACTGAATTTAAATATTTTCTTAAAGCAATCGTCATTATCTAACCATGCAATAGCTTTGAAGTTTTCATTCGAATATACATCTGCTTCATTAAATGTAAAACCTGACTTCTTTGCAGAGATGACTTTAAAATCTATTGAGTTTGTTTCAAAATTATATGCTATGCTAACTTCTGAAGGTAATGGATGTCCTTCCGCAGTCAGTTGTTCTCTCACTACCGTTTGAAGCTTTGTGTTAAAAACTTTCATGTCATCTCCTGTGTCTAGGTTCACATACACAGCAACAGGAAAACTATCTTGCTTCTTTGTTTCATCATTATACCTCAAAACATTAAAGTTCTTCAATAATATTGTTCTTCCTGCTGGAATACTTCGAACCTGTCTGATTTCAATAGCTTTCTCACCTCCTACATACTCTACCCAGTGCCTTGGATATTCATAAGTATACTGACTTTCTTGAATTTTGGTAGGTTTCATCATAACGTGTTCATAGTATATCTTTATACTCTTGTCAGTTAGACTCGGTGCTATGTTCTGAATATTTCTGACTTGCATTTTTAATGGAGATAAAATGAAGCATTTAATACATGACGTAGATGAAGACATGAATGAAACTACAGACAAACTTAACTCTTCTCTCATTCTTCCTTTCAGTAAGGACTATGAGTTCTGTTCAAATGGCGTTTATTTCTATTGTGGAAAGATGGGTTCAGGTAAGACATTTAATTTAATTCGTCATATACTCATAACAGAACGTTTAGGAAATGACTCATATTATGACCAAATCATTATATCAGCAACTTCAGACTCTATGGACTCAACAGCGAAAACATTTATGTCAAAAGTTCAAGCCTCTGTCGTTAAAGTTCCAGACAGTGAACTCATTGAATTTCTTCAACGTTACATTCGACGTAAGAGGAAATATTATGCCATCGTTGAATTTATACAGTCAGGAATGCAAAAGACTTCTGAGGAGATGGAAAGAATTATTGACAAACACCACTTACGTCAGTACTCAGGAGTTTACGATATGAAACGACTGACAAACTACATTCTATCAAAACTTTCAAAATACCCCTTCAAAAAATATCCTTCAAACACTCTGCTCGTTTGCGACGACTTCGCTGGTAAAGGTTTAGTGTCAAAACCAGACTCACCATTAGCTAATATCATTACTAAAGTCAGACATTACCACTTAACTGTAGCAATACTTATGCAAACATGGAGGTTTTTAGCTTTAAACATAAAACGTCTCATAACTGACTTCGTTATCTTTCAAGGTTTCTCACGTTATGATATTGAACTCATTTGGAAACAGTCAGGTATAACATTACCTTTTGAAGAAATTTGGGAAGCATATAAGTCTCTCATCTCTCCTCGTTCATACCTTGAGATTCATATCATGACTAATACCATTAAAGTCAAAAATATTCCATGGGAACGACCAACATTGTTTTAAAGTTTAACCTTCAATTGACTGATGGTAAACAAATTCCATGCATCTCTGTCGCCATTTCTGTTAATATTTTTGCTGTCATTCATATCATCCACTTCTCCATCCGTTAGCTTTTGAGGATATGCGTTAGAATAGCTGTTCTTAAATGAAGGCTTTTCACCTTTGAGAGCATAAACTCTATAACTTTCTGCATACTTTATGTTTGAACCTCCTGAGCCATCATTGACATAAATTTTTATAGGCTTCCACCCTTTGTTCATGTTCCTGCTTCTTCCCTTAGCTCTTTTGTTCAGTAGTTCTACATCTTTATACACAGCTCCTGTCTCAGTGAATTCAACAATATTTTCATTCGTTAGCTTTACATTCAAACCCTTGTCGAGTATATTGTTCATTTCATACATATAAAAGGTTTTTATTCTATATGAAATGAGAAGCAAATCCATCTTAGCTGGTGCCGTTAATGTTCCAATTGAACCAACATCAAATGTTGACTCACGAACGACAAACAATATTGTCATAAAGAACTATAGTTCAGAGTGTTTGAAAGAAAAAGAACCAGAACTGAAATCCGTGAATTTAAACTCAGCTTCAAACGCTAACGCTACATCAGATGTTAAGTTAGAGTATCCACCACTGGACCAAGTTCTTTCAAGAGAAGCCAACGACAACCCTTACACAAATGTTCAAACAAATCCTTCAGATAACGTAGACCATTACCTTCTTCAGTTATACCAAACAATTTTACTCAAAGACGATAAGAAGCTTTTGACAAATCTTATAAGCAAGAACCAAATAATTCTAACAAAGGAGGACCTTGAAAATGTTATATCACGAATAACAGGGAAACAATGTGTCATTGACTATCTCGACCCTGAAATCGAATGCTGTGGTCAAACGCCACCATTCATGAAAATAGGTAACATCCGCATCATTGAAACACCAGGAACTACAGGAGTTGAGTTTAAGTATAAATATTCGAATGAATATACAAAACTTTCAACAGAATATAAACTTTGTTTGAAATATGTTTTAGTAAATTAAAGCAATTTGTAATATCTATCCAAAACTTCTTCAACAGTATCGAACTCATCTTCATAATGCAAACCTAATCTTATTGACTTGGTGCAGTTTTCACTAACACAATATAGCGCTTTGCGCTCGGCGCCTTTGACGCCTTTTTCTGTTCTCTTGACTGACATAACTAATTCATTTGTTTCATCAAACAGCAACAACCAAAGTTCATGACCTAATACATAACATTCATACTTTATATTTTTAGCTCTGAGTTCTCTTGTAAGCTGTTGCATTTAATATTTTCTAAAAAGTCAACTTCAACAGTCATTCGCACTGGTGCCTTCAGTTCTACAGGCTCGCCTTGAAAGTCAACAAGTCTGAATTGCATGTCTTTCAAATTATGAGGACTAATGCGAATCCATTTACCTAAATGAGTTGCTATGACAGGAACGTTTGGAATGAACATTGAATTGACTGCATAACAGAAAGACTTATATTCTACTGAACCTTTACTATTAACTCCTGAAATGCCTGTGACATTAGCTATTTTAGACTCAATGTACAAACAATTACCATAACATACGTATGGAACAGATTTCATCTCAATCGTTTTGTCAACACTTTTCAAAGGAAATGTCATATGGTATGCACCCAGAAGCAATTGAACTCTATGACTCATTCGTGTTATCTTAAACTCCTTTGCATAACTGAACTTCAAAACTCCTGCAATAAGTTTAACATTCATTAAGTTTTCTTCGTTATCCTTGTTTATTGTAGTATTTATGAGAGCATTTAACACTCCAGCTAATGTTTCCATCTTATATTCTACATTATTGTGAAATCTTATTTCGTGCTTCTTTCCATCTATTTCAAACTCCATGAAATCTGTTTCATCTGTTATGACAAAAGTTGCGATAGTATTGAAGTCAACAACTCTGAAAGCAAGTGCTTCATTCTGAAGACCTAAGTTTGTTTGTAGCTTTACTATTCCGTATTCGTTTGGGTCTGTACTTTGCAAATAGAACAACATTTTATTCTCATTAAAATATGACTATTGCTGCATATGCGTATGAAACAAATGAAGCAAGAAGAGCACATGAACTAGTAAACGAAAACTCAACTTTAACCATTGAAGGCAATGATTTAGTCATTGACGATGGAAAAACTAAAAAAGTCATTGATTTCGATACTTTTAACACTTATGACCCATTCATTACAACAAGCAAGGTTCCTATCATAAATGATGGAACGGTGCAATATATAAATTCTACAGTAGATGCCTCATTAGTGAAAGTACTGAATGTTCTCATTGAATTGTTAAAGAGCTTTCGATTTGACGACAACATTAAATGCTTAAAGAATTTAGTCATGAATGAGAAACAAATTCTTGGCGTTGCTGGTAGCAGTAATGATGTACACCTTATGACATTAGAATATTATAACGAACATAAAGATGAACTGAAAGGAGAGAAGGGTGACACCGGACCTCAAGGACCACAAGGAATACAAGGAATACAAGGAATACAAGGACCTCAAGGCGAAAACGGTTTGGATGGAAAGGATGGAAAGGATGGAAAAACTGCTAAATCATGGATATGGGACCTTATAAATACTGGTTTAACAGCTGCTTCATATGGAGTTCTTCAATACCAAATCGGAAAGATATGGGCAGTACTTGGTGAAGAAGTTTTAAATGACGTTAAAAATGCTTTGAACTTCATTTCAAATGGTTCGGATACTATTAAAACTTTATCTGGTTGGATGCAAGAAACAAGGAGTCAAATAGATACTGTAAGACGTATAGCAAACAATGCACGTACGGGATTGGATACTTTACGACAAGCACAAAATACACTAAAGGAAGCAAATGATATTCTTGGCTCAGTATCAGACATGCATGAAGATTGGCTTAAAGGTATTGACAAATCTTTAAAAAATCACAGTCAGTCTATTGCTGACTACAAGAAAAGTATAGATTTTTTACATAGTGCTATGGACGTACATGATGGAAGCATAAGGAACTTACTTAATGCTAACAATAACTTACCAGGAACTATTAAAGCATTTATAAAGTCCTTTGTAAAACCCGGTGCTCTAACATTTAGGTCTTTGAGAGCAAGAGCATTGAAGTCAAGAGATGCAGAAACTCCAACAGAAGGAACTGAAACAACAGAAACTCCAGAAGAACCACCAAAACCAACAGCTAATGAAATATTGTTCGAATATTTTCCAAGGTACTCTGTTCTCATTGCATACATTCAAGAAATACTTAAGAAAGCAGACTTGACTTTAGGAGATGATGAAAGTTCTGTATATCTTTCGTTCCAGTTTCAAATAGCAGAACTTTTGAGACAGATATGCTTAATGTATGACAACATCTCTGATTTCACAAGATATGATGACGACCATGACCCCGAACACGGTGAAGAAGAAGTTTTACAAACATCCATTAAGACAGGAAAGGTTTTAACACAAAGTCTCATTATTGACACCAAAGATGGCGAAGTGGACGTTCTTCAAGAGCTGAAGAAAAATACTTCTTCGGGAGGTGGTGGTAGGCATGAACTTGAAATAAATGAGATAGAAGAGAAATTAGCCGAAAAAGCAGATAAAGAACATAAACACAATATCTCCGATATAAATGAACTTCAAGCTACATTAAATAGTAAAGCGGACAAAAATGAACTTGACGCAATGAACAAAGTTTTGAAATCTCATAAACACAATATCTCCGATATAAATGAACTTCAAGCTACATTAAATAGTAAAGCGGACAAGAACCATGTTCATTATATAACTTCAGACGAACAGATTATAACGGACTACCATGGATATTTAACACGAAGTGATGAAGCGAAGACAAAAAATGTTAATGAAAGAAGATATAAATACATTCGTGCTAAAGGTTATGACATAAGCTGTACTGTACAGTATGATGTAGCTAAAGCACCAGAAGCATTTGGTTATACCGGTGAAATTTATGCCTCTACTTTCAATGTTAACGGTGTATTAGTTGAACCAAGATTTACTTTGAGAGTTAAGGCAAAAATAACGTTTGAAGATGCTATTAAAAGTAAAGCTGACAAAGTTGAACTCGAAGCAATGAACAAAGTTTTGAAATCTCATAAACACAACATCTCCGATATAAATGAACTTCAAGCTACATTAGACAGTAAAGCTGACAAGAACCATACACATAAATCCTTCACTACTGTTAGAGCAGACGACATAATATTGAACTTTGACCTTGGTTCAAGTGCACCATTAGAAAATCCAAGTACAAGCGTAAAAGATACTCTTAACAGTTTAGATAAGAGTTGCAGGAACATTGAAAGTCATGCCAGAAACTTTGAAGCATATGAACTACCAACAATGTTAGATAAGAAAGCAGATAAAACTTATGTGGATGCAGAACTAACAAAGAAATTTTCGAAACCAGATACAATGACATTTACAACAGAAATTATAAATGGTGAACCAGCAACTCCATTTGAATTTGTTAGAGGTCTTCAACCAGATACTTTTGAATTTTTCTTGGATAATTCTATTGAACTAACATTACATTATAAAAGTGGAACAAATGCAACATTTCATCCGGGAGATACATTCCAAATGGTATTTAATGACATAAGTTCTTTAGAATATGTTTATAGAGTTATGAGCATATATGATTTAATATATCCTATAGGAGCTGTTTATACGTCTATGAATCCAATAAATCCAAACACTTTATTTGGTGGTAGATGGTATGAAATAGTTGACAGTTTTCCATTCTACACTAATACGCAGTCAATGAAGATGGGAGGTTCAAAGAAAATAGGTATTGAAAACCTTCCTTCACATATGCATAGGTTCAGTGGAAGAACATCTGTGGAAGGAAACCATTCACATTCAATAACAAAAAGAGGTTATATAAATCTTGCAGCGGGTTCGAATAGACAGGGAATGAACAGATATGATATCTCAGATGACCCCAAAGATGTTAGCACAGGTATTTTCTGTGGAACTGCAGGAAATCATACACATGTTGTAGCTGGTATTACAGACCCAGCAGGTAATGGAAAAGATTATATGCCTCCTTATATAACAATGCACGCTTGGATACGAGTTGGTTAAAATCTTTAACTTTACATAAATGAGCTTGAAAGAAGTATTCGAACAACATCCATGGAGGTCATTTAAGAAGTTCAATGAAGCTGCAAAGAGTTGGGGATTTACTAACAGAGCTGAAGTGAAAAGTTCTTTGACAAAAATGTTGTACATCAAACAAAAATAAACCCTTACGACTACTTTTTACCAATTTACTCCAACACTCCTGACGCATACCAATTTGACACTCTCATTCAAAGCAGAAAAGGAGGACATAAACCATTCCTCATCTTCATAAATGTTAACACTCGTAAAGCATATGCATATCCAATGAAAAATAAAGGAACTCGTGAAGTGTTAAGAGTTTTACAAAAGTTTGTAGCAGAACATAACCCAAGTACTTTAACATCAGACCAAGACAGTGCATACCTCAGCAATGAAATCACAGAATTTCTCATTAAGCATAACATAACTCACTACACTACTGAAGACCATAACCATAACATACTCGGCATCATAAACCGCTTCATAAGGACTCTCAGAGATTTAAACCAAGAGCGAGACTTTACCGAAGAAACAATGAAACATTTTCTCGAAGTATATAATTCCTCAACACATTCTACAACAGGACATACACCAAATTCAATGACACAACAACAAGAAGAAAAGTATATACAAAAGAAACGAAGCCAAACACAAAATATCAGAAATTCAACACAATTTACCCTCATTCCTGGTACAAAAGTTCGTGTAGTTCTTGACGACAAACCGTTGACAAAGAAACGTTTAAGGTTAAGTCGAAATTATTATATTGTAGACTCTACGCAAGGTAATGGATATCTTATAAAAGCTGCGACGACTCTATTGCGTTTTATCCTCGACATAAATTAGTCGAAAGTAGTAATGGCAAACTTGCTGAAACCATTGACGAAGCAAAGCGAGGAGTGGTTATTGAAATACTTGGCTATAACACAAACGATGACACTTATAAAGTAAGATATGAAGGAGGCGTTGAAGATGTTATACCATCTAAGAACTTGAGAGAGTCGAAGCCAACACATCTGGGACCATTAGAGCGGGAGTACTGGAAAGACAAAAATATGCCAGAAAGAATAAGAAAATTCTTCTAAACTTTTTCATTAGATGTAAATCAGACAAAAATATAATTTAGGTGAAGAGGTTAGATCTCACCTGTTTTTTCACCTCTTTTTTCACCCCGTGAATTTTCATGAATTTTCCCGAAATAAAAAATAAAGTTAGTTTTATTTTTTTTATTTTTTTATTTTGTATAAAAGATATGATTTCAACAATCGGCACAACAACAATTCAAGCCGCGAACGGCGGGACTCTGTCCACAACAACAGCACCAAACTCGTTAGTCATGAATCCTACGTCAATGTTAGTAGAGATGAAAAACTTCATTCCTTCTTCATATACTTTCGAAACAAAAATCCAGAAGATAAAGCAAGAACTTTTAACAAGTAATTTAGACTGTAGTGCGAAAGATGAAGAAAATGAAGAATATCTTTATGAAATGCAGGACATTATTGACCATTTACCCAAATTGCCTGAAATCCAACAACAAAAACTCACTATTCCTGAATTCGACGAAATTGAAGTGAAACCAACTGACTCAGTAGAAATAAAGAAGTTCATACGTAAAGTAAATTATGAATTCCTTGGTTTTCATTGCAACCATAAGGTTATGGACAAAGATTGCGACATGGTATATAAAAACATTTCTGACATATATAAATCTGAGGAGTTTAAGACTTACGATAACTTTGTTTCATTAGTTGCAAAATGTGTTTGGGAAATAAGAGATAAAGATAGAAGAGGCAAAGTATGGAACGAACAAATAAGACCCGCTATGTTTGAGATGAAGAGAGCAATTGACGCCTTAGTTGTTTTAGCTGGTTTTATTTCAATGTATAACGCAAAAATGAACCCGCAATGTTCAAAATGTAAGGCAGCAATTAGGAAATATAACTACTCAGTCAAAGAGATAGAAAGAATGAGAAACGACTATGCAGACTTAAAGAAAGAAGCAGAAAAGCCAGCAGAAGATAAAATGAACATGTTAGAATTTCTGAACAAAAACTATCCAACAGCAGAAGATTTCCTTCTATCTGACGTCAAGAAGAAGTATAAAGAAACCTTCGGTATTGTTAAAACTTTTGACATACTGACAGAAGAAATAGAAGCTACGAAATTGTTTAGGATTTCAAATATACATCGTACAATTCATGTAAAACGCTTGTGAAAAAACTGGGGTGAAAAAAGAGGTGAAAAAACAGGTGAGATCTCACCTCTTCACCTAAATTATATTTTTGTTCAAAGCTTCCACGAGAGAAAAGATTCCTCATTCGCTAAGGATTCCAAAAATGAAAAAATCATTGATTTCGGCTGAGAAAAAACAGCAAAACCCTTCTTCCACGGGAACAAAGAAATAAAGAAGAAATAAAGTAAATTTTTTATTTATTCCCGTGGAAGATAGAGCACTTTTATGACACTTTTTATTCACGACAAACAAGACAAACAAAGAAAATAAGAAAATACGGCGCTGTCGCGGTTCGAACCACAGACTCTGACCCCTCCATAACACCACCTTAGACCACTGTGCTACGTAGCCTGTCGACATAAGATTTTATAAATTGCATATTTGACGTAAATTTATTTCCATCTAGCTTCCCACCGCATAAGATATTCATACGTGTTTGTAAGACATTCATTAAACTTCTTTTCTATTGCATCTAATCTTGCGTTATTTTTTTCAATAGCTTGTCTGTATTCTTCATCATCTCCAGCAGTGTTTGGGTCTTCACGTTTAAAATATTCATTGTTAACCAATTTTTTATCTACAAATTTTATTAGTGTTTGATTCACTTCGTTATGATAACGGTCATATTCTTTCAATACGTAAGTGAAGACAAAATGCGTCGTACCTTCAATCTTAAAGCTTAAAGAACTTTCAACACAGTTTTGAGGGTCTGTCAGTGCGTCAATGAGATAGTATTCGAAGTCAGTCAATAATCTTTTTAAAGTCATTTCATACAGGATAAAATTTAATGTTGTGAAGAAATAGTGTTTATCTCAGAAAAAATAACGCTAATTTTATTTTTATTTATTTTTTTATTTTGTATGTAAAGACAGTAATGACAACATCAGAGAACACAACAACAGTTATAGTCCATGAAGCAATAAATGAAGAATACGAGTACATACAATATAACAAACAGTTACGTCTCATTCGTTCAGTCAAAGATGACATGTACCAAATGCAAAGTATTTTGACAGCATGTTATGCTCCAGATACTAAACTTCCTAAAGACTGGTTTAGGAACCAAAGCACTATTGAACTATTAAATGAAGCACAGCGAGACATACTTTTTTCTGAAAACAGTGAAGAACAGCGAGTAGGTAAAAAACCCAGTCGCCAAAACTCTATGAAAATCGTGAAAAATTGCCAAACGGTTTGAGAGGATATTATGTTCATAGACTTCTCGTAAATGTTGTAGCAATGTGGGCTTCACCTCGTTATGCTTGGTATGTTTGTAAACTTCTTGACGAAATTCACAGACAAGAACGCGAACAGATGGAAAAGAAACTTCAAGCAAAAGATGAAGTCATTGAATCCAAAGACAAAAGCATACAGAAAAGAATACCACGTTCAGTACCAAAAGGAAAGGAAAAGAGTTATAAGTATATGATTTACGCTGAAGAGATGGAAAATGAAGAAGACAGAGATATGGTTATGTTGCATTTAGTCAGAAGAAACAACAAAAGCTTTTATGACCTTGCTAAGATTTACAAATCTGACAGAAACTGGTTCTATCGTGAAAACTTACCGATTTCAATGACACCGAATGAGCAAATAAAGGAAATTGTCAAAAATACTCTTCCTCAAACACACTATGACATCAAAGGTTGCACAATACTTACATTCAAAGAAGACTTACCATTGTTAAAGGAAAAAATAACAGAGTATTTCGATAACTTCAAAGAGGAAGAATGAAAATCTAAGCTAATTTTATTTTTTTTTATAAAATTTTATCTCATATGAAAGAACATGAATTTAGAATATTCGGAACTCATGACAGAAGAGGAGAACGAACAGCATGTAAAAGATTATGCAAAATTTATGAAGACATACAAAGCATTTAAACAATATCTAAATGCTTCTAAAGATTATGCAAAATTTCTGAAGGTATATAAAGCTTATGAAAAAGCGTATGAAAAGTTTATACATTGGGGAATTGTTGTAAAATATCCATATGAAGACTAACCAAAAATATATTTTTGCTTAAATAGCTTCAGGGTCAATTTCTTCAACCATTTCACTTCCTTCGTCAATGTCAATTGAAGCTTCTTCAACCTTTGGTAAGAATTTCTGTATAACATCTTTGTTCGTTATTGTCTTCAGAGATGAAGGATAATATTTCACATTTGTTTCACCCTTCTTATATTCTTTCTGTTCGGAAAGATTCATAGCAATACTGAAGAAGTCAATGTTAGAGTTCTTTATGACAGTATAATGAGTATCTTTGACATTCACGAAGAAACTCTTTTGTTTCAAAACTACTGCTAACTCTTGTGAAGTATAACGTTTGCGGTCAATGACGATAGCTAATGGTCTGACATACTGACCAAACTTAGATTCTTTCACAAACTTCTTGTTAAAGATAATATTAACATTTGAAGCATTATTGAACTCATTCTTGATGGCAGTAGCGAGAGCATTGTATGAAAAGAACTTGCAATCTTGCATGTGTTTCATTAAAATAAAAATATTAAATTATTTTGAAAAATAACTTAAAAAAAATCTAATCTAATTTTTTCAAAAATATTTTTTTTATTTCCTACTAAAGATGTATCGGAAGTTGTCTAAGTTAGAACACTCGGAAATAAAACAACTTCTTACAGAAGCTAATATAGATGTTGCAAAGCATTACGCAACAAACAAAAAAGCACTCGCTGACTTCATTAAAGACTATAATGGTGCAATAAGTTATGATAGAATTCATGAGTTCATAAAGCCGCAACGCGGCGAGGACGAAGTCCATGCAATAGCATTTCCTTTAAATGACGTTGCTATTGACTTATATCATAGACGTTCAGTACCTCATGAAGTAAGAAGAGAGATGTTTGACATAACAAATGCGAACGTTGGTCATACTCGTAAAGCTCTTTCGCATGAAGTAAGAAGAGAAATGTTTGACATAACAAATGCGAACGTTGGTCATACTCGTAAAGCTCTTTCGCATGATGTTCGTCAAGAGATGTTTGACATAACAAATGCGAACGTTGGTGAAACAAGAAGAAGAGACGACACACTGAAACAACAGAGAAGAGAGATGTTTAAGAGCGCTATAGAACAAGTTCGCAAAGCTAACGATGTCATTCGTTCCATTGACGACAAACCAAAAGAAGGTGAGAGATGGTTAAAGAAAGATGAAGAGAATAGGAAGAGAAATGTGAAGTCAGGCAATAGACTCATTGACTTTAACATCGAAGCTTTAGATGAACCAAACAGAGACTACTTACACAAACATTTCGGTAAGGTTTTCATGAGACTCTTAGAGAAAATTAAAATAAACTCACAACAGAGATGGATGGTATGTTATAAACTTGGTGGAAAGTATGAATGTTCTACGTTAAACCTCAATAATATTGGAACATTACTACATCAGCTCTTGAAGGAGAACTTTATATCAGAGATAGAAGCAAATGCCGCAGGTATTGTTGAAATGCACTATGACTTCTTCTTGACAAACATAAAGAATCTTACCGAAATAAAGATGTATGATTTAACAGAATATGAAGGCTTAACGATGTCAGATGTAAAGAAAGGCAAACCAAAAAAGAGACCATATAGAGATGAAAGCACACTGACAAATGACCAGAAAGCCATTTTGGAAGCTCTTAAGCAAACAGGAAACCCAGCACTTATAGAAAGCTTTTGGAAAGATAATGGTGAAAAGAAGTTTTATAAGAAGAGAAGCGGTCAGTTCTGGAAGTATCTTTGCACATTACCTATAAATCTTGAACGCTACCAAATCTTCAATGAACTGAACAAAAGAACTGCAACACTTATGACAGAGGACAATTGTTTCGTTTATGCTTGCATTCAGGCTGGAGTAAATGAAGAAACTATTGACCACATGAGAGAAGTCATTCGTGTTAGAGACTTTCCTCAAAGTAAAGTACAAGAAATTTCTGACGCAACAGGTATATCATTTAATGTTACCATTGGTTATTTCAATGAGTCAAGACATAATGAAATAAAGAGATATATACCAAAAGAATGCGAAACTGTTAGAACTATTGACTTACTTCTTGTTGAAGACCACTACATGCTAAATGAAAGATTACCAATGACAACATACTTCATTCGAAACTATAAAGAAATTCTCAAAGCTTGTGGTGGAATGAACATTGAGAAACAGATGAAGATTTATACAAAGAGAGAAGATAAATATGTAGTTCGTTATGATAGAACAACACCGTTATGGGATGTTATGAAAACATTGTGGGAGTGCAAATATTTCGAACCTATTTCTTATGGAGAACTTTTCACATATACTACTGACTTATATAAACAGAACCTTGCACCATTTAAAGATTTGACATATGCTCCAAAGTATTGTGTACAACTGAAGAAGAAAGCAGAGTCAAAAGAAGTAAATAAAGCTAAATGTAAATTCATACCTGAGCACGTTTTCTTTGCTGACTTTGAGTGTAGTACGGATGGCTTTCATAAAGCTTTTAACATCTGTTATGACAGTGAAGATGGTTCAGTTAGTGAAAGCATTTGGGGTCAAAACTGTGCAACAGAATTTTTGGAAAGACTTCCTGACAAGAGTTTAATATATTTCCATAACCTCAGTTATGACATAAACTTCATCTTAAGACACATGACAGAAGTGAAAGGAACTCCCATCATTAAAGGTTCACGAACAATGCAAATAACTGGCTTATATAAAGGACGGGCAATTATTATAAAAGACTCTTACAGTGTTATAAATAAGAAGCTTAAACTATTTCCTGCTATGTTTAACTTACAAACAGGACCGAAAGAAGTATTTCCATATAACTACTACAGCAGTGTTTTGTTAGCAAATGACAACAGAACTGGTGTCATTTCTGAAGCATGTAAGTTTATCCATGATGCAGATACATTTATGAAGAACATAGATTCCATCAAAGGTTGCAGAATAGATGAAAACCACTTCGACTTAGAAAAATATAGCACGTTTTACTGCAAACAAGATGTAAGAATTTTAAGAGAAGGTTTTGTAAAGTTCCGCAATGACTTATTGAAAGAGTTTGATTTAAACGTTTATGACTACGTTAGTATTTGTTCTATTGCTAACAAATTGTTTGAGAACAGAGTATACTTCCCGAATGGAAATCTTTATGACCTCTCAAATAAACCAAGAGAATTTATTTCGAGATGCATTCAAGGTGGAAGATGTATGTTGTCAGATAACATGAAACAAAAGAGCAAAAAGAAACTCATTGCTGACTTCGACACTGTTTCATTATATCCTTCAGCTATAGCAAGACTTTATACTTTAGAAGGTATTCCAAAAGTATTGAAGGATGAGATGTTAAGCACAGAGTATCTCATGAGACATTTATTCGATGATGACCAAAAGGAACCCATTGGTGAAAAGTTTATGTCTGGCTTCTTTGTTCTCATTAAGATAACAGAGATTGGTATACCCAGACACTTTCATTTAATAGTTTGCGACCCTGAACTAAATCCAGAACTTAACGTTCCAAGAAGTTCAAACACTTGCTGTCTCATGTATGTTGACCATATAACATTACAAGACCTCATAAAATATCAAGGTGTCAAATGTGAAGTGTTGCAAGGATACTATTACGATGGAAACAGAGATATGAGAATAAGAGATGAAGTAAAGAAGTTGTTTGAGTTAAGGTTAAAGTATAAGAAAGAAGAAAACCCCTTACAAGAAATTATAAAACTCATTCTGAACAGCATTTATGGCAAAACTATTCTATCTCCTATTGAGTCAAAAATAACCATAGTAAATGACAAAGATGCTATAAGATATGCTATAAGAAATTACAACCATATAGTGAAGTTCGAAGGTTTGGATGGTTCAGATAAAACTATTTTCAAGCTAACGAAAAGCATTTGCAGACACTTTAACTTCTGTCCACTTGGTGTTAATATTCTGTCTATGTCAAAACGTATTATGAATGAAGTATTCTGTACTGCAGAGGACATGGGACTTCAAATCTTTTACCAGGATACCGACAGTATGCACTTATATAATGAAGACATCCCAAAGCTTGCAGCAGAGTTTAAGAAGAGATATGGTCGCGAACTTATAGGAAAGAACCTTGGTCAATTTCATAGCGACTTTGCAGAAATAACACCTGGAAAACAAAGTTTAGCTTATAAAAGTATTTTCTGTGGAAAGAAGACCTACATAGACTTACTCACTAACGATTTAAATGAAGTTGCATTTCACTGCAGAATGAAAGGCGTGAAGCAAGATGTTATTGCTTTAACCGCTAATGAAATGTTTCCTGAAGCTATACAATGCTATTACAATGAAGATAAGAACATTCACATACCTGTTGGAACATATGACAAAGACTCTGAGTTCAGTTTAATGAAACTTTACAAAGCACTTCATGATGGTCAAGAGATTGCATTCGACTTATGTAAGTCATGTCAACCTTGCTTTGCTGAAAAGTTCAACTTTTCAATAACGACTAAAACAAGCTTTATTCGTAAGTTGAAGTTCTGAGGTCATTTATTTTTGTCAGCAATGAGGTCATGAATGAGGTCATGAATGAGGTCATTCGTGATAAAAATAAAGCTAGCGTAGATTTTACAATACTGCGATGGTAGAGTTTAAGAGTTGTGCTTCAATGTAGAGACAGTCCTTATGGTCTGGAGGCAAGAACACTGGACATTTATGGTCATGAGTGGAGAACATGTCTATCCAAAACTCACGATTGAAGCCAGTTAATTTATAGTATTTAGGGTTAGGAAGTGGTGAAGTTCTTGTATGACCAATGAACTCATTTTCAACTCCTTTACTTAAGTTTGAATATAATATAGCTTGCTTTCTATCCCAAATGCCAGGTGTTACAATCTTTGAAAATTCATTTTTCCTCGGAAGCATTGCATCATAATTGAAAACATTCTTAAAATCATCACTTGGTTCGGAGATTTGAAATCTTATACGTAATGGATTTTTTTTCTCTTTAGCGACTTCATTGAATGGTGAGAATACAATGAATTGACAGTCATGAGTTCCATCTTCATTTTCATTAAATTCATAATGAAAGTCTATAAGTTGTGGCTGACTACCTTCTTCTTTCAGTTGTGCAAGAAACTCACGTAAAGGCTGTAAAGTTTGTACTTCAATGTTGAACTTTTTCTCGAACATCTCATTAAATGAAATCATACATTGCAACAATGTTGTATCGTCTTTAAAGTATTTGTATATGTGAATGTTTTGGGCGCTTAAAGACTGTTCGTCATTTTCTATCTCGACTTGAAGTATAAAGTCAACCTTTCTGAAAGCACGTGTTATATACATAGATGTTATGCCAATGTACTTCTCTTCATTTATGTTCACAATCCAGTCTGTTGGAAACTTAAACGTTACTCTGTTCCCCTTTATTTTGACGTCAGGGTTTTCACTACTGAACGCAACAGATAAAGGTATTTGTCTATACATTTAGTTCGGATAAAAATAAACCATTTACTCTTTCTTTGCTTCAGCTTCTTCTCTAGCTTTCTTTGCCAGCAAACGTGGGTTCTTTTGTCTTCCAGCAGCTAATGCAGCAAGTTGTTTTTCACTAAGTTTTCTCTTTGGTCTCTCTGGCTTTTGTTCTTGTTTTTGTTCCTTCAGTTCGGATAAAATTTGCTCACGAATTTCTTTCTTCAATGCTTCAACATCTATGACACCTTGGGTCTTGTCCGTAGGGCTTGTCTGAGTCATTTGATTGCAGATAAAAAACAAAATTAAAACTTTAACCGATGTAAAATGAGCTTGTCAAAATCAGAGCGAGAGTCTATTATATTAAATGACGCAAGAGGAATACAACATCCTTTCTATTACGTAAGTCAGAGTAAAGATGGTAAAATATACGTAAGAAAAAGAAAGGTACCATTAGCGAATGCAGAGAGCGACAACATTAAGGTGCATGGCAAGGGTGAAGTCCATGAAGTCCATATAAAACCTTCTGTTCAAACTGAGCCACCAAAAGAACAAGAAGAAAAGAAGCCAGATGTACTTTCAATAACGAACCAAGAGCTTATTGCAAAGTTCGTGAATTTCATTGAAAAACAAACCGAGTCAAAGAACCCTGACCCGCCAGTGAAAGAAGTTGAGACAAAAGAGAATGTACAGTTCATTGAAAATGTCAAGAAACAACTTCCACCACGAATGCCAAGAAGAAGAGTGAGAATAATGAAGTAAATAGATATTTTTATCTGAAGTAAATACATGCAGAACGAACAGCTAAACGAATTTACTCCAGCAGAGCATATTCATCAGATTCGCTCATATTTCGATATCATAGACAATGCAGTTCAAATTGGTGACACTAATAGAAAATATTCTGACGCAAAGATTCCATCACAACCTGGAACTGCTAAAGATAACACATGGGTAACATTCAATCTCTCACCTCCTGGTGAAAATATGTTGGACCTTTACAATACATTCATTACGTATAAAATGGAAGGTCAATTTATTGTAGATAAAGAAATTGGTTCAGGTTCCAATAAAACAAACCCACCAGGATTTTGGATTGGTTTCGATGACGCTTTCTATGCAGTTGCTGGATATCAAATCCTTGCAAATGGTCGTATCGTATATTCTCAAGACAACGCAAGAGAAGAAGCATATATAACTTCAAACTCACAAACTACCGAACAAATAAAGAAAGTAGATGTTTTCTCAAAGACTCGACATGAAGATGTATGGAGTCATTCGGGAACATGCAGAACAGGACAAATTGTTAGTGGTCCAATTACAGCAGGAAAATCATTTGATTTTAAGCTTCGTTTAAGAATTCCTGTTAGAAAGTTTTTACCATTAGAAGCTATAAGATTTATTCCAGCTTTTGCAGGAAACATTCAGCTTAAAGTAAAGTTCAGTAGCGACGCCTTACAATGCACATCTATATCTGTAAATGATATCATTGCTTTCAATCCAACTCTTAAAGTTGCATTTGCTTCAGATTCAAATCCACCGACAAATAAATTTGTTCCATGGAATGAACCATTCACTATGATAACGAAGGCAGTAGAAGCTAGTGGAACAGTTACTATTACAACTGTAACCCAGCAACTATTTCGAACAAAGATGGATTTTAATGAATGTTTCATTCATCCAAAGTCATTCTCTTTAGACCCTAACATTTATACAGAACTTGTAGAACATTATACAAACGAGGCTTTATGTTTTCCTGTTAAAGTTATGGATTGGATTCCTATGGACGGTTCATTCTCAAAGAATACAGATAGTTCAAGTGCAACATTTACAGCAGCTTATACGCCTATTAATGTTAAAAGTATTTGGGCACTATTTAGAAAGAAAGACAACTATTATGTTAATTTTGAGAACCCTAAGTTTAAATATCTTCAGCTTTCCATGGGAGCTTATGGAAATATGCCTGCAGAACCTGAAAAATCATATGGACCTGTATTTTATGAAATGGTTGCGAACGCTTGCAATACAAACAATGATATGATAGGATTTAATGAAGATGTTATGAGGTCATTGGTGGATGATGGTAGTGTGGAACATAAATGGGATAGCTATGACAACACACATTTCTTATGTGGTTTTCCAACAGAAGTGGACTTTTGCTTCCAACAAGGTCAAACATCTACTGCTCCAATAACATACAAATTGTCTGTTAAAGGACCTATTGAACTAGCAACTGAAAACGTACCAAAGCCACTTATTGGATTTATGAGGGATTGTTGCTTTGCCATTCAGGTGCGTGCTAATGGCATCCCCATAATAAGATTAGATGACTATAACTTAGCCACGGACGACAGTGAGGAATAAAGGATGAACGTTTATTTTTAAAGCTTATAAATGAGTTCTTCATCAAGCTCTCGCGAACCTTCACCATCTATGAAACAAACTTTACCAAACGATTATGGAGCACCTATTGAATATTTCTTACGAGCTGCACAATGGCAAAGAGCAGTTTCACCAAGGTTAGGTGTTCCACCAGCTCCTGTCAAAAATAGCATTTGGTCAAGTCCTTATATAAGATATGGTCTCCCACTAGGTTTGCTAGCTACAGCAGGAGCAGTTATGATGTTGAAAAGAAATAAAGCAAATGTTATAAATAATACTGAAGTAGCTGAAGTTAAACAAACTCCAACACATTCGCCAAAACCAACGCCTTCACAAGCAAAACCTTCAATAACTCCTGAACCTATGGAAGTACAAACTCCTGTTCAAAAGTCAACTCCTAAACCGACTCCAACATTTAAACCAGAACCCACGCCTCAAATAAATCGTAAAACTCCTGCGTTTCCTTACTGAAAAAATAACGTTATTTTTATTTAATATTAAAATTTTTATTTGATTGAAATGACGACTAAAGTCACTGAAGCAATGAAACAAAAGTTTTTGGTAGAATACATTAAATCAGGAACTATTCCAGAAGGTTTTTACATTCATACTATGAAGGATGGTAGAGTTCAGTTTAGAAAGATAAAGCAACCATTAGATAAAGAAGGAATTTTGAGAAAGATTAAACTTCATGAGGCCAACATTGCTGAACTTAAGAAGAAGTTAGAAGAGTTGGAGAAAGGAAGAGAGTTATAAAGTAATGAATTCAACGGGTGAAAAAAGAGGTGAAAAAACAGGTGAGATCTCACCACTTCACCTAAATTTATTTTTGCGCTATGTTTTCATACGTGTGAGGGTGGTGATATCATTAATTTTTAAATAAATGTGGGAACAAAAATAAAGCATATCTACTCAACAGGAATGAGACCCTTACTGACTATGTATTCGTTTAATGCTTGATGAAAACAATGGTACATATTATCGTATGGGTATACACAACGTCTGTTTCCATCGTCATCGTATATGTAGAGCTCAAATCCAGTCCAACCTTCTTTTGTACAATATGTAGCTTTATTTAAGTATGCATTTATGTAGATAAGGCAATTTTCTTCATCGCTCCAGAAATAATTTTTCGTCATTGTTGAAATAGTTTTCGTTCCTCTACGTCCATAAGGAATGTATGCAATAAATTTAGCATCATAAGGTATTATAATATATTCAGGGTTTCTTTCATCGTCAATGGGTCTGTCTTTGTTAAAATGCATGTTTCTCAGTTTTACTTGAGTTTTGAATAGTTCACGGAAACGTTCTGGGAAAGAGTCATAGTAAATGTAGTCAGACATGTCTTTGTAATGAAATAAAAATTTAAAAAAAATAAAAATAAGGTTATTTTTTATTTAGTGAGGACGGTAGTGAATTCGTTAGTGAAGTCGTTAGTGAAGTCGTTTATGTGTCAGATGGTTTTGTAAATATTTAAGGTTAAGTTGGTGTTATGGTTGTGTTGTAAAATATACGTTACTGGTTTCGTAAAGTGTCAAAACCGCTAAGTGGTGTACGGAGGCGCGCAGTGCCACAGTACCCAACTTAGAGATACTAACTTACGCATTTTTAGGTGCAAAATTTAAAAACATTCTAATACAATAGAGCAGTTTCCAAAAGTAGCATACAGCATGTAAAGCTAAAGAAAGATAATC